GATCATTGGCCATGCTGGGGTTGAAGTCCAACAGTACGTGGGATGCCACTGGCCCCTCACCCCTGGCTGTTGCGCTTTTGTCTGCCCTGTGTTGCTCTAACACTCTGGATCTCCCAGTAACAGCAGCAAGAAGCAGCAGCTGCTAAGAGCATTATAATGTAAGACAAACCTGCTGAATCAGGCCAAATATGCCCACACCGTATGTATCAGCCAGGCAATTCCAACATTACACTTCCAGAATCCATCTAAGAACATAAGAAGGGCCTGCTGGATTACTCTAATGGCCCGTCTAGTCCAGCATCCTGTTCTCACAGTGGCCAACTCTATGAAACCCATAAGCAAGACCCAAGCACAACAGCTTTTCCCCCTGCTGTGGTTTCCAGCAACAGGTATTCAGAAGCATAGCTGCCTTCGACCGTGGAGGCAGAGCAGAGCCATTGTTGTCTATACCACGCTCAGGGGAGACACTCAGTCCCATATGGCCACATGCAGGCAATGTCCTCTGACCACTTACACTTACGCCTTGCCTGGCGTCACTATGCACAGTGGCGTAGCGTGGGTTGCCAGTGTCCGGAGCCATGTGTGTGGGAGGGAGGGAAATGGACGGAGTACGCATGCGCATTCAACTGCCTAATGGATTCCGCATCACCCAGGAGATTGCAGCCACCGAGATAAGAAAAGAAGAAGAGTTGATCTGTTGTCCGAAGAGGTCAGTTCCTGGTTCACATGGCAAAGCTGTTTTAATGGAGTCCAGCGATGGAAGCGATGGATTTTGTGCCAAGGCAACTGCCCATGTGGCCCTCCTCACACTACTCCACTGGCTGTGCATACTGTGTGCATGGAGGCAATGCAGAGCTGTGTGCTGTGGATTCTGATTCAGACTGTAACCGTGGCACTATGATTTGTAGCCGGGAATGAAGAGCATGGAAGACGCAGGATGTAAGCAAAACATTTCCCCCTGATCAGCATGTAATTAACCTGTAGAGAACACTGGAAGAGTATCATCAAAGGCAAATTGCTCTTTTTATGAATGAGAATTGCTGCCTCACTCAAAAAAACAAAAAAGTGGGGCGGGAAAAAGGAAATTATACAACTCCCTTCTGAACGTTAGCTGGGAAAAAATGTGTATTTCGGTGTTGACACGAGCTTTAGGAATACAGTACTAAGTCACAGAACCTTTGAAATCGCTGTGACGCTGACGCTGCTTTGACACAACACAGCATCCTTCTGAGGGAGTTTTAGATCAGGGATGGAGAACCAGTGGCTCTCCAACTGTTGGACTCAAACTCTCATCATCCCTCACCATCAGACATACAGGCTGGGGTTGATGGAAGTCCAGCAACATGTTGTTGTTGTTTAGTCATTTAGTCATGTCCGACTCTTCGTGACCCCATGGACCAGAGCACACCAGGCACTTCTGTCTTCCACTGCCTCCCGCAGTTTGGTCAAACTCATGCTGGTAGCTTCAAGAACACTGTCCAACCATCTCGTCCTCTGTCGTCCCCTTCTCCTTGTGCCCTCCATCTTTCCCAACATCAGGGTCTTTTCCAGGGAGTCTTCTCTTCCTTCTCATGAGGTGGCCAAAGTATTGGAGCTTCAGCTTCAGGATCGGTCCTTCCAGTGAGCACTCAGGGCTGATTTCCTTAAGAATGGATAGGTTTGATCTTCTTGCAGTCCATGGGAGTCTCAAGAGTCTCCTCCAGCACCATAATTCAAAAGCATCAATTCTTCAGCGATCAGCCTTCTTTATGGTCCAGCTCTCACTTCCATACATCACTACTGGAAAAACCATGGCTTTTACTATACGGACCTTTGTTGGCAAGGTGATGTCTCTGCTTTTTAAGATGTGCCTAGATTTGTCATTGCTTTTCTCCCAAGAAGCAGGTGTCTTTTAATTTCGTGGCTGCTGTCACCATCTGCAGTGATCATGGAGCCCAAGAAAGTAAAATCTCTCATTGCCTCCATTTCTTCCTCTTCTATTTGCCAGGAGGTGCAAGTTCACCATCATTGCTTTAGTGGCTCCCAAAGTGGGTGGCACTGCCTGTTTTGGGGCGGCAGATGGGAGGTGAGATTACCTAGGCAGATGCTAAGAGACAAAGGTACAGCGGGGTGTGTGTGTGTGTGTGTGCTGGAAATGACTCCATCCACTTTTGCTTCTGGTCTCACCCACCACTGGCATGCAGACCCTGTAGGAGGGAATGCAGCCATTGGCCTGGAAAAAGTTCCCCTCTCTTGTCTTAACTGAGAAACAAATACAACCATTCAACAAATGAGCTGCTTGAAGCGTTGGGTGAGCAAAGGCCTTTAGTGTCAGAGTGAGCCAGCCAGTAAACCACACGCAGTTCAAAACTGGAGTTAACTATTTATTGTCAAAAGCACTATCTACACAGACTTGGCTGAGGGTCAGGCCTAATGAGGACAGCAGCTCATTCCCCATAGGTCTTACACCATGAAAGCAGTTGTCGAGACTAAAGGTCCCTGCCTCCCCGCAGCCATCTGTGTCTCCTCCTCTCTAGGGCTTTTCCCAAACAATTGGAGCCGGAGCCTGCATGCAACCTGTCTTTGCTCCTCTCCTGGTTCTGGGAGCCTGAGGGGGAGGGGATCCTGTCGCAGCAGGAGGGGGAGAAACCCACGAGTCTTCACCAGCCTGTCTCATCTCTGCCTCTTGATCTCCCTCCCCTCCCTCCCCTGCTTCAGCTTCTGCCTCTGATTCTGGACTTCTTTCTGCCACAGACTCTCCCAGCTCTCTAAGTCCTGTTGCTTCTTTAGCTTCCGATACCTTCTCCTCCCAGTCTTCTCCCTCTGAACACTCATTGTTCTCCCACCACCACTCCCTGGCTCCGAGCCTTCTTCCCTTGGTGGTTCCCCAGCTGGTTCCTCCCTCTATTCCTCTGTGTTCAACCAGTCAATGTAACTTAGGACTGAATAATCACATTTCTGCCTTTGAAGAGAGACCTGTGTAATGTGGAAGGAGTCTTAGGTAGGACTGGGAATGTCCTACAACTGAAACCATGAGGAGTTGTTGCCAGTGTAGACAAGGCTGAACTAGATGAACCATTGCTCAGACGCAACAGAAGGTGGTATTGCAGCCACCGGTTCAGTAGGGCTCAAATGACCTCAAGATGCCACAGGGGTACCTACTACCTGCCCCAGCAAAGCACCTGACCCTGGGCTTTGTCTTTCACATCTCAGCAACTTGTCACTCATGGACTTCTTCCAAAATTACTCAACTGACTCTCCACTCCCTGGGTTGACTACCAGCCTGGTTGAGCAGGGGCAAAAGTCTGTACTTGGTGGCTGGCAGGCCGGACAGTACGATGCACTGCACAATGGCTGAGGACATTCACTTATCCCTGACGTAAGGCTGGAGTAAAAAAAGAGAACCACACACTCTGAATCATCTTAAATAAGAGGTTGCCATCTAGCGGAAAGATGAACAAAGGACACTTGGTCTGGAAAAAGAAGAACAAGTCGAGCTCTGCTGGACCACCCCAAAGGTTCATCTAGTCCAGAATCATGTTCTCATGGTCACCAACTAGATGCCACTGCAAACCCCTTGAGCAGGAACCATGTGTGGCAGAACTTTCCCTACTGATTCCAAGTGACTGGTGTTTGGAGGCACACTGCCTCTGATAGGGGAGAACGAATGTAGCTCCTGTTCCTAACCGTCATGTTATTGTCCATGATGTGCCTCATCTAGAGCCATCTACGGAGCAGCTCCTCAGTGCATTTATTTTCCTTTTGGATATCTGGAGAAGAAAGGCCACAATTGCCTAGTTTGCTTTTACATGTCTATGGTCAGACCTGGGATCTTCTGCAATGGATTTTCCAACAGTTTCTCATTTGTAAATATCAAAACTATAATAAACTAAATATAAACAATGTATTTGTGAGCTGCCTAGAGATCTCCTCATATGGAGCAGATGTAGATAGATAGCATAGGAGCCAATTCCTAGGGGACAAGGTCCCTTCGGCTATCCCAATAAAATATGGGGGGCAGCCCCCCAAAGTTAATGGACATTGCCATTAAAATGGTGTGTATGTGCTGTGTCTTATGATTATGTGGGGTGGGGCTTACCTGCCCCCCTATTTTATTCACGTTGGCACACCTAATAGATAGATGATAGAAAATAATAATAATAATAATAATAATACAAAAGAAAAGCAAACAGATATCAGGGTTTCAAGCTGCCCATTTTTTCCATTAACAGAGTTCCAGAAGCAGGCCTTGCTAGACCAGTTCTCTTGTGAGAAAAGAAGATCAGAGGTTTTTGTGTGCCTTTCATAATATATTTATTTGCACAATCTTCCAAGTGGAGACCTTTATCCTAGTTGGTATTTGTGCTAAATCTGAATTGATTTTATGTAGGTGGTGTTGAGAAATCTATCTTATGTCTATGTGCAGTTGTTACTTGTATGGTTTTTGTTGTATTGTAAACCATTTTGGGATGCCTTGTGTAAAGCGATTCATAAATAAAAATAAATATATGTTATGATATGATAATATACCAGTTGAGCAAGGCATGGGATACTAGTCTTTGAAGGAGCATCACCTCCCCATCTGGCAGCCGTTTGTTGCTTGTATGACAGGCCAATCACAGGGAAGGCAATCCTGATGAAATATGGCTTTATTTGTTATTAATAACATTGGTTTTGTACTCTTTCTGCATCGAGTAACGTTTCCTGTTGTAACGTCTAATTCATTGTGGGCCTGTTGAGAATGTACTTTATGTATTGCGTTGTTTGTTTCTGATTTTCTGGTTTACCTTTTTGTAAATCCCTTTGAGGGTTCCCCCACCCCCCATCAAGTGGTATACATATTTATCAAACAAACATTTTATGAGTTAATGGCTTTGAAACCTGGTTTGTTTGGTCCTCCCCCCTTTTCCTTTCTTTCTTTTTAAATTTATTTTACTTCATATTCCTTACTAGATTGTTATTTTAACTTCCTAATAAAAGATTGAATATATATACACATATATTTAATAAGCTTTTCCTTTATCTTCTTTGACATAATAAGCTTTTCCATTATCTTTTTCTAAACACCAGTGCTTAACTAAAAAAAATTAATTATAAAAACAGTCTGTGGGGGAAACATGTCGTTTTTTTAAAATAGAGATTGGGGTTTTATTTGCCTTTAAAGTTTTTTCATTATTTCAAACAAAGAAGATAAAACAGCTTACAATGAATCAAAACACTACAATTCAGCTCCTAGATGCAATTGACTAGAAAGTCCGCTTGGGGGAGGCAAAACCCTCTTCTTCTTCTTATGCAACAGTTCTGATGGAAAATAGGAAACTGGAAATTAAAAATCTATGGGAATTAAAATCTCCCTGCAAGGCACAGCTAACTGCTTGTTGGAGCAGTAGTCATAAAAGCATCAAGCACTACCGATTTGGGTGGGAAAAGAGCCCGCTGCCAGCTGGCAGAAGTTCTTAAATAGTTTTATATAAGGAGGGAAATTCACAGAGACATGCTGTCCGGGAATAAGGCGGAGGAGGGCTTGGAGGCTCCAAATCTTCAGTTGTCTGACAACTCTTGCCAGATCAAGCAGTTGACGCAGAGCCTAAGAGGTACTGTAGTTTAGAAGTCATTTGGAACATCTGCGGAACTAGGGCAAAGTCCCTTGCAGTTGAGAGTTTTGCCATTCTGCAGACTGACACCTTTGGCTTAGAGGAGAATCAAAAATCCATTTGCCAATACTGCTCTCAGGGTCTGGGAGAGGAGGAAGCAAAAATCAGCACCCTTGAAGTCACCAAGAATGTAATTTAGAAGAGGACCTTAATGCCCTTGTTGTATTTGTATGTACTTTTAAAACTTTGCCTGGGTACCTATTAGGACAGCATATGTTGATCTGTGTGTGTATAATAAGATGGATTTAGGTTTGGCATCCATCTGTCTTGGGAGGCAATTGAAGATTGCACCCTTTGGGGAGGAAATCAAACTGTTGGAGAGTTACGGCATCTGCTAACAAGGTGACTATTGGTCTTTTCCCCCTTGTTCCCCCCTTTTCTCCCTTCCCCCTTTTTTCTTCAATATATTTGCATTTTTAAAAAATCAATATTAAATAATTAAGGATCCACATCTAACCCAGGTTCCCTTCTGAAGAGCAATGACCACAAGGGGCTTGAACGATATTACAGATGAGAACGACAAGACATATTCAGTGTCAAGGTTACTATGATCATCGCGGACTAGAGGAAATGAATCTTCATAGAGAGTTGCACATGTAATTTCTATTCATAAAAAGTCATCTTGAAATAAACGGTAGGCCCTAAAACCAAGGACATGAGGCTCTTTGATGCACAAATATGTCATCAGGTCTCCTGGTGTGGATCAGCCTCTCTGCCAACCTGGTGCCCACCAGCTGTTGGGGTCTGTGGTCCAAAACAGCTGGAGGGCTAACAAATCCCAGGTGGCCCAGATTACTGTCCACCTTTCCATCCTGTCATTTAACAGAGCACTGAGGTCTCCAAGGACGGTCCAGAGGAAAAGCAATTTTGGTGCCCTCTGTGAACAATGCGGATCTTATGGGAAAGCTGGGGAGGCTGCCAAGCTCAAGTGATATCCTGGCACCTGTTGTGAGAACCACCAGCTTAGCCTTGCCTTGCTGGAATGCTTGAGTTCCTGAGTGAGATAGTAGCCAAGTAACCAAGGTCCATAGCTATGAAGTGGGGTGGGGGAGAGAGACAGAATGGTTTAAGATATTAGACTGGATGAAGACAGAGAACATGTCCCAGTGCTATGGCTATCTGCCTGCCTGCTTTAGTATTATGATATTGGGACCTTAGGAGACAAGAGAAAATATAATATTTGTATGGACTATTGGCATTTGATCCGTCCTGTTTTTTTAATATACAAGAAAAATATGTTTACAGTAAAAGGCTAAAATAAGGAGGCTATGCCCTGCTTTTAACGACCTTAGCAGTGCTTTTTATTTATAGAGCCATCGTGCTCGAAGTATTGGCTTTAATTACCCTTGGGAATTTGCAAGCTAGTGGAGTTGGTGGCTCCCACTTTCTAGGGAACAAAAGCTCAGGTAGGAGGCCTTGGTCTCTTGGCAGAGGGCACCAGGTTGGCAAAAGCTGGTTTAACATATAGAGGACATTAGATAAGCTAGGAACACAAACTTTTTTCTTTTTGTAGGACAGGCCTGCGTTAACTTTTCCCTGCCTTTCGCCAAACACTGCTCTCAATTGTCCACTGGATGTCTCTGTGCAGTTGCTTTACAGAGGCTCGTAAACACAAGTCGAGGCTCCAGTTGCCAAGCCCAGTCTTGGAAGCTGCAACCCTGTTCATCTGCACAGGTGCTGGGGAGGTCGTTTAGCGCATTGCTGAAAGAGAGAAAGTGCGTCACTTCAAAGAAGGGCTCAAGATCTGCATGAAATGTGCATGTGTTATTTTTCCATGTACAAATGCAAACTTAGGAACTCTTGTTCATCATCATTATTCATCATAATTATTTGGAAATGATTATTATAATTTAAACGGAAAGGTAATGCACCTCACCTTCATTAGGGAGCCCTGTGTGCCTGCTCTGCCTGCTGTCAAGATGTTTACTGTCTGAAACTAGACTTTTACTGGAGGGCCCTTCCAATAGAGGCCTCCTTTGAGTACAGAACATCTTCCGGCAGAGGACTTCCTTCCCACAATGTTTTTGCTCTCTCCTTGGAAATTTCAACCATGTGCTGGAGACGGGAGCTGATGGGACGTATTGTTTTGGAGTCTGAGCAGAGAAGCTCCTGCTCCAAGTCACATTATACCCACCAACATATAGATAGATGATGATCTAGATCAATGTACTGCAATGACAAACCTAGACAGCATCTTAAAAAGTACATCACTACACTTCACTTTGCCAACAAAGGTCCGTATAGTTAAAGCTATGGTTTTCCCAGTAGTGATGTATGGAAGTGAGAGCTGGACCATAAAGAAGGCTGATCGCCGAATAATTGATGCTTTTGAATTATGGTGCTGGAGGAGACTCTTGAGAGTCCCATGGACTGCAAGAAGATCAAACCTATCCATTCTTAAGGAAATCAGCCCTGAGTGCTCACTGGAAGGACAGAGCCTGAAGCTGAGGCTCCAATACTTTGGCCACCTCATGAGAAGAGAAGACTCCCTGGAAAAGACCCTGATGTTGGGAAAGATTGAGGGCACAAGGAGAAGGGGACGACAGAGGACGAAATGGTTGGACAGTGTTCTCGAAGCTACCAGCATGAGTTTGACCAAACTGCGGGAGGCAGTGGAAGACAGGAGTGCCTGGCGTGCTCTGGTCCATGGGGTCACAAAGAGTCGGACACAACTAAACGACTAAACAACAACAACTCTATGAGATGTCTACTGCACAAGCCCCATCGAAACATCTCCTGCATGGCTCCAGTTAATTTCAACAGGGCTTGTGCAGGAGAACTTCTCAGGTTTTTGATCCTTTGATCAACTATGGAACTTGCCAGGGCAGATTTTGGCCTTTCAATTTTCAGTGGCGCCCTGTGCGAGGCAAAAATCTGCCGCAGCCGCCTGCTGTTGAGTTCAATTGATCAGTGCAGCTACCCTAAAGCCACCTCTGAACGCGGGCATAGCCACTTGGGGGGGGGGGGGCAGAACCAAGTTTTCTGCAACACAATTGGTCAGTTAATTAAGTATTTATATTTACTTGATGGCGGGTGGGGGGAAGCAGCTGCACCCCTGCACCCCCCCCAGGCTACGCCCATGCCTCTCAAACTCCCTAATTGTGAGTTAAATGGGAGGGGTGCCCATTTTGCTGCATAATTAATGCTTTAAACACAGAGTAGTGTTGTAGTTGCATTCAATGTGTTGACATTTAATGAACTGGCCATCCCATTCTGCACCAATAGAATTTGTGGTTGCATTTCAGAGGCAGGTTTATATACAAGACAGTACAGTCTAGCTTGGGTGTTACTAAATTATCTAATGAATAAACTAAAATAGAATGGATAACCGTGGCTGGATCATCTATTGAAAGAATGAACTGGGCGTAGGAAGATCCAGTCTTGAATACAGCATCGATGTGTTTTGTTGTATACTCATTTTTCACTAAAATACATACATATATATATATATATATATTAAGCACCATGCAGATATGCCTAGTTGGTATTCACACTCAGGAATACTTTGTGTCTAACATAATTAAATTGAGAGCATCGTGTGATACACAGTACGGCGTTTTCCTTGTGATGAATAAATGTGCAAGATCTTGGGCGAAAAGTCGCACACTCCTGCTTTCCAAAGGATATGAGGGGAAACAGGCGAGCTCCAGCAGTGGCTCTTAAAAGTTTAGCCACGATCATATAGAATTATTTATAGAAACTAACTTGAACAGCTGCTTTTCCCACTCTCTTGCGGGACTCATTAAAATCCTGTTTAACACTCAAATAGGTCTGTGTGTTTGGTGGCGAGAGGGAGAAAAGTGTGTGTACTTTAAAGAAATTACAGGATTTGGAAATTAAGATCAAAGGTGCAGAATGATCTTGAAGTTACTCACTGCTCCCCACGCTTTCCTGACGAATTAAAAAATGATGACATGGAGCAGAGCTGCTTCTTCTGCACAGCCAAAAATGGAACAGGAGAGTTAAATGCAGCCATGTTGCAGTCTGCATCTGAAAAAGGAAGCAGGGAATAAAAAGAGGAGGTATTCAGAGGGTGTCTCAGGAAATTACTTATGAAGCTCTGCGTAACATGAGAGCACAGTGCTGGGATGTCTGGCTCCTAAGGCACATCACTGCAAAGATGAAGGCAATCCTGCGCACACTTGTCTGAGAGTAATACAGTGGGAATACAGTGGGACTTTCTTCCATGTAAACAAGCACAAGATTGGACTGCATGGCTCATGTAATTTGGTCCTCCGTCCTGAGACAAGACCCCCACCCCCCCGCTGCCAATTTTAAATCACCTCATGATATTCAGACAGTGGTATGTTACAAGCAGGGACGCGGGTGGCGCTGTGGGTTAAACCACAGAGCCTAGGACTTGCCACTCAGTCCCTGCTCCTGCCAACCTAGTTCGAAAGCACGTCAAAGTGCAAGTAGATAAATAGGTACTGCTCCGGCGGGAAGGTAAACGACATTTCCGTGCATTGCTCTGGTTCGCCAGAAGCAGCTTAGTCATGCTGGCCACATGACCCAGAAGCTGTACGCCGGCTCCCTCGGCCAATAAAGCAAACCCAGAGTTGTCCGCGACTGGACCTAATGGTCAGGGGTACCTTTACCTTTACCATTATGTTATAAGCAAAAACCGGGGCAAATAAAATACTCTTCCTGTTCGTACTCAACAGCTAGGCACATCTCCTTGTCTCTTAGAAGAACATAAGGGCAGCCCTGCTGTTTTCTTTTAAAGCAGAGCAAGGGCCAAACTCGATGAGACATTAAGGGTGTGATTGCATTTTGTCTAGTTTTAACATCTTAAGTAACAGGGGGAGAGATTAGAATAAGGACTGTGGTGGTTGAGGGATTAAACACCCAATGTCATGGCCTCAATTATTATTGCTTTTCCCTGCTGCCAGTTAATATCACTTCCCTCCCAGAACTAATAGCAATTGCTAGAGGGGGGAATTAATAGGGATACTGGCAGGAGAAGGAAGGGTTAACTCTCCCTATAGGCTGTGTTCTAGATCAGGGGTTAGCAACCTTTTTCAGCCGTCCACCACCATCCCTCAGACCATGTGGTGGGCCAGACTATGTTTTTTGGGGGGGGAATGAATGAATTCCTATGCCCCACAAATAACCCAGAGATGCATTTTAAATAAAAGCACACATTTTACTCATGTAAAAACACCAGGCAGGCCACACAACTAACCCAGAGATGCGTTTTAAATAAAAGGACACCTTCTACTCATGTAAAAACACACTGATTCCTGGACTGTCCACCGGCCGGATTGAGAAGGCGATTGGGCGGTATCCAGCCCACAGGCCTTAGGTTGCCTACCCCTGTTCTAGATTATACATCCTTATAGAGATAGAATGTTTCCCTCCTTCCTCTGCTGTTAGGTTGCAGGAATACTTTTATTATTTGTGTATATTACTTAGAGCCAGTAGTGATGTATGGAAGTGAGAGCTGGACCATCAAGAAGGCTGATCGCCGAAGAATTGATGCTTTTGAATTATGGTGCTGGAGGAGACTCTTGAGAGTCCCATGGACTGCAAGAAGATCAAACCTATCCATTCTGAAGGAAATCAGCCCTGAGTGCTCACTGGAAGCACAGATCATGAAGCTAAGGCTCCAATACTTTGGCCACCTCATGAGAAGAGAAGACTCCCTGGAAAAGACCCTGATGTTGGGAAATATGGAGGGCACAAGGAGAAGGGGACGACAGAGGACTAAATGGTTGGACAGTGTTCTCTAAGCTACCAGCATGAGTTTGACCAAACTGCGGGAGGCAATGGAAGACAGAAGTGCCTGGCGTGCTCTGTTCCATGGGGTCACGAAGAGTCGGACACGACTAAACGACTAAACAACAACATATTACTTAGAGAGACATCTCAATATTTTGCGCTGTTGAGCTACCACATGGCATACAACTTTGGGGATTCTGTAGAAGTGGAGAGGCGTGACTGTCCACTATGGCTCAGATGACTGACCCATCAGTGAAAGTTAAACTGTTCCAAAACTTCCCATTTGATTGTTTCAGAGTTGCTCTCTTAGGACAGAAGTGCACAAATGCAAGGATACTTGCAGGGGACAGTCAACAGACAGGAGTGGAGTGCTCAAGCCTTTCCGAACCACCAGTTCTTACCTGCAAATGCCCTCTGCCCAAGTCACTTGCAATATTTTTCCTAGGCTCAAAAACTGGAGGCAACTTTGGCTAAGGAACAAAAGGTCTGGCCTGGCGTTTATACGCCACCTGCTTATCTATAGATATTCCTTCAACTCCTGTATTGGTGTTTCCTTGGTAAACATTGGCTTGGGAATTCATGTTAATTAAGGTAGTCTAGTTCCCTTAATTATTACTTCCAATTAATATTTCCAAGAAAGGGACTTTTAAGCTCCAGCTCAAACAAATCCCAATTTCAGGAAGTTCTAGGATCTAAGTATATGTCTGAGGTCCTCCTCTCCAAATACTGTTGCTAAGAAGTTATAACGTTTGCACAGATCTGTCAGAATTGTGTTTAAGTGTCTCACTGAGATTCTTGTGGGTCCACTAAACCGTTAATTGTTTTAGGCTGGAATGGCAAAAGAAGATGGGCTGTTTATATAGCACCATCAATGTACAATGGTAATTTTTGTTATTGTTATTTATAGGATTGTATTTTTTTCGTGTCTTCTAAGACACCTTTGATCTAATGTGGCAGAATTGGGAATTAAAGATTAAGAGGAAACCACATTAATTTCAGCTTGGAAAATTATTTGTTGTTTTCTGTATTTGATTATAAAGCACCCCCCCCCAAGTATGTAGGGTCTATGTTTACAGTTCAGGAACCGGTATGGATACAATCAAATAAGGTGCATTAAGACACATGTATGGTGTGCACACAGTCAACATAATTTGCCTGGGATGTTCTTACTGCTAGGTGACAGTTCTGTTTCCCAAGAGACATGTTCATTTTCTAACTGGAAATCTGGAAATATTGCAAGTCTCTTTTACTTTGACTGGCATTTAGTGACAAGATGGTATTTTAACATTAAGTATTTTCACCTGCTTTATGAAAATTACCGTATTTTTCTGTGTATAAGACACCCCCACCTATAAGACAATCCTTATTTTTTGAGCCCAAAATTAAGAAATAAATAATTGCAACATTCCATGTATAAAACGACCTCCAATTTTAAACTTTAAAAATTTGGGGGGAAATATAGTCTTATACATGGAAAAAATCTGGTGGTTTATGTGCTAATTGTTTTGCAATTTATTCAGAATTTTTTCAAAATGGAAGAAATCTAAATACAAATTTAGCAGACTGTAAAATTCTAGAGAAAATTCTTGACTTTGGAGAAGCTAAGGCATAAATCATCATTTGTTTTATACACAGAAGTAATAAGATATATGTATATGAAGGCTTCTCCCAAAAATAACACACATGGTCTCCAAAAAGCTAAGTAGAAATAATTTAGTGAGGAGGCAAAGGATCTGATTTCCAGATTGAGTCACGGGAGTAATAGGTCATAAAACATCTTCTGTAGGAGTGGGAAGACCCACAGGAACTATATAACACTCCTTTGCTGGTTCTGTGCTCTTGGCATTTCACGATCTCATGAAAGGAAGGAAAATCTTAATTCTCAGATATATGACTTGTCCAGGGAAAGAGACTACAGCTTTCAAGCTAGCTTGTTAGAAATAAATGAGTTAATGCTAGCTATAGTTGGTTGGTGGGGACAAAATCACAAACCACAGTTGAGCAAAAGCCAAAGTGAAATCTTCTGATTTTCTCCTCCCAACTACATGGGCGAGAAGGGAAGTGAGGGCTTGCGCAAGCAAGAGGCTCACTGCTGCCCATTTTGGCTTGCTCATGCAACACTAAACTGTGGTTAGTATGGTGCCCAAATGTGCTAATACCATCATAGTTGCTGGTCATAAGAATTACCCTATTTGGAAATATTTTAAACACTTTCCCTCTATAGCAGGGAAAAGGGTGGGAGCTCATGCAAATTGTATGGTATGTCAGATGCAATGCTTCATTATAAGACTGTGACAATGTAACTAATACTCTATTTAGTTGTGGATTAGTGGTCAGATTTGCACCATTGTTTAGGAAATATAAGAATCAATGAAAAACTTGATTTAAATCAATTCACTTTGCTACAGAGGCATCATCTTAGTGATTAGTCCAATATCTCAACCAAAGTATATTTCTGATTAATAAAGGCTAACAATCATCTAGCTGTAATTAATTGATAGATTGTGAAGAGGGTTTCACAATGGATCATGCTTTTGAAAGATATTGTAAGCCTCCTCCCTGGATTCTCAATTATCACAAATTTAAAAAGGCTGTAACCCTTTTTACTTATGAATGTTAAAGGTATCTCTGCCCAAATGTTCACGTTTCAGTATTTTAGCCAATGAGAGCCAAGGCACTGACTGGGGTAAATGTTGTGCAGGGATGAGAAAAGGACCTGTCAAACTTGGATTCAAAAGCAAACTTGCCTGATTTGATCTGGGTGGATCAGATCAGATCATGCGTCCATTTCAGAATCTGCAGTCTGACGATCCCTTCATGAGGTTGTCCTGAGTTTTTACATGTAGGCAGCTGTGTTTTTTCCATAAAATTCTCCCTGAGAGTGATGGAGTGTCCATCAAGTCCTGTTGCAGTCCATCTTGCAGTCAAATTGTGTGGCAGCAAGGAGTCTCGTGCAGTAGCCACACCAGGCTGTGGGCAGCTGGACGATCTATATTTGGACTTTTTAAAAGGCAATAAGTAGCTTTTACAAGAACAGAAGCAGCACTGCCTCAAAGGTAGTTTATTTTTATGTTTTACCTTGATGCTTCTGCATAGGTTTTAAAGGATTTCCCCTTAAAAATCTGCATAGGCACAGATTAAAAAACTTGATTTATTTTATAAGACTACTTGTATTCAGTTTTGAAGTTTCACATTGTTTTACAATGAAAATGCTCTAGTGGAACCAATCCAGTGCCTTACATTTGCATCACACTGTCCTCCCTCCCAGGAAGCAGTATCGACTCACCTGCTAGGAGGTAAGGTCAGTGTCTGCATCCCACCCTGCTGCTTACTACCGGTGACAGAGGATTATTTCTGCAAGCTACCCACAGAAAATATAAACGAGGCAGGTAGAAACAAATAAAAGGGAGTCTGTTTTTTTGTGCAAGTCATGTATGTCTAGATAAGAAAGCACTGTAACATAAACATAAAACCGAATTGTTGTTGTTTAGTCGTTTAGTCGTGTCCGACTCTTCGTGACCCCATGGACCAGAGCACGCCAGGCACTTCTGTCTTCCATTGCCTCCCGTAGTTTGGTCAAACTCATGCTGGTAGCTTCGAGAACACTGTCCAACCATCTCGTCCTCTGTGGTCCCCTTCTCCTTGTGCCCTCCATCTTTTCACATCTGCCCTTCCAGTGAGCACTCAGGGCTGATTTCCTTCAGAATGGATAGGTTTGATCTTCTTGCAGTCCATGGAGACTCTCAAGAGTCTCCTCCAACACCATAATTCAAAGGCATCAATTCTTCAGCCTTCTTTATGGTCCAGCTCTCACTTCCATACATCACTACTGGGAAAACCATAGCTTTAACTATACAGACCTTTGTTGGCAAGGTGATGTCTCTGCTTTTTAAGATGCTGTCTAGGTTTGTCATTGCTTTTCTCCCAAGAAGCAGGCGTCTTTTACCGTAATTTCGTGACTGCTGTCACCCTCTGCAGTGATCATGGAGCCCAAGAAAGTAAAATCTCTCACTGCCGAATACATACCACTAAAAATATGGCTTTATACTTAGACCAAGTGATCCCTGGATGAACAAGTACTGGTACACAGAATCCAAATTCACCCTGGAAAGCAGATTAAGCTCCTTGAGGAAACTCAATTTCAAGGGGCAGACAAGAGAATTGGATTTGGTGAACTTCTTCCAGCATTCCTAGCTATTACACCGATTCCAAAGGGGAAAAGTGGATCCCACAATTTGACGTTTTGTGAGTGGCAATGAGAGAAGCAACTATATTATGGGTGAGCCTAATCAGATTTCATCAGACGATGAGGCCACATTTCAAAAGCGTTGGTATCAATACATGATTGGCTATCAACCCAACAAATAGTGCATTGATTACATTTACACTTACACACATTTCCTCTCAGGAGCACAGAGCAGCTTATATATAGATTCAAGGTGGTTTCCCCTTCCAGGCATTGCTCAGGGTTACATTTTCTTAGATTTAGTTGCTGAATTGTATCATGGAGCTCCTTCACACCGCTTGCTGGGCCATGCAGGCTAGGATAATCATCTTGACGAAGTAATACTCACAAGTCCTAATTTTTTTTCTTGTTGAATACGAGTCACAACATTCTTATATCATAGGGGGACAGGAATTCCTTTGCTTCTTTTAGTTCTTGAGCTACAAAAGCAATAGTTTGTGTCAAGAATCAATGTGCTTTCGTCAACATTCAATGCACTAGGCAATGTTCCCCATTCATCCTCACACCAATGTGATATGGTTAGGGGGGAACTGTCTTTCTCCATCTGCTATTCCAATAGAGGCCAATCAAACACCACAGAGAAAAAGTGCAACAGCCGTTCCCGTTTATCCCTAGTATCTGCTGGTTAGAGGTATACATCTGCTGAATTCGGAGAATGGCTAGACTATGACAGGCAGAGAAATTAATGTTTTCCTATGACAGGCAGATAAAGTAATGCTTTCCTACCTATGTATATGTGTATCCAGTTAATACTGGCTTGTAACTAGTTCACACTCCCATAACATGGAGAAACAGGCAGATATCAGCAAACAGCCGAATATATGAGCTAGAGAGTCAGTATGGCATGGCAGTTGGGAGTGCTGGATTTGGGAGAGCTGGTTTCAAATCTCTACTCAGGCAGTCATAAAGCTCATTGGGTTATCTTGAGCTATAACTACATCTCAGCTTAACTTACCTCACAGGAATGTTGGGATAAAGTACCGCATGAAGAACCACATATATCACTCTCACCTCATTGAAGGAACAGTGGAAAAACAACACAATCCAAATTATAATCTAGTGTGTAATCATGTTACAAGATGCCTTATATTGAGATTGGCCATGGTCTTTTTCCAGCCAATTTGACATCCTGCTTCATAGCCAACCAAAGTGGCAGGGGCAACTCAGACAGATGGGCAGGTATTAAAAAATTATTATTATTATTATTATTGCTGCTCAGATAAGACAGATAGTTGGCACAATTGCTCCTGGGCTTCCTCTTCAGTGTTGTAGAGTTCAACCAATTACGGACTGTGAAGTAATATGGATGTAGACTAGAGATCAAGTCTTGTTCTATAGTTCTAATATATTTATTCTATCTGTTACAAAATTGTACACACCTAAATAACAAGACATGACACGACTGACAAAAAGCGAGTCATGGGGTGGGTGTGTAAAATACTAAACATATTATTTTACAGTACATATTACTGAGGTGATTACAGTATACCAGTCCAATGAACTCTTCAATAAATCAACTTGGAAAACACACAAGAATTGGAATGAACTAATGAGTAGGGCCTGCTTATCTATGCCATATTGCAATATATGCTGTAGGTATTTCTCGTCCATGTGTTGCTCCATTTGTATATTTAATAAAATCATACTAAACTGTGTAAAATTACCTTGTTTTTTCTCTCCCCTTGCCCTCTTCAGTTTGTACAACAACTTTTCCATTAAGGCTGTTTGCCAGACTGTATTATACCAGTGATCAATATTCATTAATTGCAAGGAAAAGCTCAAGGCTTGTTCCAAGGTCCGCTGAACACTGGTTAGGGCACATAACTGTGTGTGCCATGTCAAAATATAGGCAGCAAAAGAAGCATACTTTGTAACCTGTGCTGCATCCTCTAGCGGCCAGCAAGCTAAGCTCTTTCGAGTATTCAGAGGTTGCTGTGGAGGAGGGACCCCTGGAGCCTTCAAGAACCTGCTGTAACCAACTAGCTGCATATTTTTAGGATAAAATTGCTCGGCTTTGGAGAGAGACCTTGACTCCGCAGGTGTTGCAGTTCCAACTGAAGTGCCTAATGCCATTTCTTGCAATGCCCTGTAGGATCCCTTTCAGTTTATGCACTCTTGTGACACAAATAAAATGCATTATTCTCTGATTGACTACATACCCTCTTGATGCCTGTCAGTCTCTGCCACCTTGAAAGATGCAATGGTGTGGCCAGTCCTAAAAAACGCCAGCCTTACACCCATTGATTTGGACCACCTACCAGTCAATTGCAAATTCCACTTGCTTTGCTGATACTTGTTATCATTCTAGACAAATTCCTTCTAGAACCCATCTGGGTTCAGGCCTTGCTATGGGACCAAATTGGCGTTGGTTACCCTGTGGATGACCTCTATCGAGAGCAGAAAAAGGACAATGCAGTCTTGCTCCTTCAGTGTCACTTCAGCTTTTAATAGCCGTGACCATGGCATTCTCCTACAATGACTCTGTGGGCTATGCACCAGTGCCTGGACACCCCCTGGCAGGGGGTTGGACTCGATGGCCCTTGTGGTCTCTTCCAACTCTATGATTGTTCTAGATTTTTTTTTTTAACCGTTTCTAGATGAGGGCAAATAAACTTAGCTTAAATCCCAGTGGAGTGGGTGACTGGCTCTTGTGTCAAACAAACAGGCCAATTGCTTGTCTTGGATGGGACTGTGCTCCTTTCTGAAGGAGTTTGTTTGTTTGTTACCCACTCAGAAAGTTCCAGGGTGGGCTACAGCCTTAGCCATAGAATGCAAGTGCAGGACACTACTTCTGTGGGGAGGGAATTTGACAGTGTTGGACTTGCCACAGAGAATGACCTCTCCTGCATTACCATTCCCCAAACCTATGAGGGTGGTAGAACTACCAAGAGGGTTCCTTCTTCTGACATTAACACTCAGTGTGTGGGTGCTCCTGGATCCAACTTTGTTAACTAGAGCTTTTACAGATGCCATATGATATTCACTCCACAGCTGTGAGTTGAACTTCCAGTGTGCTTTGGAACTCCCTGCCTATTAACATGAGGCAGGCACCCTTGTTGTAGTGCTTCAGATGCCTGTTAAAAAATTAATTGGTCTGGTAAGTCTACCAGGACATAATCTAATTAACTATGCACTTGGTTTTTAAAACTTTCTGATTTAATGTGTATATTGCTGATAATTGTTTTGCGTTGTTTTTATGCACCCTACATAGGGGTTCTTTTTATTAAGCGCTTTACAGCTTCTATTACTATTTAATTTATGCATCACTTCCTGTAAAACATCCTGAAGCGATTAACAATAAAGATAAATACATTCTAAAATATCTAGAAGTGCATATTGGTTACTCACCTGTTGCTGGGAACCCAGATCTCTCTCAAGATAGGGTCTTTTGTAGGAATTGTCACACTGCCCCATTTATCAAGCCACAGCACTTTGTCATTAAGAAAGTGTAAATTCCATGTCCACATTCTCAACTGGAAGACCTATTACATTCTGGAGTTCTGCGTAAAGTGCACTGATACAACTGGTAGTAAGCAATTCAACAGCCTCTGCTTGCATCATTTTGTTTTTTTAAAAAAATAACTTATTCTTTTAGCAACTTTTGAGCACTTTTCTACTACATATATCTTTCAGCATGGAGGGTGCAGGTAGTGATGGGAAAAGAATGAGATACCCTGCCCCAGCAATATTCTGACATTGTGCTGACATCCCCCCCCATTTACTTTGAAGGTTTCTCTCTTATTTTTATTTATGTTGTAATAGCTCTGAACAGGTGTACCCCTTGCAGTATGGTTAACCTTGAGGACAGAGAACAATGCTAATGGCACTACCACTGTGCTGAAACAAATAACCAGTGCAAGACCACTCCATGTTATGGTGGAGAGTGTATAGGATTTTGACCAGAGAGCTCAGCAATCACCTCTGCCATGGAACTCACCATAAGCAATGTTATTGAGATCTGCTGAATGGCCCACAGGAATCAGAGGAAGCTGTTACAGTGGCAGAACTTGAGATATGCCGCCAGTATGACAGATAGCTGGTAAAATCCTCCCATACACCAGCAGATGACATGGAGTGGAGGTGTGGGCTGCACAGGGGAAGAACATACACATAACAAATCTGATACCCTTCAAGTTATGGCCAACCTTCAGCGATGGTGCAACATTACCCCAGCCCCCAGACCCACTGTAAGGGATTTCCCTCCTGTTGACTTTTACTGCAAGGGAAAGACTTTAAAAACTGCTCCCCTCCCAGGCTGAGCATGTTTACAATTTGGTGCCCTTTCCACATCTCCAGATCTGGTGTAGTAGGTTAAGTATAGGGTTGCATGGGATTTGTCCTTGGGAAAATCAGTACCATTCAGCCAAACCCATCACATAAGGGTTTTTTTAAGGGGGGGGGAATGTGGGGTTGTGTATACAACCATCAGCTCCCTGGAGGAAGAAAATAAAATAAACAAACACATTGTATTGCATTGTATTTATTTGATTTACACCCCATCCTTTAACAGCTTACCTGGGCAACTTACAGAAAGATTAAATAATTACAGTAAGACTATAAAAACAAAAACATTCCTACATCATGATACAGCAGAGCAGCATATAAGCGGTCAGCAGAAATAAAAACAAACACCAAGCAAAGTAGTGTATGGAGGATTATTAGTATTATCAGTATAATCACCTGGTAAACCACCATTTCAATTTATACATAATTAAAAACAGTTAAAAAACACAAAACAAGTACAATTAAAATAAGACTAAATCTCTTAACAAGTGGACAGTCAGGGTAAATGCCCATTTATCCAGCTGGGAAAGCCTGTCAAAACAAAAATGTCTTTTTCAATCTTTCCCAGAAAGGGCAAATAGTGCTTGTCCTACCTGACAGGAATGCTGTTCTACAGAATAGGAGCAGCCACACTAAAAGCCTTTCTCTTGAGTTACTGCAGAGTATGCTTCTGAAATCTTGGAAACGGAGGAGAAACTCTCCTACAGACCATTGCGATCTACTGGGTGTATAAGGAATACAATGGTCTCTCAAGTAACCTGGTCCTGAGAAGTATATGGCCTTCTGGAAATAACCATGTTATGTCTTATATTTATTAAACCATGCTTCTTCCGGGATCCAGGGACTAGTATTTCATCATAGGTGCTAAAATCCAGGATACACCATTGTGTACCACACAACATTATTTGGCGTTCATGTGGTGATTTGGTACCCCTATTTTATGTATTCCAATTACCCGAGCTCTGTAAAGTTTTCAATATTATGACTATCAACCAAGCAACATGGACATTTGTTTTCCATCTCGTATAGAAAACACAGTAAAAACTACCCTTTGCTTCTGGAAAATTTTGGACACTTGAAGCCAAAGACTATACAAATTTGTTCCCGAGGCATATTAATTGACAATGGAAAACTTACTTTAGTTTCCAGCTCTTGTCCAAGAATCTGAGTTCTCACTACAGAAATGTTTCTAGTCCTCATAATAAAGGTAACTTGAAAGTATCTGGCCACATCACTATGAAGCAATAAAATTATAGTAACTTGTTGGGGCAACCCAGCCAGATAGGCAACAAATAACAATAACAATAATAATATTCTGCCATTTTTTCAAGAGCCAGATCCTAATTTTGTACAACAACTGCTAGTTCAAGTGGTATGCAAACTAATTTCATTCCCCAGAGCAGATCTTTGGAACCACAATAGGTTTTAGCAACAAATACTATATACTCACAAGAAACATGAGGCAATTTCATGGATGTCATCTGATGTGTCATCGGAGTACGAACAAATTCTTGGAATGTACAGGAGCTTTTAGTCCACTGAATCCTGTTTCAGGACAAGGCTTTCAGAGTAAGTTTGAGTCATTTAGGGAACATTTCAGTAATACCCCCTCCAATTAGACTCTAGGTTTTAAGTTTTGATTCGATTTCAGCCACCTTCACATTATATTACTCTATGAGATAACAGTATCTGCTGTCAAGACCATAGGAACCACTGCTGATCGCAGAAACCACCACAACCCTCTGGAGTGTAGCATCCAAAGAGGAAAGCATAGCATTTCCCTCCACAGAGGCAACAAAAGAGCCCCACACCTGTTCACTCTGAAACAGCAGCGAGGCAACAGAGGAGCGAGAAACTGCACAGAAGGGTATGAAGCAGCAGGGGCGACCACAACATGTATGGATCTGGAGCAATGCAACAATGCGCTTCCAAAAATGGCTCCACACCTACCTACCCTTCCGCGCGCCCTGCATGCGTTTCCACCAAGGTTTTCTTTCTACTCTGCAGCTGCTTCCACAGTTGGTTGGTGCCCACACGAGCCAGAGGTTTCCGCTCCCACATGCCACCCAGCCAGCATGAGGAGCAAAAATCGGGCTCTCCTTAGAAGGGCCGAGCTGTCAGGTCTGCTCTTCCCTTTGCAGAACTGACCCGCGGTGCGCACGTGCGTGCCTGCCTAGATCCGTGTCTTTCTGCCAGCCCCCTCCCCCGCGCGCCCCAGGAACAGATTAATCATTTTCTCTCCATGAGATCACCGGTCGTAATAATTTATGCTAATATTATTCCCGCCCCGTTTCTCACCCCTTCTCCTTAAATTTCCCTCCTACCTAAGCGGGGACGGGGGGGGGCGGGGGAGAGAAGAGAAGAAACCTTTCTCTCTCTTTCTTTTTAACCCCCCTCCCCAATCTTTCTCTGGGATAAAGGCCCTTTATCGCATTGCATAGGAACGCGGGCCCGGCTGGATCAGGCCAGCTGCCCATCAGGCCAGCAAGTCCCCTGTTCCCTCAGAGACGCTGGGCACTTCCGACGTGAGGCAATCCTTACAGGAGCGTTTAATAACTTTCGAAAATCCTTTATGGACCCCCCCCCCCGCGTCAAACCGCCGCCAACTGACAACCCAAAGGCAGGCGCGTTTCAAATCTTTAATCTCTGAGGTAAACTGAAGCCAAGCGCCCCCCCCCCCTTTCTTCTTCCCAACGCTTCCCTGTCCCTCGGCAGATCCTCCCTCCTTCTAGCCTCGGCCCTTTATATGTACGTCCCTTTATGCGGCCTCCTCCTCCAGCCACCCCGCCCCGCCATCTCCCCTCCCACCAAGCGGCAGCCTTCCCCCCCCCTTTCTCCACCTCCTCAGGACCCGCCGCCCCTCGGACGCGGCATGCAAGCTAGGGCGCCATTGGCCGAGCCGCGTCGCTCCTTCCGTGCGGGAGGCGAGGATTGGGTGAGGGTGGGAGGAGGAGGACGAGGTGGCCCGCCTTGCCCGTAGCGAGAGCGAGTTGTATGTGTGTGTGTATAATGTGTGGTGAGTGAGGAGAGAAGGGAATAAGGGAGGGGGAGCAGAGAGAGGAGGAAGGCGCGCGCGCGCCGGGGTTGAGGGTGGGGGGAGTTTGCCTTGCCTTGCCTTGCTTGCCTGCCTTTTTTCCCCCTCCCTCCTTCTCTCTCTCTCTCTCTCTCTCTCCCTGGCAGTGTCAATGGCTCCTCCTGCCACGGAGCGGCGACGGGCTTAAGCCGAAGCCGGGCCAGGGGGAGCTGTGGGCGACTCCCTCGAGAGAGAGAGAGACGGGGGGGCACGAAAGCGGCGATATTTGAGGCTGGGGGAAGGGGGAGGGAGGGGAAAGCGCGCGCTCGTGAGGGGAACGAGGAGGAGGAGGAGGAAGGAGGAGAAGGGGGGGTCACCAGCGGCACGAGCATCTCCCCCCCCCCTCTCGCAACCTCGTTAACCGCCGCCGGCGGAGGAGCGACCTGAGCGGCGACTGAGGAGAAGCAAGGAGGAGGCTCCTTCTTTTCCACCGAGAGAGAGCGAGCTCTCAGTCGGGCCGGTTCCCCTCAGCCGGCGGGGGGGCTCCCTCGTCCCTTCCTTTCCTCTCCCCCCTCCTCTCCCCTCTCCTCCCCCCCTACCCACCCCGAGTACCGGAGCCCGGAGGAGCGACCCCCTCTCCTCCCCCCGCCCGAGCCGGCAAATGAACTCGGTCCGAGCCGCCAACAGGAGACCCAGGCGAGTGTCCAGGCCGCGCCCGGTGCAGCAGCCGCCGCCGCCGCCTCCGCCGCCGCCTCCTCCCGCTCAGCCGCCTCAGCAGCAGCAGCAGCCACTGCAACTGCCGCCGCCGCCGCCGCCACCGCCGGAGAGGAACAACAACGCCGCCGCCGCTGCTGCCGCAGCCGCCGCCGTCGCCGCTGGGGAAAGGGGTAAGAGGCCGGGGGTGGGTACGGTGGGGGGGGGCAGCGAATGTGTGTGGGGGGGAGAACCGGGTGGGGGTCCCCCCTCATATAACTGCGAGGCAACGCTGTTTCCCCCACCCTTCCCTCTCCTTTCAAGGCGTACAGGCCCCGCTTTGTTTGGCTCGGGCCCTATTGGGGGTTTGTGGGTGGGCTGGGTGCCTTTTAAAAAAATAAGCTCGTTGTGGGTTCCTCTCAGGTAGGGAAGGGGGGGGGTCCGAGAGCCCCTTTCGGTTCCCCTGTGAGGGAGGGGGGCGAGAAGAGAGGCCCAGGATCTCTCTCTCTCTTTTTTGGCCACAGGGTGGGGAGACCACTTCCCTTCCTCCCCCCCACCCCCGTGTCCGGGACACGGCGTGTATCCCAGTAACTTGTGTTGACACCTTTCCTTTTATTCTCTCCGTCCCCTCCCAACTCTTCCTCTCAGCCCCCACCCCCTGATTGCCTCCCTCCCTCTTTCCCCCTCTTTTCTCTCCCTCTTTTTGTAATGGTGTCTCATGGAGACAAGAACTGCTCTTTCTCCCCCCCTCCTCCTCTTCCTCTCCCTCCCTCCCTCGCCCTGCCCCAGTGTTTTTGCTGCGCAGTTTGCATTCAGTGTGGCTTTGGTTACCCGGGGCCCGGAGGAAAAAAAGAGAGAGATAGAGATCGGGAGGGTTTGTGTGTGTGCGGAGGGGGTGTTGTTCGGTGGGGTAGCACAGCACCGAGGAGAGGAATCGCAGACCGTTTTCTGTCCGGGTAGATCATCGGCCATTTATTTATCTGCCTCCTGTCTCCTCCACCCGCCCCCCTCCGCCCGTTTCAGCCCGTCGTTCTCTCCCCTCCACCACCGCCACCCAGTTCACCCACCGCCCTAAATAAAAACCCACAAATATTTGCTCCTGGTGTCAGGCTGCTGCGGCTGGCAGCCGAGGAGCCTTCTCCTTTTCTCGCGCGTGCGAAGGTTTCGCTTCCCTGCCTGTGCGTGCTGGTCGTGGGCCTAGTGTAAAAATGTTGTCAGATTGGAGGTAGTCAGGGAAGCACCATTGTCTGAAAGAACTGGGAATGTAGTCGTAGGGAATCCTCTTCTTCTTCTTATTCCTCCTCCCCTCCTCCCCTGTTTTCTTTCCTTCCTTTTTCCGTAATGGAGGCTTTAAACGTTCATCGTGCAAATAAATAAAAACAGAGTCTTGGGGGTTTCTATTACTGGGCGGCCCGCGGCGGGGAGGGTGATCGCTCGCTCAGCTGCATAACTGTTGCCATATTAATTGGCTGGGGTTCTCTCCCTGTGTTGGTGTGCTGTCGTCGCAGGGTTATTTTCTAAAGGAGAAGAACAGGGGTGGGATCGAAGGAGACATTTTGCATTTATTATCTGGTGGGTTGGATTTTTTTTATTTTTTATGCGCCGGTGTCGCACCTATCGCATGATAAAAGGAGAATGACCTGTGGTACGGTGGTTAAGACGTTTAACAAAAACACCCATAGCCGTTGTTGTCTTTTGTTTGAGAGTGTGGGGATAATACGTTAGAGGAGAAAATGTTGTAGTCTTAAGAACTGCATTGAAACTCAAAGAGTTTTTGGTTTTTTTAAAAAAAAGATAAAACGGGCTTCCATTAACTCATTAAACAAAGGGACAGTAACCTGCTGAAACGCTTTTAATTCTTTCTTTCCTCCATGGCTTTCCTCCCCCCACCCAATTGGTCAACACAAGAATGTTGCCCAAACCACATAGCTGTGTATTTTCAGAGGATGTGATGTCCTATGCCCAATTATGGCTTTTGTGTAAACCATTAAAAATCTTTCTCACATCACTTACATAATTACTGATCATGCTTTTTTTTTTTTAAGGAGTTCACTTCCTCCTTTTGTATGTACTGTATTGTACATTTTTGCCCTCTTGTGTTCCATGTGCATGGAGGTTTTTTAATTACGAGCTTATGTGTTGACAATTTCTACATAGTTGAGCAAGGTTTTGTGACAGGTGAGGAAAATGTAAAGGGAAGATTGCTGTTGAATACTTCTATTAATTACTGAACTGGAAGTTTTAATTTTAAAATATTTCTAGGCTGCTTTGGGGGCAATGTCCATCAGAAGTGGCTTATAAATGTAAAACATGAAAAGAAAACAACATAAATGTTCTCAGTGTTAACCACCAGACCAGGCTTAATTATTCAGCTAGTACTAATTTCTTACCTCTGGATATCATTCATTTTAATACAAAATTTTAGGATTGAGATGTTTGTGCATAATATAAATATTCACTTGACAACTAAGAAGACATATAGTTAATCTCAGCAGGAGATGTTCTGCAGCCAAATAAATGATAAGCCCTTTCGTGTTTACATATTAAATATAAGAATTATTAGGGTGGCTGACAGATTTTTGGGCCTGAAAATTTCCTCCAGTTCTTTACTCATGTGAAACACCAAGGAAAGTATATTTATGAAGGTGTGCTTGAGTTTTTTTACTCAGACTTTTAAAGGTCAGTGATAATATCTTTCCTCAATGTGATCTTAATAAATTGACCATTTAAAAAATATATATTCATCTGTTCTTCCTTAATTTTGGATCTCTTCTGGGTGTTCTAAGATTCAAGTATCTTTTAAATTGGGATAATAAGCCTGATTATTCAGAAGTAACTGGCACTAAGAGAAGAGTATTATTTCTAAGTGTTTAAGATTGAAGACCCAAAGTCATTGGCCTTCCATGGTCACAAAGGCAGGTCAATCAAACAAACAAGACTTTAAGGTACCAAGGGTATATCTGCTCTTTGCAATATGTATCTATTTTGTATTTAGAAGAAACCTTATAAAACAATTGAGAAAATAAGTCCCTTCATATGTAAGATACTAGGAATTACTTTAGAAAGATAAACAGAAGTACAGTAGAGACCTATTAGATGAGGCAATGAGTATAATAGCACTCTAGGTTTAAAAATGTGAATTCTAGGGATAAGTCATATGATAACAAATTTAGACTTGTTTAAGATCTGTATACTTTTTGCATGCTTGATTTGAATGTTCAGATTGTAATGTGTATTTCTTCAACAAGAGCACTGCTTCCAAGCATCTCTGTGATGAGGTGTGCTTATACATGCACTGTTCATTGTAGAAATGCCAGTGGTTTGTGCACATGGTGAACAGATTTGTGTAAGCATGCAATCAGAGCAGACAAGAAAAGTCTACAAGTATTGGGGAAAATGCAGTTGTGTGAATCAATCCTCAGTACTGTACAAAACAGGAAGTGAATCGTGCAGTACTGAATTTATATCTATCTGTGCTATTCACTTCAGCTGAGTTATTTTCAAATTAGTTTTATGATATTTCTAAAAAGGTTCTGGCTTTCCAGTTGGAGTGCTACAATGTTTTACTACAAGATGAACTTCTTTTTTGAGGGAGGGCAAAATTTAGGAGCCAATTTGGAAGAGAAACTCACTGCTTAGTGAAATAACCCAGGGGTTAGTCACCAGACCCAGTTATTTAGCCATCAGTATTGTCTGTATATTTGTATCCTGACTATGGTGCTTTCTAGTGCTATCCTAGAAATATGGCTCTTAGACTGAATGCTAGATGTTTTATCTCTTGGAAATATGTTCAAGTTAATATACAGTGGTACCTCGGGTTACATACTCTGCTAACCTAGAAATAGTACCTCAGGTTAAGAACTTTGCTTCAGGATGAGAACAGAAATCGTGCAGAGGCGGTGCAGCGGCAGCAGGAGGCCCCATTAGCTAAAGTGGTTCTTCAGGTTAAGAACAGTTTCACGTTAAGTACAGACCTCCGGAACGAATTAAGTGCTTAACCTGAGGTACCACTGTACATAGTTTTGTCTCCTGTAGTATATTGTAGAATTCCATTTTAGGGATTTATAGTAAAAGCATTATCATGACAATAATTTAAATTGGCAAATGATACCTGCTGAACCCCAGTCTATGTATTCTACCTAATTTAGACCTAGTTGTGACTTAAGCAGTTTTTATATATAACTTGTTACAAAAGAATGTAATAACATTGCAAGCAATGCAGTGGGGATAGATGGATGCACATTCTGTTGTGGACTTTTGTGTTCATAGTTCCTGATCCAGCAAGCAATATACATTCAGGATCTTGCTTCCACACATGGATCCGTTCAGCTGAATTAGGGTGATATTGGGAATAGAATATGGATTGATTTTTAAATTAGGCCTTTTAACATTGATTTAAAAACAGTTGTGTGATCTGACTTCTCTGGTTAATTTCTTAAAATTGATTCTTATGTAATTATACCATCAAGCATGTTATTTACAATGAGTATAGACTTCAAGAATTGCTTTTGGACGACTAAGCAAATGATCTAGTAAAAAACACAAACTCTTTGTATGAATTGTATGTCTCAATATAACAGTAACTTGCTAATTGTCTTTAGTTTTGTAAGGATATGTGGGATAGTCTGGCCTGATGCACCTTGTTCACTGTTGCTTCTACTATATAGTTGAGTTCATGTGGACTAATTTGTAAATAGTGCAGATATGTGGTGGACTTTACTGAAGGTCAGAAATATTCATCCTTACCTTTCATATGTGTTACATTTACCACACATCAGACATGAATCCAGAGTTAATTAATGAGAAGGCATGTGCTGAATACTGGCATCAACAATGTATTTGAAGTTGAAGTCTACTTAAGACTGTGTGCCAGATTGCTAGATACACCTTCTCCACTATACATGGTTAATGCTGCTTGTTTATGGCAGGGTAGTTTACTAATCATATTAGTTAGCGCTGTCACCTTTATAATAGAATCATAGAACTGTAGAGTTGGAAGGGACCGTGAGGGTCATCTTGTCCAACCCCCTGCAATGCATGAATCTTTTGCCCAACGTGGGACTTGAACCCACAACCTTGAGATTGAGTTTCATGCTGTACCAACCGAGCTATCCCAACAGCAATAATCTGTTTAGGTGAAGACATGCTTCCACATACTGTAGAAAAGGTGACCATCTTGTGCTATACATGTGGACTTGATCCAGTGGCTAGAACCAGATGTGTGTTCAGTGCCGCTATTATGATCCAGCTACAGGAGACCACACACAGCACTCGTTTGTATGTAAGTGTGCAAGAATCCAGATTCCCAGTAGCCACTGGCATGTAAAGCTTGTGTCTTCTGTTCCAGTCACTGCAGGGGAGGTAAAGGCAAATTCTGTTTGGTTTCCAAACTTTACCAGAAAACCTCACAATCTCCTGCAAACAGTGTTTCCAAGAACTAAGCACAGAAATCTGCTTCTATATCTGTATTGCCCATGCTAAATTGGATAATCTCTCTTCATCCCACCGGATTTATTGACTACATGTTTCATTTTTAAAAAGGTGAAAAACACAATACTGGCCCTTTTAAAATTATTATAGGCAGCAGGCCTTGTGCAGAACTAATCAACATGTGACTTAAAACTAAGGTGTATTTCATTCAACTGCCTAATGAATATACAGTAGTGTGTGTGTATAGGCTACTAACATGCATATATGTGTTACTTGTAAGTTGTATGAATTATTCTTAAGGAATTATTTCTTGGGAAAGCAAGATGTTAGGTATGTCATTCTATTTCTCATAATATAATACTGATTTTCATTTTTTTTGGAAACATTTTTAAATTAAGAAAGCTGCATTAATGAAAGTTTGTATTCAAAGTATTGTAAATTCCTACACCCTTCCTACTGCAGCTGCTCAATCCTGCCAAAGAGTTGAGCCTACGGAGACACTCCAGAATGTTGTATGAGAGAACTGGCAGATATAGGAGGTCCACATTTGCACATATGGAAATGTCTTCCACACATTCAAGAAACTCCATGGACTTAAAGCATTTGTCATGGGTCTAGATCCCATATCTATCCTGATAATTTTATATACCTGATCCTGAGTTGGAAATTTATGAGGCCACTTTGCTGCTCACTGCTTGTTTTTTTGTGTGCCTATACAATGTGTGGCATGTGCTGGTTTGTAGATATTTTTGTCTCCTAGCACTGACCATTTTGTTTGATAGATTGACACTCTGCTGTGTGACATCATGGCATCTCATAAACTGGGATGACCTCTGTAAAGTAGCTGTGGTCATATCTGCTTAGTTTTAGCTACAGAAAAGCTGGAAAGTGGTGAAGTTTGCTGCCTGTGTCCTTGATGGTGAGACACTACTTGCTTATTTTCGAAACAAATATTGACATTTTCTGTTTGATTTTATGAGGTATGTCTTTAATATATAACCCAGTGATACTGCTTGTACTCACATATCATTCTCAAATATATGTAGACAAACTGCATTTTTTTTTACCACACATTTAATTTTAAATATAGTTATGTTTTAAAGAGGACTTCCAAAATGCCAGGTGGAACAATGAATAAATACAGTGGCATAGAGCAAAAATGTGAACCGAGAGGATAAACTTTAATTCAGAACAGTTACAGGTTGGGGATGCGGTCCTGTTTCTGCTGAAATGTCCTTATCATCAGCAGAACCAGGATTTTGTATATTACTTTTTGAAGGTAAAGCTGTCAGTATAAGGGTGTTGGATTCCATTAGGTAGATATTTTTAAATGTGTCTTTAATATTTTATAGTCTTTCAGCCTGTTTCCAATATTTGCTGAACTAGCAAATAGTGGTTGGACTAAGCTAACTTAGTTTAGGCTGTGGAATATTATATTGCACTTATACAATGTTAAAATCATGGTATATTGGAGTTGCAGGAAGATACTAAGATGACAGGTTTGGGGATTTATTGATGTGGTCAGTTTTTCCTAGTACATGGTAATGTGCACTTGTAGCACTTAAACTAGCTTCTGTTAGTCTTGGGATGCAGTCTTCTACTCCAGTAGATTCCAGACACTTTGCCTCTTGGGAGTTCTCACCTGTTGACTATTATCATATTCTTGGGTGTACATTTAGTTCAGTTAGGTTACTGGTTAGGTCTGTGTACAAACTGCTCTTGAGTGTGTGCTCAGAAACACACTCATGCATTTACACATTGTAGAGAAAGATAGCATCAGTATTAGGCAGTCTTTCGGGGAAGCTTTTATACCACTAGGGATCATCTTGTAGGTAGGATCTCTGAAAAGTTTCTAAGGAACTCCAAGGTTTCCTGGAACATAATTTGAAAACTACTGTTCTGTTTAGTTGAAATTCTGGCCAAGTTTGTACTTTTGTTAAAAGGAGAAAGAAGATGATAAAGTTAGAGCCGCAGTGTCTAGTTGATTGACCAGCTTGATTGATTGAAAGGTTTCCAATTTGTTTTTAAAGGTGCCCTCACATAGGAAGCAGATATTTTTGAAAAGTTTTATTTTTAAGAAACAAGTTTTTTGTCTATTTGTGTCTCAGTGAACAAGATGAGGTGTGGGTTTTAAAAGAAAACAGGGTTCTTGACTCTCACTCATGAATGAATCCAGTACTTCAAATTTGTGGCCAGTTAAGATTAGCTCTTGTGCAATGCTTTGAAAGTAATTATGCAGGTTTCATTTGTGTAGTAGTTCTTTATTTATTTTTACCAGCAGCTTATCAGATGTTTTGAGAATTCAGTCTTGTATAGAAAGTACAATACATTTTTATATATGCTGTAAGCTGCCCAGAGTGGCTGGGGAAACCCAGCCAGATCTGCAGAGTATAATTATAATTATTATTATTAGTCTAGGATTAGAGATTTCCATATGGAAAACAACTGCATGTAGGCTTAATAGGAAAGAACCATTTTTAGAATTACCTTCGGAAGTAGGCTTGATGTTTCACCATCATATACATTTTGCTAGTTCTGTATATGTTAGACTTTGGCTGCAATACTAAATGTGCTTTGAACACTGTGAAATTTCTATATTATGCAACATTTTTGGCTGTGTTTTATTGAGCCCTGATTGTACCACCTGTGTAAGGTTCTACCTACAAAGATCTTGCAGAGGCTGAAATAGAACATGGTTTGGGAGGGACATTGGTAGAGGCAATATGGTCAAGATTGGGATGTCAACTTGAATTCACAATAATTTCTCATACTGCATTTCTCTGCCTGTACGTACACACACACACACACACAATGAGAATGAGAAAATTTGTGTGAGAGACAGACAGTTGCCCCCCTCAATACATCCCTTTGTATGCTTATGAAGAAAGTACCCCCATCCCCTGATGCAACTCTCTGCCTGAGTCTGCATCCTATGAACTGTTTCCATGGCAAGATGTCAGAGCAGGTCTACAAACATGGCAACCAAGCAGCAACAGAACTCACTGGGAACCACAGAGGGAACAAATGAACAAATAGAATACTAGCCCAGCATCAATATAAAGGTACTGTACTCAGGATGACAGACAGGTTGAGTAGGATTGTGCTGGAAAAGTAGATAATTTGCTGTAATAGGGAAGAATTGATGTGTTCTTTTTTCAGGCATAGGAGGTACCATATTTAAAAATGGATGCATTCTTTCTCCACAGGAGAATATGGGGGGGGGGGGAATCAACAGGTTATAATATTGATATACAGTAGGAATAAACATAAACTGGTCACATACAGCACTTCATTAATAGTACTATAAAAACATAGTATAAAATGAAATGGTAGATGCATTTTGTGTTATTAAAGCGTATTTTAATCATGCTGGTATAACTGGAATGATATCCTATTGTAATGTTCTGCCTTCGTAACATACTTCCACTAGTGCAAATGCCCTGCTTGCAACAAACCATCTGCTTCAAATGGTTGGAAGAATCTAGAGCAGATTGGTGATACGGGGTTGTTGTTTTTTGGGGGTTGGGATGGAAAGTCCTTCCCATCCTCTGATGTGATGTTCATTGTCTTCCAATGATCCATCCCTACAGTAATTAACAATGAAGATCTTGGATCTTTATGATATTCAGAACTAGGTTATCATAAAGGAATGGTGAAAATCACCTCATCAAGCAGCAGATTTTGGTGCTGCAAAGGTCAGCAGATCCAACCTTGGGGCATAATTTAATAGGAAATTATCTTAAGCCCCATTCAAATTGTAGTTGCTCATGGTAATTTCTTGGTGGCTTGCTTCTCACGTTACTGAGCAGGATGTGGCTGGTGTCATTTGGATTCCCTACTTTAAACACTAAAATATCTTGGACCAGTCATTGATGTAGAGTGATTTACTTCCAGTTGAGAAGGTAGGCAGACCTACCTTGCTGGTGGAGGACTGAATTTTTTTTTTGCACAGTTACAACAAGCCTCAGGTGTGTCTTCCACACTAGGCATGGAAATGTTAGTTTGAATTGGAAGTTATATGCATAGATTACTTTATACATAAGCCCTACTTAATAATGAATGAAGCAGTCTGATTTCTGATCTGTGTCACATTTATAAGTGTTCACCCATAAGTCTGTTACATCTTGTGTGTGCAGGAAAAAAATCTACTTCAATAGGCATTTCTGCACTTATTTTCTCTGAAGATATGCCTTGCATTGAAAACTAAGAGAACATGTCGGAAGTGTGAAAGCCAATGTACAACAAAGTTCTGGACTACATAGTATTCTTCAGAGGTACAGATTAGCTCAATTCATGCTGGAATCAAATTCAAAGATCAAATTCCTTAAGAATCTCTAGCCTATTTGACCTTTCTGTCCATTGTGGAGAAAACTTGGAGGACCGTATGAGTATTGTGGTACCTTGGTTTAAGAACAGCTTAGTTTATGAACAACTTGGATTAAGAACGCTGCAAACCCGAAGTAGGTGTTTTGGTTTGTGAACTTTGCCTTGGAATAAGAATGTGTTTCGCTTCCTGTTGAGTGTGTTCCATTTGTAAATTGAGTCCGCCGCTGCTATGGGAAAGCACGCCTTGGTTTCAGAATGCTTTGGTTTAAGAACGGACTTCCGGAATGGATTAAGTTCGTAAACCAAAGTACCACTGTAATGCCTACTCACATAGGGAGTTACATGCATAGACTCCAGTTTAAGAAGTTTCTAAGTGCAGTGGGGGAGTGTGCATGAGCCATGGGTGCAATATCACATGTACAGACTTGAATGCTAGAATGATAATGTGAAGCAGCGCATAGATTAAAGAAGCCAGTAACCTTCAGTGCTGTGTATTGTGTCAGAGCAGTGCTGTATGTTTCTTTTCGTAGATTTGGTTGATTTGACATTATCTTTTTAAGCTGTTATAGATGTTACTTGCAGCTGTTAAAAATATAGAGATAGAAGAAAGTAGTAATTGAGGCTTATAGCTATATAAATGTAATAATGCAGTTGATATATTTTCAAATTTAAAAATGCATGCTTTTGGTACTGAAAATACTTACTCTTCTGCTGCCTATGACGATTTGTTATAACTCATGATTATAGTGAGTGGAATCATGACTTAGTTGGTCTGAGTAAAGCAGCCAAATTGTACTTAACAAATCAATACTGGGTTACAGGAATGTAACCATGAAACTACTGGTGCTGTGCCAAGAGAGGCTTGGGAGGAGTTAGTAAATGTATGGCTTGAGATTTCTTGTATTACTGTTAATTGTTCTTAGCTATGTTGATTCAACATGTATTGCTTCCAAGGCAGCATAACACGAGGAACCGTGAACATGCTGTTATCCAAGCCAAAATGTGGCCTTGGAAACTTTAGTTACTGCAACAGTGACAAGCAAGGTAATCTAACAATGACAATTCTTGAGATCAATATCCCCTTCACTTAGTCTCCTTTTGCCACTGATTTATTGTAACCAATAGAATTGTAGCATACAGATGAATATTAAGAGAGTGGCGATGACTGGTTGAATTAAATTTGTCATAATTAGTAGCTCAGATGGGGCAAGACTGACTGTGACCAATATAATCATAGCAATTAGATACTCTAGTCATTAATAGTAGTTGAGTTGCTTGTTCCTTTTGAGTATAGACTGTCGCACAAGTTTCAGCTAATTTCAGCTGTTTAGAAACCTTTACATGTTTAAGTTTACCAGACTGCATCATTATGGAAACTTGTTTAAAGTGCTTTGATTTTTAACAGGCTTGTCTTCTAACTGAGCATTTTCAACTCAAAGAATAGGGTTGGCAAAGTATTCTCCCACTCTGTTTACAAGTGGGAAGTGCTTACACCAGAGGAGGGTGAGTTTCTAGGTTTCCTTTTCTACCTGTAACCTCTCACGTTGCCCTAAATGATGTTCTTGTAGGGAGAGGTTACCCTTCAAGAGCTACTTTCCAGGAGCACAGACTTTTTTGTCAACAGAGACTCGAAAAACTCAGTGCATATTTTGAATCTGTCATTCAGCCGTATTAACTTAAGAAGAGCCCTGCTGGATCAGGCCAGTGGCCCATCTAATCCAGCATTCTGTTCTCGCAGTAGACAACCAGGTGACTGTGGGAAGCACATAAAGAGCCTTTCAACTCCAAAGTTTGGAGAAAGAATGGGGATTGTTTTGCAGTTGCACAGTGAATGTCCATTGGGCAGCAGCATCCAGGAGTGCATGTTCTCATAGTCTTTCATTCTGTTGTAGACTTATGCCTTTGAGCAATGTTTTATAGAGCAGCTTTGAACAGTTTTGTTGCCCAAATTTTGTATTGGATATAAATGTTTTAAGCGTGAACAGATTTATGCTAAAGTAGAATTAATATTTTAGAGTTGGAAAAGTTTCATTATTTTCAGTATTGACATGTAAATTACTGAATAAATTGGACATCATGGTTTTTAAAAGTCCGTTTGAAATTCTGGTTTTCCTGTTTCCATCAGGAATAGGACTAGGCTTCCTCAGTCTTGGGCACTGATGGTATTGGGTTGCAGCATCCCAATCAGTCCAAGCCAATGGTTCTTGTAATGCAACAGCATCTGGAATCCTCTGTTGGGGAAGGCTGCAACAGATCGTCAGAAAACCCCCTCAGACTCTGATTTCTATGAAAACACATTTTTGATGGCAATGTATCACATCACTGAACTGTCTTTATTTTGGGGGGGAGGGGTCTAATTGGATTGTTTTTGTATATTCATTATATTCTGAACTTGGAAGTCTGTTCTTAATATGCTTTTTAGAAACTTGTAGTTTTTCTGTGGCAGGCAAAAAATGATTGCATCGCAAATGACTTTAGTAACACTCCTGTGATGGTAGGGTTCCGTCTCAGAAGGACTGATTATGGGAGATGTTGCTGGAGTCTGTCTTTTCACTGCCTGCTGAGGCAAATGTGTGTTTCCCTAAAGCTCAGATTGTAAAAGAAGTAATGATTTTTGCATAGTTCTTTTCCTGGAGAACTGATTCGTCTAGATCTCTAATAATGGGTATTTGGTTCCATTACGTCCATGGAAATGTACTCTCCAGTTCATGGAAAAACACAAACTTCTATGCAGTTAAGTTTCAGCATTTGTGAATGGGCGTTGATGGATGACTTACGAAGGTATGAGCAACAAAAAACAGAGAAGGTTGTCAATATACTTCCTTAAATAAATCTAGTGTGCTCCTTAATTATGAAGGAAGATTCTAGAGATTATGCTTAGTTAAAATGTTTTGCAGAATAACAATGCTTGACTTTTCAGAGTTAGGGCTGCTGTGTTCAGTGGGGTATACTGGGGAACCTGCATCCCTCCAGATGTTTTGAACTACTTCTCCCATAATCTTCTACCATTGACAGTGCTGGCTGGGGCTGATGGGGGTTGGAGTCCAACACATCTAGAGGGCACCATGTTGGCTATGCCTAGGGAATACACAACAGTAAGCGTGTTTCAGACTAAAGCCTCAGTGTATTAACCAAAGAGAGAGATGCCTTCCGCATAGCATATCTTTTTGGTCTCAAATGTTTATGTAGTTAATATATTTGTATCTCTGAACATGCAGTTGGAATTGTGGCAGTGCCTTGCTGCAGGGATCGATAGGTTGTACAGGATTAACAAAATTAACATGGTATGCACAGCAGGTTAAAAATAATGCTTAAAATAACATTATTTAAATCAGAACCCATGAAACCAGCTCAATTGAGTGTGTTGTGGCCTCTGCAGTTCCCTGGGCTGCTTCAAATTTACAAAGAAAATTAAGCAATCTCTTCTTACTTCAAATCTCTTATAAACCTGTTAGCAACCTTTATTTGATTTATTTTGAAAGTGTCCCTTTTCTGAAATAAAAATATAGCTTATGTGCACCATTTTACATTTAGGAACTCTGGAAGTACTTGCAGTGATGTTTTGTAACCATGGGCATTACTTGTTGGGGACAACATTTTTAGACTTGAAGTTGTGGTTTGCTAACTTGAACAAATGTTGCAAAATGGATGAGTGAGTCCATGGCTGATGACAGTAGTATATTATCCATTTTGGTGTTTGGGCATTCATCAGAAACATGAGAAGGAATGATACTACTCAGAGTTCAAAATTAGCAGGGCGCCAGGCACATTTTTCGCCTAAAGATTCTCCATTCGTGAGCGCCTCAAAAAGTCTGGGTGCCATTTTTTGCACCTGGTTGACACTCAAGGATTCCTGGAATGTATGTTCTTTGATGCCTCAAAGTATATGTTAAGGAGTTTAACAAAGTGTTTTGAAAACTGAAGTATAGTACCAACATTTTTATTGTAAACACCTAATTAAATATATATTATCAATTTCTGCTAAAAATGTGATATTAACAATGTGTCACATGAGTGAATTGTGTATTAATTAATGCTTATCAAAATAATAAATAAAAAGTATTGCCGACCCCTCACCTCCCGTGGTGACTAGACATTCTGTTTTGGCGCCCACAACCCAGGTCCCAAAAGCCATTTGGCTCCTGGCTTTTCTATCCCAGTTTCTAACACTAGTACTACTTAGGATTTGCTGTTTGGTGTCACTTTTCTGTGTTTTTTGTGTTGCTGAGAAATGGCCACTTAACATGCAGTTCAAATTTCCATATTAGACTCCAGTCTTATACTTGCTTATATGGGAGTAAGCTTCATAGAACTCAGTGTATGTGCAGAAAGCATTGCATTACAAATCTGTGAAGCAGGGAAGTATATGGCAGTAGTGGGCCAACCTTTCTAACCAATGCATTTAACTCCACCTTTACAGTTACATCTTAAGGTGGCATAGCAAAAGAGTGAGTAGCAGTGTGACCAGTCCTTACTCAGAGTGAAGAACTTCCTTTCAATCTTGAACTGCAATTTAGTATTTGCTGATTATTATTATTTTGGATTTTTGTTCTGTTTTGTGTGGAAATTCGTCTTTACAATTGGGCTGGGCGATGTATCAATATATTGTCCAAAACTGGTTTGATGTCAGCATCATGGTAACGGTTTCATAATATTCGACGTGGCAATATACAGTGGTACCTCGGGTTACATACGCTTCAGGTTACATACGCTTCAGGTTTCAGACTCCGCTAACCCAGAAATAGTACCTCGGGTTAAGAACTTTGCTTCAGGATGAGAACAGAAATCGTACTCTGGCGGCACGGCAGCAGCAGGAGGCCCCATTAGCTAAAGTGGTGCTTCAGGTTAAGAACAGTTTCAGGTTAAGAACGGACCTCCAGAACGAATTAAGTACTTAACCCACTGTATCGCGAATCACAATGTGTGTGTGCACTATGTAAAAAAATTGCCTGGTGCCTAAGATGAAAGTAGGAGTTTCTAGGTAGAATTGGGATAATAACTGATGGAGACATCTGAAGGCAGCCCTGTTCAGGAAAGCTTTTAATGTTTGAAGTTTTATTCTGTTTTTAGTCCTCTGTTGGAAGCTGCCCAGAGTGCCTAGGGAAACCAAGCCAGATGGGCAGGTAAAAATAAACTAATAATAATAATAATAATGGTGGTGGTGGTATATATTCACTGTCTAAATTAGAATCTCTAGATCAGAAGTTTTCAACCTTTTTGAGTCCATAGCTCCCTTGACCAACTACATTCCTTCTGTGGCTCCCTTGTGGGGAAACACACTCTAAGCCTCAGAAGCCTGGTTATGTCACCCGTTGCCTGCAGAGCCAGCAGCCTCTCACCCCTTTTCAAATGCCCTCCCTTGTGGAGTGTTCCTTCAGTGTCTTCTCTTCTCCTGTCTTCTTGGGAGCCCTCAGGGCATCGCAGCCACCACCTCAATCTCTGAGCCACCCCCCTGCCCCAAAGAGAGGTGCCTGCTCACACTGCCCCCCAGGGGCCTGGGAAGAGGATGCCCCCATCCTTACTGGCCCAGCAGAGACTGGTCAAAGGTGAACATGAACCCGCGGCACCCCTATCATTCAAGGCACCCTAGGGTGCCACGGCACACTGGTTGATAATCACTGCTCTAGATAATTCTTCAACATACAGTTTCTAATATATATGAAGTTCCATGTATTCATATTTAGTTAAATATTTATTGCATAAACATTTAATGCACAGCATTTAGCAAAAAATGAATATATCTGTTAGACTGTCCTGTGGGAAAGACCACATAATATTGCCTTTTGTAGCCTTCAGTGAAAAGATTGGTCAGAGCTGATTATTCTTGATTTTTATAAGAGCTAAACGTGAAGAAACCATAACTAGTACCTAAGGGATTTTTATTTTATTTTGGGGCAAAGGGCTAGTTTGGTAGTTTAGTTGGTGTTTGGGATAGACGATATTCAGGCTATTTGCTTCTTTGAATCCAAGCAAAGCAATGCAATACAGTATTGACAGTTCAGGCAATGCATTTGCATGAGAGAGGCTACAAAGCTACACAGTTCCTACAATTTTGAAATGTTCAGCCATGTGAAGTTCTTTTTGTGGAGTTCAGTGTACTGGTCTTGTGTGCTCAGTCCTTTTGCCCTATTTATCACAGTAATTGCTACCTCTCTATGTTCCATTGTGACCTCAAAAGATAAATTAGGAGCATCCTGTTGAGTCAACAATGTTGACAATACCATACCCTAAGTACTTATAATTCTGTAGAGAGGTGTCTTCTGTGGCTGCTTTGTGGCTAACAAAGTTTTGATGGTCACCAAAGGCTGAACCTAAGCATTTTTCAGAGTTGCTTTAAGAATATTTTTATTTGAATTATTTTCAGTAGATGAGGTTAAAGCAATAGGAGAGGACAGCAAGTAAACAATATTAGAACCTTTGGAGTTCCAGCCAATATTTGTTCATAATAGAAACCATACTCATAACAGTAATACTGAAGTTTCCTGGACAGAAAACTTCACTGATCATAATTTGGAATCTTTCAAGTTGACAGTTATCTTACTGCAAATTATCCAATAGCTTAACCTTTGACTGAACATTTTTCCCCACTTTTGCCTCAGCAGACTTACCGTATTTTTTGCACCATAACTTTTTTCCTCCTAAAAAGTAAGGGGAAATGTCTGTTCGTGTTATGGAGGGAATGCCTATGGGTGGCATGCCTACGGATTTTCCTCCTCTAAAAACTACGTGCGTGTTATGGTCGGGTGCGTGTTATAGAGCGAAAAATACGGTATTCAGCAAAGTGAACCACATTGCACTTGATCCACATTGTATATAATGTAGAAGCCAACTCCTAGGGCTGAGATCTCTTCCCCCCATAAAATATTTGAGGAGGCTTCCCCAAAAAGTTGATGAGCATTGCCAATCAAACGGGGTGTGTGTGCCATGTCTTGTGATCGAATATGCAGGTTGGGGCTTAACCTTGGCCTCCCAATATTTTATTCAAGTTGACATCCTGATATAGAACATGCTTCTTACTCCATAAATGTGTGGGATAACCAGCCTCATATAACCAACATGTATAAGTCTAATTAATGCATGAAGGGGTTAAAACTACCCAGTAGTTCCTTAAGCTGTTTTTAAATCAGCCTTCTTAAAGTCCAGAGAGCATGTCCGACTACACTCCGCTTTCCCTTGCCAGTGTATAGTGAAACTGAAGAGGACATGATCTTTTCTTCCCAATGTTTCTGTACTTTCACTTTCTTGATCAGTTCCTCCCTGTTGGTAAGAACCAGGTCCAAGAGAGATTGACCCTCTTTTTGCTTCTTCCACCTTATTGGCAGAGTTTGAGTTCCAATTGATATTGGGAAAGTTAGTCTCCCATGACTACTATATCTCTCCTTTTTGAATGTTTGGTAATCTGCTATAGGAATGTGTTATCCAAGTCCTCAATCTGTATTGGAGGTCTATTGCAAACACCCACAAGGTCACTGTTGTGTCCCTCTCCTACAATTTTTACTCATAAACTCTGAATCTGCCTTCCATGCTCCTAGTCGTGGATCTCTTCACAAGTGTACACATATTTCGTATACAATGCCATGCCTCCTCCCTTTGTATTTGATCTATTCCTTTTGAATAGATCAATTTCTACATTCCAGTCATGAGTCTCATCTCACCAGGTTTCAGTAATGCCTGTCAGATCTTATCTGCCATAATGTATTAAGAGCTCAAGTTCTTCTTGCTTGTTTCTCATGCTTTGTGCATTTGTGTAGGTACAACTGAAACCACAAGTCACTCCTCCATACACAGCTGCCTCTGTCCCCCTCCATAGGGAATCACCTTCCACGGTCACCACATGTCTCTTCTCTGGGGAGAGGCAATAATTGTTCTGTACACTGAACACTGCCACCTTAGTGTGTTGTGAGTTCTGGTCTGAATCTGACCTTTGTAAGTAAACCATTTTAAACTTATCAAATGTGGTCTTTTTATCCTTTTATCAGAAATGCGGTCTTCTTCCAAGCTAAGGGAACAAGCGAGTTTTGGAACTCACAATGGCATATTTTAAAGGTCTAACAGCCTATATTTCCATGCTTTACTTTGCTGCATGTTTTGTTATTTTAAATCTGCTAGGTTACTCTCACCAAAAAGTGCTTGCCCCAAACTTGGATCTTGGCATGCAGGAATTCTTCTTTTATATACCTATTTTTTCCCTTGCCACCGACAAAATAAACCCTTCTTTTTATAGTGATCTTCAGTGGGTTTAAGGGAATTGTTGAAAGACACCCCCGTCTATGAATTATCCAACAATTTATCTTGTTCTTCCCAGTGGTGCTGCTGTTTCTGGCTAGTGGTTCACAAGTATGGAATGGGGCAGGTAGGATTCTGCCTCTTTTGGCTTGGTATTTACTTTGAAGAGGGTAGGGTGTCTGTTACCAAGTTGGAACTAGTATTAGTGATAATGGGACTTGCAAACTCTGTTCCTAAATAGATAAATGGGCTGTATTGAAATTTAGTATTATATCCTCCTTTTGGTACTTCAGTTTTTTGAAATCTGTTGCTGAAATTAGGAGGATCGTGTGAGGCTGTGAGTTAGAACTGTGAGGAAGCACCATCTGAAATAAGAACTGGTAAATGTCCCTAAAGGTGACTTGTAAAAATGTACTGGGCAAGGTTAGTTGCCCCAGTTAATATTCCTTCATGTGCTGCTTTGAGGTTTACTTTTTCTTCTTAATACAAGGATTGAGATGCATCTTATAAGGGATAAGATGAAAAACAGATAAGTTTGACAGATATGATTAAACAGTTTATCATTTAATTCAGACATCATGCTGCTTGAATGCAAAATCCTTTGTAAAACCTGTAAACCATTGGTTCCCAATTAGGGGTCCGGGGACCCCTGGGGGTCCATGTAACACACCCAGGGGGTCCGTGGCACCATCCCTTGCCAGAGACTCACTTATCTTGTTAATTGCACAGTGAAAGCCACAAAGATGATCCTCTGCTTGCGACCAAGGCCTGGCGCTTGCTGGCAGGGGCAAAACTTGTGAAAGAGTTGCTGGATTGCAAGTGAACTGGGATTGGGCAAAAACCTCTGACACAGTTTCTTAGGGCTCCTATGATTAGAGGGGGCACGTGAGCAGGAGAAACATCGGGGCTCCCTATAGCTGGGGTGGGCAGGGGGGGGGACTTTAGCAGAGCCTCAACCCCACCACTGGCTTGGCGGGGGCTCCATAAAACTGGTTGGCTGAGGCAAGGGCAGCCATGCGCTCCTCAGCCAAGGAGTTTAAAGAAGCGGAGGGAGGAACAAGCTGTATCAGCGCCTCACCAATACAGCTTGTTTCTCCCTCTGCTGGTATGAGGGCAGAGTGGGATGGCGGCTTCACTCAGCGCTATATCGCTGGCAAAACTGCTGCTGCTCCTGAGTCCCTCTGCCAGGGTGGATTTGATTTAAATCACAATTTAAATCACTGGTCAGTAAGACTTGATTTAAATCATTTTTTAACAGAAAGACTCATTCTTGCTGGTATAAACTTAATATTGACAACCAGAGGAAGGTTTCATTTTTGGAATAATACATTTTCAGAGTAGTTTTTACAGTTATATCAAAAATTACTGATTTGGTTATACTATTAGACCGATAATTATGAAATTATTGTGAGGTTTAATAAGTTAACTGTTCATATTTGGGCAACTTTTCTGCTGTACTTTATTGGAAAGAGAAAAATAATTATTTCCTTAATAACAATTTAAACAATTTATTTAACTAAAACAGTAACATAGCATATGTATCCATGTTTGTTTGTTTGTTTTTAAATATAATCTATTAGTTTTCTATACTTCATACTTCAACTACATATATTGTTATATTACATTGTATATAGTTTGCTCCTGCGGGCTGAATTCCCTCTGTGTATCCATGTTTGTTAACTGATGTGGTAAAACAATTTTTAAAAAACTTAGACTTGAGTTTTAGCACACATGGAAAACTTAAAACAAATCATTATTTCCTGATGAATAGCCTTTGGACTACAATGTAACTTAAACAGAAAACTATCTTTAGAAACTTCAAAAGCATTTTATTTTAAAAATCCAATTTAAAATTTAAAAAATCCGATTATATTTATTTATTTATTTTTAAAAATCATTGATTTTTATCCACCTGTCCTCTCCTACCAGCACAAGCTGTAGAGAGACAAGGGTGGTGATGGTTTCACTTGAGGAATTTATCAATACATTGCCCAGGCCTTTTTAGTGCAAAAGGCAGCCTGTGTTGTCCCCCCACCCCCTTGTTTTCTGTGGGAAGCTATGTGGATACATTTTGGGGTGGGAGAAAACAGATGTAAGGCAGAATCCTAATAAATTCAGAAGTTGGCTGTTCCTATTGGGCAATCTGCAAAAATAAAAACCTCACTCCATATAAGTACTGTATTTAACTAATCTCTTTAAGCCAAATATTAAACCTGGGCACAGGAGGACTAAATAGTAATAAATTACTACTACTACTATTATCAACATTACAAAATCCCAGCTGTTTTCAGTCTTCACCAATACAAGCCCTGACCAAGCCTTCACCTATGTCTTGAAGGCGCAAGATCCCTCAGCAGAACCATACGCTGCAAAGCTTTGCTAAGATGTATCATAACAGATTACAAGTAAGGAATTGCATGTTTGAATACTCTCTCATATAAAAAGCCTTCTGCATATAGAACACTTGGAAGTTAGGGGCACAATTTCTGTTTTAAAAATTCAGTTGTAGTGGAGCAATGGAGACAAGTTTTTCCTACTGTCTGGAGATAGGCACTTTGTGATAATATCACAAATTTTATGGTTTGTTTTTTGGTGCAGTATACCTAAAATCCTTTGCTTATTAGGGGCCACCCCACATTTTCTTCAAAGAATTGCTTTGCACAGGTAACTACCATAGAGTTATCAAAATTTTCAAAAGCAGGGGGTCTGTGACTTGGCTTTTGAAAAATAGGGGGTCCTCAGTAATTAGCTAATTGGGAACCACTGCTGTAAACCAAGTTGCCCAGCTTCCAGTTCTTGAGGTCAGACCTGGCCACAGTTTGGTTTGAAAGCTTTAGTGAACAACACAGTGGCAGTCTTGATAAGTGAGTCAGACACCTGGAATCATATTACTGCAATTGTATGGGATTTTCAGTGGCTCCAGAGTCAATGTGCTACTGTTGATTTATAAAACGCTGCACAATTCAGGAGCTTTTCTCCCAGTATTGTCCTGTCAGGTTGTTAAGGATGTTAATATCTGAAGGAGAGGTCATTCTGTGTCCTACATTAAGGGCTAGTGCATTATGTGATGACTTGAGAACTGGCTTTCTCAGTGGTGGGCCCTGAATGTGGAGTATCTTCCTCTCAGAGGTTTGGCTGGCATCTACAGTGTTAACCTTTGAGGGTAAAACATGGGTAGCTCAGGTGGTTAAAGCATGGTGCTGATAACACCAAGATTGCAGGTATGATTCCCATTTTGGACAGCTGCATATTCCTGCATTGCAGGGGGCATGGACTAGATGATCCTCATGACCCCTTCCAACTTAGATTCTGTGAATTTTATTTTCCTGGTATCCCATTGAGATTGTATGATGTATGATAAATAGTATTTGTTGTTCTGAAGCATTTAAATTAATTAACTGATCTGCTCCTTATGCTTATTATGATGAGTTTTGATCTAGTATTAGATTTACATTATGCATTTGTTACCTGATCTGGGGTCAAGAATGACAGAGGCTGGAATAAGAAATTCTTATATGCAACATATACAAATATATATGTGTGTGTGTATAGTATACATGCATGCACACAACACACATGCATATAGAAGCATCCTAAGCGATTTTCCATCCAGGCTGGACCAGACCTAGGTGGAATCTACACACACACACACACACACACACACACACACAAATATATATATATATAGAGAGAGAGAGAATTTGCCATAGCTCACCATTGCCATCTAGTGTCACATTTGTATTGCACTTTACAACACACTTAAAACGTTTTATTTGCAGCTGTTTAGCAGAGTCCTTAGTTTGCCTTAAATTTATGTGCTTTCAGAACATTCCTTACATTCCACTAAAAAGTGCCTAGGATGGCTTATAAAAACATAAAAATTATTGAAGTGCAATTGTTTTTAAAATTAATTTGCAACTGAAAACTTTGTAGATAATCCAGTGTCTTCTTACTGCATCCTTCTCTTACATGTGCTGTTTTAGTCATGGATTTCCCTGTTATTATGCCTCCCCCCCCCACCTCCATGGTTGGGTGTTTGCGTTGCTATACATGGGACATTGAATGAATCATGTCACCTGACTCCTGTGAAAAAGGTTTGATCTAGTATTAATCCAGTGAGCGTGGTCTGGCGTTGTCCATGGAGGATATTGGAATGTGCTAACAGATCTCTTCAAAGCATGTTTTTGTTCATGCTTCTACTGCTTTACAGGAGGCTCCTGCAGTCTCTCTTAGAATTAAAAGTTAGGGCCAAACAAGGTGTGCATTTGTGTGGTGTCAAAACATGTGTTTGATGGTTCAGCTATAAAATAGGTGTGCAAAGATTGATTTATAATCCTAAAAGGAGTGTCCACCCCCTCTTATTGCTGAACTAGTGAGAGTGTTGTTTTTGATAAACACTTTTGTGTCTGGTTTGGCCCTTAAAGACAAGTTGGTCCACTTAGCATGTACAGTAATGCTAAAGTACCATGGTTTAGTGCTAAATACATGAACTGGATGATCCTGAGTGAAGCGTTGCACTCATGTGGTCACCACTGGTTCATTCTCTTTTCTGCATGGCTAGGAAAAGTATTTTACTAGGATGAAGATTCGCTTTTACAGAATCGTGGCTTATGAATGCAGAGACCTTGGTTTTTAAGAGTCTCTGGAAAGTTTCAAAAGAAGCTGCTTAAAACTAGGTTTGTTAAACTAACCAGAGTTTGTTTTAACAAATTTACTAAAGGTTTTTAAATACGTGATCTCTGGTTCATTCATTACAAGCCATTCTGTAAAAACAAAACTTAAGTTTTGAGGAAGTCCCCCTAGATGAGGGGAGGCTCAACTTCATTGGTCTCATTCCAGCACATGCGTGTACTTTTACACATGATATTTTAATGTTCTGTACAAACACAGTTTGTGGTTTAAATCTTACTCTGATGCTGATTCAGTATGACCTATGTGCTGCTGTGCCATAAAGCCTTTAATTCACCTACCTACAGCTTTTGGACTTGCCCATGTACTTTATAGGAATTAGCATACAGGCCAAATTGTATGTGGAATGTAGATGGAGACTTGGCTTTCAGCTATTCTGCTTGAGGACTGGAGAAGGAACAGTTGCTGTCTGAGCATAGTTAGGCATTTTTACTGGTGTGGTGCTGGGGAGAGGAGCCTGGTCGGCTAATTAGAGAAATAAGAGCAGAGTGTTAAATATGTTCCCATGTAAAAGTATAATTTTAAATAAAGAGCATGGTGGTATTAGTGGAAGCTTAATCAGATACATGTCAGGACTAATACCTGAAATGAGATGAGAGAACCTTGTAGATAAACCAAAATAAAATGTATTCAACCCAACCTTCATGTGCAGTACAGTGGTACCGTGGGTTACAGATGCTTCAGGTTACAGATGCTTCAGGTTACAGACTCCGCTAACCCAGAAATAGTACCTTGGGTTAAGAACTTTGCTTCAGGATGAGAACAGAAATTGCATGGTGGCGGCAGTGGGAGGCCCCATTAGCTAAAGTGGTACCTCAGGTTAAGAACAGTTTCAGATTAAGAACGGACCTCCAGAATGAATTAAGTTCTTAACCTGAGGTACTACTGTATCAATGTCACTTTGAATCACTGTGTACTACAGCACATAGAAAATAAAGTGTTACTTAGTTTTCCTAGTGCCCCTAACAAAGAGTGTATTTGAAACACATTGGGTTGAATCAATTATATTTTTGCCTCATTTCTGTATTATTGCCTTCCCTCTTTTGGCTGTCTGGCTACAGTTTTATGATTATAAAGCATTGGTATTTTTATATCAAACTTCTAAACTGAACAATAAAAAGTTAAAGCACAGCTGTGAAATTCTGAATATTGGAACGTGTCACTTCTGTTTTATAATACCTAAGGTTTGAATTTATGAACACTAACTTTCCAAATTTACTAAATTGTAGCATCGTTCACATATTATATGCTTTAGAGGCCTAAAGGAATGGAATCCTCCCTTCCACTCAAGCATCTTTTGTCATTCATGTGCACAGGCAGTGTTTTTTTTCTTGGGGGACGACGACGCAGAGGTATGCATACCCCTAAACATTTTGTTAATCTAAGTTTGGCCTCATTGAGGGGCAGTATTTCAATATGAGTAGGAAAATGAGCGTACCCCTAAACATTTTTTTAGGAAGAAAAAGCACTGTGCGCAGATATAGGTAGAAAACACTAGAAACATTTGTTTTTGTCTTGGTATTACCTCTGAGGGTGCGCTGTAGACCTTTGCCGATGCCTAGGTATCCAAACTGACTAAGAATGACATAGCACCTCTAAGTAATTACTATGCATTAAACTGATAATCCCTTCCTAATATTTACTTGCTAGCTGACTTTAATGAAACTATCCTTGTTCCCACATTGCTTCTTTATAGCCTACAATGGATCCATCTAGGCTGGTTGTTGTTTGTGCAGTCTGCTACAGCAAACTGTACAGTTGGTATAGTCCAGATTATCTTCTCTTTTTTTAAAAAAATGATATTTATTGAGAATTTTAAGATTACCAAAAAAAACAATGAAGAAAAGAAGAAAAAAACACACAGATAACAATTAAACAATACAAATCGATAAAAGTCAAAATCAAAAAGCAAAATACATCAAAATCAAAAAGCAGAAACAAAAAAAAATTAAAAGCAGATCCAGTATTCTCAAATCCTTAACTGTCATTACCTTATTTCATCGACCTCCTCACACCTCCATTTTTTGTATTCTAGTTGTTAATTATCTCAGCAAATCCTTTCCATTTTTCATAATATTCTGTCATTAAATTACCTTAATCTATTTTAGCCTTATCTTACCATAAAAAACCCTAGAACTTAAAGCTTAAATCTTATTTATACCAATTTCTCATAACCATAGCATATTCTTACATAGTTCTTTTTAACATTTCAGCTAAAGACAAATAATTTCGTTCCAACATTTTTCTAATACTCATTAATTTTACAAAACATTCCTAAATAGAATTTTTAAAACTTTCTTCCAATCTTCATCCACGTCTCTTCCTCCTGATCTCGGGTTTTATCAGTCCTTTCTATCCCATCCATCTAGTTCATTAACCTGGTAACCTTATGTCCGAGGCCTTAAGTCTCTTCCATGTCCCTTCCGCAGATCATCTTCATATTTATACCTGTACTTTACTTTGTCTTCTGCTCCTTTCACTCGTGGAGACTCCAGCTTGACAATATTTTTGTCCCTTCTCGACAGATCAGCCCCTTTTCCATAGTCCACACTGAACTCCACGTGGTATTTAAAAGCATGTTTCAAGGTCCCTCCAAGGTTGAGGACCCCCACAACTCCAGACTCCTCCCGGCCCAACGCCAGATTTGAAAATTCAAAACATCCCTGCATAGGGGGGGGTCTATCCAGCCCCCCATCTCCAAGCCGAACAAGACTCTATCTCTCCAAATCTGGCTTTTTCCAGGTTCATTCGTCAGATCCAACAACTCATGTTCCTGCTGGGCCACAGTTCCCTCCATCTCTGCCTCCCAAGGTCCAGCCACAACCTCCTCCCTCATCTGATCTGTCAGAGCACACTCCTGGATTGATTCCTGAGTGGGTTCTATATAGATACCCACTACCTGTCCAAAATTTCTGATCGCATCAGTCATCAAATCCGTCTTCTCATGTAACTGTTCCAATAAAGCACTTGTTTTGCAGAAAGCACGCACCAGAGCCTCCGAGTACATTGTTGTGCAAGGTCAAAGTCTGATCCCACGATCTTAATCTATTGCAGCTGCAAAGCTCCCCAGTTCAGATTAATAACAGTTTCACAAGCTCCCTCTAGGGGAAGAACTTCTATTTGTATCCATCTCTCTCTCTCTCTCTCTCTCTCTCTCTCTCTCTCTCTTTTAAGCAGATCTAACAACAAAGTTTCCTTTTTCAGATATTTTGTCAATATTTTGTTCCTTTTAGCTGCGAAGGAGAACAATGGAATCACTATGTTTCTCTTCTTTTAACTATCTGTCAAAAACGTTTGTCTATAGTCAATGAACTTCCCGAAAACGTCTGTCCTGACACCCCGCTCCCAGGTTCAAGACGGTGGAGAATTGCTTTTCTTTACACTCTCTTCTGCAGGTTTAAACAGTCCAGAAAAAATCCCCCCTCTTCTCCTGCTTCCAAAGGGGGTTCAGTAATTTTAAATGATGAAAGTTGATCCTTTACAAACGATTTTTCTAAACTCTAGCTTGCCATGTCTTTGCTTTAATCTTTCTACAAAGAGCGGAAGGCTGACTTCCTGTTTAGACCTTCCCGCTTCAGTGCCAAATTAAAAGGAATTTCTTAGTCCAATTTTCCGTTCTACTCACGGGTCGTTGTTTAGAGTCCAATTGTCCAAATTTAACCTACTCACGGGTAGTTGTTTTTGTAGCCAGATTGTCACAGGAAAAAGGTAGCGCTCTCCGGTAACGGCTGTGCGGCTTCGCTCCACGGAAGAAGCAGTTGACTCTCAGCACCGCGCCGCTTGCCCCGCTTCGCTCCGGAGCCCGTAATTGGGTTCCTTTACAAATTGGGGGGGCGCGAAAGGTGTCCGCCGAGTCCCACGGTCACAGGCTTCACCCGCCTGTGATTTTTTAAAGGGTCCCCGCTTCGCCGTAGCGGAACAGACCCGATTTCCGTAGAGCCAGTCCCTCCGGATCAGAGGGAGTCCGCCATTACCCATGGCGCCACCCCGGAAGTCCCAGATTATCTTCTCAATGGAGAAACTTTTTAGTGTAGAAATTGTCTCAGTTGATCTGGAAAGAGAATCATCTGGGGTCAAGTGATATTATTATACAGTACTGTTAAAGCCAACAATGTCTTGCCTAATCATGCCTATATTGGAGACTATCTGGGAGTTCCATGCAAAGCTTTCTACACTTCCCAAAGGAACCATAACAAAACCCATTGTAAGATAAAGTAACAAGTTAAAGGGGGGGGGGACTTAGCATTATTTCTGAAATATGACAAGGGTAGCAAAAGCGTGCCTGATCAAGGATTATACCAGCTTCCTTAATGCCACCCAAGCTAATTGCAAATCCAGTTTAGAAGTGAATGTGCTTGATACTGGTGCAGAAATAACTTAAATTATCATTCTGGTTAATTGACTGATCAAATATTGGTGGGGTACATATGAACCCTGGTCACACATTCAGGTCAGTGTTGTTTCATAATAGCAAACCAATTTGATTAACTTTGTTTACATAATGCTGATGCTTTAAAATGTGTGACATTTTTTGACAATGAAAATGTTGACAGTTTGTCAATACAGTGGGACCTCGGGTTAAGAACTTAATTCATTCTGGAGGTCCGTTCTTAACCTGAAACTGTTCTTAACCTGAGGTACCACTTTGGCTAATGGGATCTCTCGCTGCTTCTGCGCTGCTGCTTCTGCACAATTTCTGTTCTCATCCTGAAGTAAAGTTCTTAACCTGAGGTACTATTTCTGGGTTAGTGGAGTCTGTAACCTGAAACGTCTGTAACCCAAGGTACTACTGTATGCTAGGCATAACTATTAACCATGGCTTAGGGCGGTGGCCAGGAAGCACATAGTTCAATGGCCTGCTTCCTTAACTATGGTTTTAGGGACTGACCCTTGATTTTGGTTGCATATTAAAGCTGAAAAATCATATTTAAAGATCTTATATAGTGGTTTTACATTGGTTTGCCTAGTTAGAATTGCACTGTTATGCTGCTTTTCTAAAATTATAAGATGGGATTTTAAATCTTAATTTCATAATGGAATGTCTGCTCCAAATCATTTAATGTATATTTGTGCTGCTAAGAGATTTGTTCATACACTCAAAATCTAGGCTGGCCTTAGGGGTGGTAGAGTAGGCAGCTGTCTCACATGTTGAAATGAAGGGGACACTGAGCTAAGCTTGGTGTTGCGTGTACCATCTAAAGTGAGCCAAGACAAAATAAACAAAAATGCAGTAGCATGCCTTTAACCTTTCTTTCTCAGTTTTAACTTCGTCATTTGTTCTAGATAAAAATCAGCCGAACACAGCTTGATACTGAGGCAATGAAAGATCAAGTTTCAAAACTGGATAATGTTGTATTTATATTTTCAAAAAGAAAAATACAAATAATTTGTCCAGAACCATGTAGCAAAGCATTCTGTGGTAGCAAAGTAACAAATCTACCTATTGATGCTGATATACCTTCATCACACCCCTGCTCTAGTGTGACTTCCAGTAGATCAGCGTAGTTTTTTTGCTCTCCATTGTTTAATAATAGCAGTACACACACACACACACACACACACATGCCACCGCCACTGTGCAAGATTCACCAGCCAAAACTAATGAAACCTAGGAAGGAAAAGGAGTGGATTTTTGTATGGAAGGACGGTGTACTCAGTTCAGTTCTGGTACTTTGAACAAATTACTTTGTTCGGAATTCTTTAATTCTAACTGTATTTCTTTTACTCTGGGTGTTGGGTATCGGGGTTCTAGTAAAAACCAAAGTTGACCCCACAAGCCTGAAGTCTGTTCACCCTGAATTAGAGAGGTAGCACTAGGGCCCCTTTTATGAACATTGCTTGGAAAGTCTAGATGCAGTTGGCCACTATCATTGTTTGGTTTTTCTAACCCGCATAAGACACAAAACTTGTCAACATTACAAAACTAACCATGGGGGGGCACTCCTCACCTATTTATCCGAGGGCAGCCTTGCTCAGAATCTCAATTTTCTTTCTCTTTGAATGAAGGGGCCAGAAACACAATATGGGGGAGCCAGTGATGCCTAAACCACAAGTGGTCAGCAGCTAAGAACAGTTAATTGCCATTAAGAACATAGGAAGAGCTCTGCTGGAGCAAACCAGAGATCCATGTAGTTCAGTATTCCGTTTTCACAGGCACTAACCAGATGCCTCTGGGAAAACCACAACCTGGGCATGAGTGCAATAGCATTTTTCTGTTTCTGAATTGCCTGAAGCTGCCAGAAGGAGAGAGTTGGGGAGTAAGTGGGCAACAGATGAGATACTTAAAAAATAATAATTATATTTTATTAAGGTGATTTTAGATAAAAGAAATAAAGTAATACGGGGAAAAAGAAGGAAAAGTGAGAGGGAGAAAACAACAGCATATAAAAGTAAAAATATGCAAAAAAAAGAGAGAGCAATATTCAATATTACCATACATTCTTGTATAAATTGGTATGGTGTTATTGTCCTAGTGCTTATGTAAATGTTAATAGCCTACTACATTTTGCATAAACTCGTTCCAAGTGTTAACATATTTATCCATACAGAATCTATGTCTGTAAGCAGTCTGTTCCTAAATTGTGATTGATGTCAAATCAGTCCATTGATTGCTCGATATCAATCTCTTGGCCACCATTAGGGCCTGGAAAATCCATTTCCGTTATCCCGTTGATAATTTCCATACTGTAGGTATAAAGTTCAATAAAATCTCCGCTGAAAGATTTAACTTTTTCTGCAGAGTCATAGTTACACTGTTGAGCACTTTCTCCCAAAACTTGTTAAGTAAAGAACACTGTACAAACATATGTGTCAGAGAGGCATTGTCCTTGCCACATCTCCAACACTGAGCTATCTTAGCTAATCCTTTCTTATTCAACCATAAAGGAGTCCAATAAACTCTAAATATTATTTTCTGTTATATTAGTCTTAATTTTAAATCTAATGACACCTTAGCTATTGAAGCTAATACATTTTCCCTTTCTGAGTAATATTGAAAGTTCCAATTCTTTATTCCAATCATCACTTACAGTCTGCATATTGAACTTGTGTATTGTTAATAGATGTCTATAAAAAATAATTGCTGGCTTTTTATTTTTGAATGAGTTGTCCAATTGCTCAAATATCTCGGTTATCTCGCAAGCTGAAAGGGCTGATGGCCCAAACACACTTGTTAGGAGATGTTGTAATTGAAGTTACTGCCATTGGGCTGCATCTGATAGATGCTATTTTTGTCTTAAAACAGCAAAAGTATAAAATTCATCTTCCCCATCTATCAGTTGATCTAATGTCAATACACCTGCTTCTATCTAATTTTTCCATATCATCATCTTTTTTGCAATTCTTAATATGGGGTTTCCCCACAAAGTAAGTTTAGTATGTGAAAATGGATCAAATTAGTTTCTATTAGCCAATATATTCCATGTTCTTCTAAATGATTTAATTGTTTCCAGAGTTACCTGAGATTTCAAATACTTTGATCTTATTATGGTCTAACCAACCGAAGATGCTATGTGCATATATTCTAGGGTTGCCCACACTGGAAAATTGGGGCCAGCAGTGGGCTTCCAGTATTTAGTACTTGACAGTAGGTAGGCATAATAATATAATTCCAAATTTGGGATTCTGAAGCTGCCTTCTTTAATTTGTAGCTGCGTTCTCTGCAAGGATATCTCTGGTGTTGCTGAGCCTCAAAGGCATTTCCTAAACAATGAGTTTATCTTTTGAAAATATGATCCAGATATAAAAACTGGAAGTCCTCTCAGGATATAAATGAGTTTCAAGTGATCGTTGTATGTTCTGTGCTTGACTGCATGTGCTGAAGATGAATATCTGTGATAATCCTTGCAGGATGTAGTTGAAGGAGAAGAGGCTAGAGCAGAGCTTTCCAAACTGTGTGTCATGACATGCTACTGTGTCAGCTGCAGTGTGTAAGTGTGTCGCATGAAAGCTCCCCGCGCTCCTCCTGGGGCTGGGAAGGGGTTAATTTAACCTCTGGTTTGCTAGTAAAACTGAATTACTGTGTCATGAAATGATGCATGTATAAAAAGCGTGTCACCAACATGAAAAGTTTGGAAAGCTCTGGGCTAGAGTTGGGAAGTCACTGCAGCTAGGAGCATGAAACACAGTCAAAGAGACAAAAAGGTTTGCAATGGTATATGAAACGAGTTTTTCTGCGGCCATTTTTATTTAATATTAAATATATCTATATGATTCATATCAAAGTTCATGATTGGAAGGATTGCTTAATGAAGAACTTGAGGGGAGAGGTAGCTGAAAATGGAATAGGAGCAGTAGACCTCTGATAGTAGATGATTGTAAACTCATACCTTGCTTGTGAGCTTTTCACATGCTAGAGTAGTTGATACTCATCCCAGATAGTTTGTACTCCTGATGTATAGCAGATAGAGGAAGATAGAAATAGGAAAACTGGATTATGCATGGGATAAAGTTTAAAGAAGTCTTTACTGTATTGTGGTTTCTATTATCTGCTTGTTATTGATATCTCATAAATAATAATCCAATGTGAGAGTGGCTGTAATTCTCCTCTTATGGTTTTCTTTCGCTCTTGAATTGATCATAGAATGTTAATTGTTCATTTCTGAACTCAGAAAGCCTAGTTCTAAAACAGGATTCAGTGGAATAAAAACACCTGTACACTAAGCATTTTTTTTGGTACAGTGGTGCCTCGCAAGACGAAATTAATCCATTCCGCGAGTCTCTTCGTCTTGCGGTTTTTTCGTCTTGCGAAGCACGGCTATTAGTGGCTTAGCGGCTCTTAGCGGCTTAGCGGCTATTAACGGCTTAGCGGCTATTAACGGCTTAGCGGCTTTAAGAAAAAGGAAACAAACTCGCAAGAACTCACAAGACGTTTCATCTTGCGAAGCAAGCCCATAGGGAAATTCATCTTGCGGAACGACTCAAAAAACGGAAAACTCTTTTGTCTAGCGAGTTTTTCGTCTAGCGAGTTTTTCGTCTTGCGAGTTTTTCGTCTTGCGGGGCACCACTGTACTGGGATAATGCATCAGTTCAGATGACATCCTTAAAGTACCAGATCCAGGTGCTCTTGGAGGAAACTGATTTTTTTAGATCCATTTCAGTTGTGGCTTAGGACTGGTTTTGGCACAGAAACTGCTTTGGCTGCTGTGTATGATTACCTTTGTCAGGAGAGAGACAGGAGAAATGCATCCCTGTTAATTCTCCTTGACCTCTCAGCAACTTTTGATGCCATTGAGCACAGATTTTGATTCTGGAGCACTGCTTTGCAGCAGTTCTGGTCTTACTCTGTGTTCTTGGCAACAAAAGAGCTGGCTTGGTATCTTACTACTAAAAGCTTTTTCTTCCAATTTTTATTTTTATTTTAAAAAGTAGTAATAATAAATAAATAAAAAATTCAAAAATTTCAAGACCTCTTGCAACGGTTTGACCCCTTTCCATTTTAACAGTACAAATTCTACAAATACTTCTGTATCTCCTCAGAAGCATTTCTCCTGCATATTCCCTGTCCTACCTTAATTGCACGTTAATTTATCATTAACACCTATATCCCACACCTCTTTATACCGTTCTTCCATTTTATATTCACCTTGCCCCTTCCACTTCCTAGCTATAATAATTTGTGCAGTTGTCAATAAATTTGTGAGCAAATCCTTGCTAGCCTGCAAACCTTCCACCCCATCATAAATTGATAATAATAAGTTTCTTATTTATTTCCATGATACTTATGCCCAGGTAGGGCAGCAATTTTGTGCATAGAAATAAACCCTGTTGTCTTGTAGGACTTAATATCTGAAGAAATATGCATAGCATTAGGGTGTAAATGACCTTAAGGCTGGAGTGTTAGATCTAGACTTCAAAAACGGGCTTTCAAAGGTAAAAGATTATTTTCAACTTTAGCACCTACATACTCATAACTTAAAGACTGTTCATTCATTAACCTACACTTCATTATTATTTATCAGTGCTGAATTTTGTGACTAATTAAACTATAAGGTTAGCAGAGTTAATAATAAGTATATTCGTGGTCTACATATTATTATATAATACAAGACACATTCCACCTCAGACAATAATTAAAATATTTTTTACCTGTACCAGCACTGGAAAACATTTAACACTCATTCTAAATATAAAATATTGTTTGAAATAATATAAAGCCAGTCAGGGAAAGAGGGAGATACAGTTGTGGGGAATCAAAGTACTTCTTGATTCTATAGCATTGATTTCTATTTGCTAAGTGTCCTTTATCATGATTACCATAAATCTGAGTAAAGATTCCATCCTTGATTTCTGTAATGTTGTGCATGCAGAATCTGTTTTTAAATTTCTGTGCTACATATAATTTTTTGTCCTTCCTTGCCTCCATTTTATCACTTTTGAACTTTACAGAACCTTGATGCCTTTAAAAACTGCATGATGGGCAGATACCTTCCCATTAATTTGAGTGGGTATACCACTCATAGGGTTAGTTGGGTCTTTCTACTCTAGCAGACAGGAGTATACTTTTACCTCCTATCAAGTATATTTCTGCGCTGCTTGATACCATATCCTTGAATCTTTCAAAGTCCACTGTGTCTACTGCAAGGCAAGAAACATAGATCTTATAAGCCTTTAGGAGCATGATAATATTAATAACACTATTATTTTTTAATTGCCTTCTACACATCAAGGAGATGTACAAAATGTAATAAAAACAGTTAAATATATAAGTGGGAATCCTCATGCAAATTAATTGGAAGTCATCTATACCTATCATGCAGCTTTTAAAGGAAAATAGGAAAAAATATTTCATGCATAAAAGAGAAGGGAAGGGTTTTTTAAATTATTTTGAGCTCTGGGGTGTACCTTGGGAGCTGCTGACAATTGGGATGGGTAGTGCTAACTAACCAGTGGTCTAAGTTGCTAAAAGCCAACTTCATATCCAGTTCAGGTGCCACTAACATTTTTGGCCCTATAGGCACATTTTGAACTTAAAGAAACTGTCATGGGCATTCCTTCCTCTTCTCAAAAAAACATAACCAGCCTAGGCAACATTCCCCCCTTCAAAACAAAACAAAACACCACAAAACCTTGTAAGACAACAGTGGCCCCCTATTTCCCCTTCTGCTTATCTGTTAAAAATAACAAGCCATATTCACACTCACAATAGGCTGCTTAGCTTGGCACCCTGGAAAGTAGAGTCGTAATTCTAGCTGCCTTGTCCTCTTTCTGTCCTATTCTAAGAATGCCTCTGAGAAGGAAGCTTGCCTCCCCAAGGTTTTTAGAAATCAGTTAAAATTAAAACTTAGACAGGAGGCCTAGGGGCCTACTACATTGCTTGCTTCTTCCATTTTGATACACTATATCATATATTGCTATAGGTAACACTTAGTAAATTTTACAACATGGAAACCTTGTTTTCTCCTCTTCAAATATATGTTTCTCTTCTTTTGAAAGAGAACCTCATGTACCGAGTGCTTCCAAAACTTCTGTATTCCAGCAGGCATACTCTTAATTTATTGCAAGGTGTCTTCTAGTTGCTGTCCTTAAGGGAGACGGAGGGAGTGAAACAAGATTGGGACCAGAATATTATCCTAAACTTCAATTTGAAGATTAGAAACAATCCTCTGCAATTCTGAGTTGCTCTGCTGGGTCTGTCCCTTAAATCTCTTCTACCTGAGATACATTTATGATACCCATATCCTCTGGTTGCATAGATGGAGGTTCCTTAAAACTTCCACCAGGACCTCAGTAACTTTCACCATGCCATCAGTCTGAGCCTAGACCAGGCCACGCTGTAGGTTCATTTTCTTGAGATGACTGTGCAGCTACATAATGGATATGTAAGCACCACCTGCAGATAGCTTGCATGTTTCCAGCTCTCATAGAGAACACGCCACAAAATCCATTGTCATATAACAGGAATAGGGAACCTGCAGTCCTTCAGAGGTTATTGGGCTCCCAACTCCCATCAGTTCCAACCTGGATGGCCAGTGGGCAGGAATGATGGGAATGTAGTCAAACAATATCTGGAAGGCAACCAGGTTCCTCATCCCTGGCAACCAGGTTCCTCATCCCCAGTCTTTGGTCAAGCCATACAACCACATCTGTTCAAATGCATCAGACATACTTACAACTTAAGGGTTTGTACAAGCCATTTCTTACACTAAAATACCTACCCAGTGTAAGTGAAGCAGCACGTTATCAAAGACAGACTGGTGCTCAGAAGCAATCTGTTATGGAACAGACCAGAGTTGCAGTGATAGAACATTACTTGATGTTGCCTATAGCTCCTAGCGAAAACCACCCATACGTATTCTCAGTCATCTACAGCCCATCGTGTACAATGACAATTCCTTCTTATGGGCCTTGCTTACGTAGAAGACATCTCCTCCAATATAAAATAGCAGCAACACTGGGTCATGGTTTAAAGTCACAAACCCAGGAACACAATCTGCAGCACACCCACATGTAACCCACATGTAACACAGAACATGTAAAAGATAGCTAGTCATCTCATGGTAATAAAGACTGATATCCCCCCATCCCTCAGTGCATGCTTATAAGGAGTGCTGATAACCAGGTAATGATAACTGTTCTAAACACAAAGTATGCACATATATCTATATATCTATATCTCAAAATTTTAATTCTGTTTAAAAGAAAATGAATGATAGTGAACATACATTTTTTAAAAAAAGATTTAAACCAACATACTTAAACACTCTTAAAACTAAATCCAATACTGTTATCAACAGCACCGTTGAAGGCTTCTAACCTGGCAACTTTGTGCTATCTGCAGGGTTAAAAATCACAAATCTGTTAGGTCATGTGTGCCTATAATATGAAAATACTAATTTTTAAAAACACACATAATCATTAAGGCGCCTGGTTAATCAAAAGGCTTATCAGCACAAAATTATTTGACTCTGGGCGAGGGATATGAAGGCAGAAGGATACGTTTGGCAGACAACTTGGGATTCCCCGTCACCTGGTTACCTCCAGTGTAGCAGAACATTTTCTGTAGGGAACTGTGGAGGTAGTATTAGCTGCTTCTCCTGCCTTTTGGTTTTCTTCTGCAACCCTTTCTCTGCAGCTAATAGGTGAAAGGAGCCAAATGAGAGATTTCAAAGGGAAAATACCAAAGAGAGATACATCCTTGCAAATGTATTCCAGCCTCTGCTTTTCATGTTACAGGCAACCCCGCAGGATTGGGAATCCTGTGTTCAGCTGGTCCCCTAGTACCAGTCTAGACATAGTGCCTGTCTTCTCCCAAATACTTGCCTCTCTGGTTTACAGCATTTTTTAAATGCGAACTCTGGCTAGCCTGTGTTTCATGTTATGCCTCTGCTGAATCTGGAAAAACTTAACAGAGAAGAATCCTCTCTTGCTCCACCCTTCCCATTCCACCAAAGTATTTTCTGGCTTTGTACAATGGCCAGTTCTGGATGATGTAATGGAAGTTTATTATAGCATACACAGATATGTGAATGCCCTATTTCTCCCCCAGGCTAACTTGTGAGAAAGAACTTTAAAAATAGCAGGGAAAATGGGCAATTATGAGGGAAAGTGACAGACCTCTTAATAAATATATTGTCTTTCAAAATATGTGAAATGCTTCATTTTAAAAATAAACAGTGTTTTAAAATAATATTCTTAATGCCAATTCACAAAGATTCAAAGGTAGTAATTTTAGTGATGATAGCATTGCTACTACATTTAGCTAGTTACTGCTAAAGAAGGCCCACTCTTAGGGCTTGATGGTAGAAAAGTATTTCCAAATGTTGCAGATTTCAGAACATCTTCATGGGTTATCTGGGAGTATGCCAAGCATATTTATCCTCCAGTGCGGTGACAGGCCCACCGAATCCTTGCTTCTCATTTGCCCTGGATTCCTCTGTTGTCTTTGCTAAATAAAATAAATTTGATGAATGCTTGAAAATACATACAATTAAGAAGCTTTTTATAGTTTACTTAAACCTTCTATTTTATGAAGTCCATGAGTTTGAGCTTCAAAGTTCAGAATTAGAAGCTTGGCTCTTTTCAGCACGGGTTCTTGTTAAGATAAATAGATAAACATGAGTTCAGGATAGCAGAGATATTTTCCCACCTACACACATCCCAGTCCTGGAGTGGAGAGTGCTGGAAATGTTGATTGTGTGCTTTCCTGGACTGTGAGTCTTCTGTTACCTTCTGTACATTAGTGTAATGTTCAGGCCCCTTCTCAAAGGACTTAGTCATAATATACTGGAGTTCTTATATGTACTTATGAAATGCATTATATTTACATAAGATATCTAATGCAAAATATGAATGCAGATAACATATGTCTGGAAAATTAAATCACTACTTGGGCATTGAGATTGGCTGTTGTTCTGCCATGCATTTAGTGACACACATGCATTTGCTGCTAAGTAAATGTATGTGGGAGATTGAACAAAGGTGAAGAGCTTGATAATTGATAACCTAGATGATTTAATAGGCCATGCAGAACAGGTATAACTACTGAAAAGTAATATATTGTTCAGTCATTTAAGATGCATAAATGACTGTTAAAGCTTCATTAGGTATTAATTTTATTATGATTAGCTTGCTGCACAAATAGATTGGTAGTTTTTATGATTTTAAGAAAAGAGTACACATATGAAACTTGTACTCGAAAGACTAGGTACTGAAATTCAATATAGAAAGATTGTTAGATAAAGCATTTCAGTTAGGAAGCTTGCTAATTTTAAGTCAAATGCTATGTTGTTTTTTTCAGAGATTTGTACCTATTCTAGAGCTATTGATCTTTAGTATAGCAACTAACTGTAGATACCTTTATCTCACCGTCAAGAAAAGTTAATTGTTTCCCTCATTTTCATTCTTTTCTTGGGAGAAGGTATGTCGTGCAAATAGCTAGAAGGCCAATTATCTTTAAATTAATCTTATTTAATTTTAAGGCAGAAGCAGTAAATTGTAGTATGTTCCCCACAAATGTCGAAAGACACCAGGGACTTGTAGCACATGTGGATGTGAGCAATAAAGATTTGTGCTCCTGCATGCTTGCCAGCTCAGTAGTGGAGGGGTCAGCAACTTTTTTGGGCCCGTAGGAACACTTGAAATTTGGGGGGGAGGTCTGTGGGCATTGTCCTCTGTTTGCTTCCCCCTGCCTCATCAATCTCTCCCACCCAGCAAAGAGCCCTCACACACACACATACACATGCTTCACTTTTCTAAGGAGTCGAGGTAAAGTTCTGATCCAGTAGAATTAAAATGGATTATTTGAATTAGCATGACTTTACATGGGGTTCCCAAAAAACCCCATCAATTTAAAACTTACAGTGGCGAACGGCACAGTAAAAAAACCACAACCCTAGATTTCAGTCCTTGCCAGTAATACAAAAATGCTCTCCTGGCACACACATCTTCATGGATTTTCATAATTTCTACATAGAATGACAACAAAACCACTGACAATTCACAGAACACATCATGGACACCAAGATTACCCATAATTTTGTGGTGATAAAAACTAGAAAGGTCCATAAATATCCTTCCTTCATCCATGCTTTTGTTCCATAGCAACTGTGGAATGTACCAGATCGTGATTTTATGGTCAATTCAGTGGACTTAGGTGTGATTTGTGATTTGATGGTGGTTATAGGGAGGGGATTCTGTGAATAAATGATGCAGTTTCAAGACAATCAACGTTACTCGATCCAACTGTGTGTGCACCTACCTTCTCTTTCACATTCCATTATCCCTCTTCATTTCATTGATCCTGTCCCATCCTAATTTCTCCCTCTTAGCCAATCTGTTTTCCTCCTTCTGTATCACCCGCCTTTTCCTTCTACCTTCTTAGTTGCTCTTTCTTTTTAGCTGCTGATCTGAATTCTGAAAAGGACATAGATCTGGACGAAGTGCAGGAGAGTTATCAGTGCTCCAGCTTACTCCTTCAGTATTATGTTCTTTTCAAGGGGGGAACAGTAGCTATCTTCATCACTACCTTCACAGAGAAGGGGAAAATGAGACGGTGGGAGCTTAGAGAATTCACTGACACCAGGGGAAGTCCTCATGGGTGCCATGGCAGCTGCAGGTGCCATGTTGGCAACACATACTGTGTACAGTATATTAGAGTGGCTCTATCTTGTCGCTATTCTTGACTTGTGCTGCACTTGCTGCAAAATATTGCTGTCAGTATTTTAAAGACACCATGGGGGAAGGTTTGTGTTTTTATGTTGCACAATTACCTTGAGTTTGATGGAAAAGGCAGGTCTAGTATGTAGTACTTATAAATTCTGGAGATTGTTTTTTTCCACTAAATAGTCTTCATTGTATTTATGAGAACCATTTCACAGTTAATGTGTAAAGCATACTTACATAAGAATCTGGGAAAATTTAAAATGATCCTGACAACAAAATAATATATAGCAATGTAATTATATAGCATATTTCACCAAGATGTATATAAAGTTTTCACTGTGCCTTTTTGGCTTGATGTGACTTGAATGAAATTGTGTGTGTGTCAGTTGCAATCTTGTAACAGTTTTTTCTTTTTTTGTTTCTTGATAGATGATGATGTACCTGCAGATATGGTTGCAGAAGAATCTGGTCCTGGTGCACAAAATAGTCCATACCAACTTCGCAGAAAAACTCTTTTACCTAAAAGAACAGCTTGCCCTACAAAGAGCAGTATGGAGGTATTTAAAAATTAATAATCATGCTTTCCCTTCTGAAGTAATTGCCTAGCACAACAGGCACAATACAGTTCATGGGGAGAAGGCCAGTGGTGGCCGTGGAGGATTCTTTATGTGGGGTTAGCACAAGCGGAAAGGAGTTAAGGATTGACCATGTGCAATATGCATTAGAAGATCTTTGTGTAATCTAATTTTACTTTTCTAAAACTTTTCAGGGTGCCTCTACTTCAGCTACAGAGAACTTTGGTCATCGAGCAAAACGTGCTAGAGTATCTGGAAAATCACAGGATTTGTCAGGTAATGTCTTTTTTTGTTTGAGGGAGAGGGCAAAGAAAGTCTCTCAACTTTCTATTTTAATTTTAATTGAACAGTTTTTAACTTAAGAAAGTAATTGGGATGGTAATGGCAATCTGATTTCCTTGTCTACTGTCATTTGACTTTCATAAGTGAATTTTTATGGTCTCAAAAATATTTTTCTCAGAAATGGTTTCATTGAAGAATACATCATGTTGTTGTGCTGCTAGAGGAGGCAGTGGGTGTATGGATGTATGTATGTACAGGCTTATTTCCAATTCACCTTGCAGAAGAGGAGAGGGGTTTTTAATTGACACCTGGGGCTAGATCGGGGTTTGGCACCAGCTGTAGGCAGGAGAAACCTGACAATGACTTTGAACCAGATAGGAAAATGGTAGTCCCATTTCTACACACCATTAAAAGTGGTGTCTTTGGGTAGCTACTTTTCCTGCCTGCACACTTCTGGGTAGGTGGACCCCGTTCAAGGAGCTGGTGACTTGTAAAACCTTTCACAACCTGTACTGCGTGACTCAGAGATTACCCCTTCCAATACGAGCTGTATTTCTCACAGGGTTGTTATGTGGGAATAGATAAGGATTGGGAGAACCGTGTATGCCACCTTGAGTGCCTCGGAGAAAAAGGATGACTATAAAAGCAATGAATGAATGAAATATACAAGATTTGTGTTATGACCATTATATCTTGTTCCTTAAAGACAATGATGATGGTGATGATGATGATGATAATAATTAATTATTTTATTATTTATACCCCACCCATCTGACTGAGCTTTCCAGCTCCTCCATCGTTGCTCAGACATTCTGTCATTATTTTACATGGTGTCCCTCTGCAAGTGTTTCTGGCATGTGTCATTTTACCTATGGTCCTTTGATCAGTTACTGTATTCCACTGCACCTTCACAAATAACTTTGTCCCTGTTTGGATGATCAGAAACATTTTGGATTATGCTAAGAGGTTTGATGGTATTTAATTGCTTTAGTTGTCTCTAACAGGGAGTGTAACAGCAAACCTTTATATACTATAGGATCTCAGGCTCACTAGCCTTATTTGATCTGGCAGGGGTCCTGCTTTGACCTGCAAGACAGTTTTTCCCAAGCCATGTCCATCTGCCCACAGCTGGCCTTAGTTTTGGAAGTGAAACTACACAGCTTGACTCCGTATGTAACTCAGGGTTAGGAAAGAGGCCTGAGTCCCGGCGGCTGTCACACTAAAATAAATGTGAACTGTGCTGTTTGACACTGCAGGTTGTCAGGGAACTCCTCCTTTGTGAGGAAAATCCTTACACGTGGAAAATTAGTGTGTTGAGGTGAAATGTTTTAGTCCGGCCACTGCCTGACATACTTGACTTGTAGTGAGTGAGTTGATAATGTAGGAGAGTGACCAAACATGATACTCCCTCTGCAATCTGAGGTGGTAATAATCTTTATTTATTTGAAAGCATTTATAAACAGCTTAATATTTAAAAATTTGTAAGCTGTGTACAATATATTTTTTAAAAAAATAAAAATAAAACACAACCTAAAACCAATAAAACAGCAGCATAAAGGCATATAAAAACAAATAAAACAGGGATTCAGGGGATTCTGGCATATAAAACAGGACCTGGCCTTGCTGGTCAGAGAAAGCCTGGGGAAAGGATAAGTCTTGCAGAACATCTAAAGCAACGTTTGAAACTCCCTTTGTTCTAGGCATGTTTTGTGACAGGAAATTTCGTTAGTGCTAGCAGTTTCTGAGCGCAGTATTGTGCCTAAGATTTAAGATTAAAACTGGCACTGAGGGTGTGGGAGGAGAAATTCCTTCCCACTAGAGTTCCAAGAGATCGCTGCAGCATCCGGCAATCTCCAGCATCTCAGATGGCCTTGCAGAAAGGCAGCGTTTCCCTCAGATTGGCTGCCCTTAGGCAAGGAATACAGCTATCTTTTCCCTCCATCCCGTTCCCATCATCTCATCCACTGAAAACGGACAGGGAGCAAAGTTCACACTGCCTTGCCTGGCTCTTTCCTCAAGCGAGTTGTGAAACACTCCCTCCCATCCCTGTCAGTCCTCCTTGAAACTGCTGGAGGAATGGGCTTGTCTGCTTCTGGAGAAAATTCTGAAAATGTCAGGGACACTCTGCAAAGGAGGGGGGTATCCGGAGAGGAGAGAAGAAAAAGAGGAGCAATCCAGTGACTGCTTGCAGAGAGAGAGAGAGGATGCAGTGTGATAGCCTGTTTGTTTTTGCATTTCTCTCTCATCTTCAGCGCAGAAGGGGAGGCTCCAATAAGGGGCTGGGTAAGGAGAGTTTAAACCTTTGGTGGAATTTCACACATGTGGGATATGGAAGGAGAACTTCCCATCCAGAGTCCATTTGAAAACTGCTGAGCATCTTGGTGGACCAATTGATGATTTTTCTGTCTGTTTAGCAACTGTAATGCACTGTGCTTTACAGTGTTAAGAAATTCAATCTATTATACAATAAAATGCAATATATAAGCACAAAAGGAGCAATTTGGGCATCATTTAGGAAAAAATTGTTGCTTTCAACCCTGATCTGGATCTGCCTGTTACTTGGAATTAAATCCCAACCGAGTTCAATGGGGTTTCTTCCCAAGTATAACGTTCATGGATTGGGGACCTGAAAACTTCCTTTGTATTCTTTTAAACTTTACATGTTTTGTTTAGGTTTTAGTCATCTTGTTTAACGTATCATGTGCTTTTAATTTGAAATATACTAGCCAGGTAGTTATGACTGAGTGCTTGTTAAAGTGTTACCTACCTCAGACTCTCACAGTGATGCTTAAAATCGAAACAAATTTTGGAGTGGGATCTTTGAAGGTTTCAGTGGCCTTCAGTGATCCCACTCCAAAATTTGTTTGCGAACTGGACACTCAAGGTGTCTCTGCCATCAGTTGCATAGGCCTGTAATACCTGTTAATTGTGGTGCCAAAAAGATATATTTATATGAAGGAAAGGGGTCTGGGGAGAATCCAGGGCTTGTCTGGAGAGTGGAAGGAAAGGAGGACCTTTTTCTGCTTCCCCACTTCCAGCCACTCTCTGAAGACTGGAGAAGAGACTCTCTTAAGAATATTAGGGGCGTGGGTCTAAGGTGTCATTTAGCTTCTGGCTTTCATATCTCAGTTTCTAACACTGATCTGATGGTTGCTGCTGCAAGTATAGCAGAGGGACACAGTGATATTCTTTCCCTACACGTGTGAATTAGTTAGTATTCAGCTAAAATAAATGGCATTTGAAAAATTAAGTAGAATTCTACAGTGGAGGTAAATTATTAAAAGTTGTATCTCAATCACACTCCTGTAATGAGTACTTCTATGAATAACCAAATTCTTGCCATATTTGTGATTTTCTTTCCCACCCTCAGAAGTACTTAATATTGTGTATTCCTGACAGCCATGCCAAGAAATCCTTGAAAGCATATTGCTAACTAGGATGGTGATGATTAGAATTTGCAATCCTCCTGCAAAGCATATTCTTTTCATTAAATAATAGGAACAATAGGTCCTACTTGTATCTATATAATTTCTTTTAAACTCAGTTTCCTTGAGTTTACGTTTAAATATATGTAGTTAGAAAAAAGTGATGTTCTTCATAAGGAACAGTTCTTTAGTCTGTCCTTCAAGCTGTAGAACCTGTCTACCTTCAGTTGCTATGGAGACAGGAAACATCCCACTGTGAAGGCTAACATGTATTCTTTTTTTTAAAAAGAGGGAGAGATCACGAGAGACTTCATGCTAGACTTCAAGGAGTAACTAGAGCAGGCTTCCTCAAACTTGGCCATCCAGATGTTTTGAGACTATAATTCCCATCATCCCTGACCGCTAGCTAGGGATCATGGGAGTTGTAGGCCAGAAACATCTGGAGGGCCACGTTTGAGGAAATGTAAGCTAGAGTGTAAGGCCAAAATACACAATACCGCCCTTTCACTTCCATTCTCCATCATTGTAGTTTCTGAATCTTTTGCACATACATATTTAAAATTGAATAGGCAAAATGATCAGATTTGACCCATGCTAAATTTTTTACATTCATCTAGGCTCACTAAATATCAGCCTAGACATCACAGCATACCCTCATTGTTTTTTAGCCCAGTCTCTTGACCTGTTTGCAGATGTTGAGAAGGAGTGAACTAAGGGGTAGAAAAGCTAACATGAATTCTAATTTACATCTGTAATTGTACTCAGCACAGTGTACATAAAGTTAAATCAGTTTTGTTTTTTTTACTGGGGAAGTGTTAATCCAAAGTCAGGAAATGAAACCATCCTTAAAATAAAGTGTGAACTTCACCCCCAAAGGTACACTCCCATTGCTTCCCAAGACGGACGGATGCCAAACAGGGGCATCCAATGAAGCTGAGTATTGGAAGGTTTAGGACAGACAAAAAACTTTTCCGCACAGCCCATAGTTAAACTGTGGAATGCACTTAACACAGGAAACATTGATGGCAGCTAACTAGGATGGCTTTAAAAGAGGATTCAACATTTGTGGAGGAGAGGGCTATCAGTGGCTTCTAGCCACTGATACCATTTGCTGGAAACTGCAGGAGGGGAGAGTGCTTTTGTGCTCAGGTCCTGCTAGGCAGGTTTCCCATAGCCATATGATTGACCACTGTGAGAACAGGATGCTGGACCACTGACCTGATCCAGCAGACTCTTCTTAAATTTTCATGTTCATCCTGCTTCTTACTTTTGCCTCTTGCGGCAGCAGTCTTCCACTGACATAAGTACAGGCAATGACCAGTTTGCATGGGAGTTATGTTTCTAATCCCCACATGCGTTGGCTGAGTGCACACAAGCCTGCTCCAACCTGTTCTGCCCCCTTTGCCAGCCACTTCCAGGTTGTTGCGATACGTGATGTAGCAGTCATGTGTCAGACACGTATCATACATTGCCTGTATATGTTAGTATAGCGTTCTGCAGCATATCTCCATACAAGTGTAAATCTACTACAGCAGTGATATGTTCTGGCACATCCTTATCCAGTTGCAGTAATGAGATGATAGAAATGTGCTGTTAAACTTTTATTGATTGATTTACCAAACTGATTAAAGCTTGCAAACCTAACTTTCTATAGAAAATGAAATGTGTATATTTAAATGGAAAACTTGAATAACATTGATTTTTGTCAAACTTCTGCCTAAGTAAATCTGTTTCAGGTAATTCACTTGATTTTTGAGAGATAGAAAGTCCATGATCTATTTTGGTGGAAATATCCCTGACAGGTTATAAACATCAGTCATGTTATTCATGTTTTATATTTAATAGCAGCACCTGCAGAACAATATCTTCAAGAGAAGTTGCCCGATGAAGTGGTTCTGAAAATCTTCTCATACTTGCTGGAGCAAGATCTTTGTAGAGCAGCTTGTGTATGTAAGCGCTTCAGTGAGCTGGCTAATGATCCAATTTTGTGGTAAGTGAAAAGGTATTTTTGATTATCCTGAAGTATGTTATATATGCCATACACAATAGAAAAATTGAATTCATGAATATGTTTTCTAATTATTTTGAACGAAAGCAGGTACTTGAATTACATTTCTTTTGCGCTCACCTGAAGTTGCACTATTATTTTTCTGTAGCTCGTGCCTCCTGTTTTGATTCTGGTTATATAGGGTTCTTCTTGCAATCTGCCATCTTACATAAAATTTTGTTTATTTAGAATACTTTGCATCCTACATTAAAGTCTGAAGAGGCTCTCAAAGCATCTTACAAAAGATGTAATAAAAGTTACAGTTCAAGCCTGGCATCAGGAACAGAAATAGCGTGGTGTCCCTCTGGTGCCAGGATTATAAAGGTGATATTCCTTGCCCCTGTCCTTGGTCAGCCTTGGTCTTGCCCTTCACCCTTTGAAGATGAGCAGGTGAAATTCACTCGGCCCATAATGGAGGCAAGTCTTCTCTTGCTTGCAGGTGGCACAGTTGATTTGTTCCTGCATAATTGTTGAAATACACTTAAAAATATGCAGATGTTGTTTGCCATATGTTCCCATTCACAAAGTGGATTTTTGCTTGTTTGTTTTGCTTGGCTCAGGTTTTTCAGTACCCACAATTATGCTCCAAGCCTTGTAAATAATACCAGCCATATATATGCTTTACGTTTCTTACTGCTACCATGCAACTCCTTGCCAACTTCTTCCCTCTAAAAGCTCTAGAATTGGGCATGCTTGTTCAAGTAAATTTAAAATACATCAATCTCTTTAACACTTGGATTTTACTGATGGAGACGGGCTGATGAATAGAAAAGTCTAAAAATGGGACACCTCCCACCCAACAGTCAAAGCCTGCTTATCTCATCAAAGAAACACTTGTCTTAGGATTTACACCCTCCAATTTATGAATGGTTCGAGGTAACTAAGAATTGAATAAAGCAGCATAATAAAAACAGTAACAGGGAGGATAAAGATAAAATTTACAAACCAGGGGCCATTAAAACAAAACACAAAAATGGTGAGCAGATTAAAACATAGATCAGAGGCCTCTAAAAGCCTGGGGTAATAAGACAGATTTCACCTTGTACCTAAAATGGTAACAAAGGTACCAGTCTTACAAGCTTAAGGAATTCCATCATATAGCAAGCCAGGCCACATGTGGGATATAATGCCAAGGTGTGCGGTTGGGGCTGCTGTTCAGACCTTGATTGCGGGAGGCGGGTAGTTTCCAAATAGCAGCTAAGGAGCATGCCTAGGCATTTATTCTTGCAGAATGCACTCCTTCGTATACCATTATATATGTGCTTAATATATGGCAGCGATGGGGAACTTATGGCACTCCAGATGTTGCTGACTACAGTTCCCATCTTCCTTAACCATGGACCATGTTGGCTGAAGCTGATGGCAGTTGGGATCAAACTATATCTAGAGGGCCACTGATGCCCCATCCCTAGTACATGGCTTGGTCAAGTATCTCTGGATACAGTTAAGGATGCCAGATGGAGCACATTGTTCCTTTTTATATAAGGATGTTGTTATTCCTGTTAAAAAGTCACAAAGAGTGAGAAATGGTGCTAAATTTGATGCTGTTCAGCAAAATCCTTCTATGCTGTTAAGCGCATGTTTAAAACTTTGCTCACACCTAGACACTTACCCAAATAACAGTGCACATCTGGAAACATTGTTACTCTTAATAACTATGTTTTTATCTTAAGTGATAATTCCCAAACTTGTTTAAAATAGGCAGCTCTCTTTGCTTGTCTGCTGTGTTCAATGGGAAATAGACAGTTAGCAACAGCTTGAACATTGCTGAAAGTACCACTTTCAAGTTTCCAAATTTTTTAACGTAATTTTTGTTCCATCCGGTTTATACCTTTGTTCTGTTAAAGTCTATTCACACTTCTGTATTCTGGGTGTCTTTGTTTAGGAAACGACTCTACATGGAAGTATTTGAGTATACACGTCCAATGATGCACCCTGAACCTGGTAAATTTTATCAGATAAATCCAGAAGAGTATGAACACCCAAATCCCTGGAAGGAAAGCTTTCAGCAACTGGTATGAATGCCTTTTTAAAAGCTTCCTCATTGTATTTCATGTTGTTTTAGAATGTTTCAAATGCTGAAGAGGGTGAAGGGGGGAGGTATGTGGTAATTCCCCCTTTTCCTCCTTATGGCCTGGTGAGCATTTGGACTTCTCCTTTTTTTCGGGATCTTTTCCCACTTCAGTTAGAGTGTCTTCACTGGGATCTCAATTCAGTCTCTTCTTAAAAATCAGCACCTCAAATTATTTACATTTAAGGTTCCCCAGCTCTCTGCCAACTATACTTCCTCATTCTAATCTGACCTTAATTCTCCCATACAAATTCATCTTCCCTTGTTCTTCCACTTTTTTACTCTTCTGTCATAAGACTCCTCATTCTTCAGCAGTGCAACTGTCCTTAGCAAGATTTCTCCTCGTGAACGAGGCATTGACCTGATTCTCATGTCATAGTAAACATAGTTTAAAAACAAACTATGGTTTTATGTAAATGAATTGCATGCTGGTCAAAAGTTTCTGGGGCACTCCTGGTGCAACTGTACTGTGGATGAAACAAGCAAGAGGCTGACTTGTTGTGCTGTCTGACTTAGCACCATGAAGTGGTTCAGACTTAGTGTAGAACACTGCCACCACTGTCCAGAGTCATTGTGGGAAGGTGAGACAGAATACAGACTGTAACTAAGTTTGTCTATAATTACAATCAAGACCAGAAAGCGTAATTTCAGGGACAGAAGTCATTTAAATCACTGAATGAGGAGAGGAGTTTTGAATCAAGTACAACAAAATATCTGAAGGAAAATGAGGATGTGCCAAGATTGCTGCAGTCTTGTAATCTACAAAACATGGTGGATCTACATTTTCGCTGTGTTGTGTACGCCCCATCCTGCTTTTTAGCAATGTAGTTCTTGGACGTTTGTCATCTTCTGGAATGAGGTGTAGAAACTGAGGAAAATAACTTAGCTCAGAGTTACAGATTTGATTGGAAGGCAAAGTCTTCAATAAGATTCAGTTTCCTTTCTGTTGGCAAAGGTGCAGCTTTTTCAGTTGTACCTGAAGCAAGCGACAGATCTTGGATTCCAGATCCACCTACTGAGCATGGTTAATATCAGTGCTCTGAACTCTTTTGAGGAGCTTTGCAATGCTACGCTTGTGTGTGCTGTCTGTCTGTCTCTCTCTTTTAAAATGTAAGCCATAGGTCGTGCTTCATTGTAGGCTTACCTCAAAATGCTTTCCCCCTCCATTTTCAGTATAAAGGTGCTCATGTAAAGCCAGGATTTGCTGAACATTTCTACAGTAACCCAGCAAGATATAAAGGAAGAGAAAACATGTTGGTAAGTTTTTCTGAATCACTTCAAGTGAATATTGACATGCCTTTCCTGTGGCTATTTGTCTTACAACTGCTTCTTGTTTTCTTCTAGTATTATGACACAATTGAAGATGCATTAGGTGGGGTTCAAGAAGCTCACTTTGATGGACTTATCTTTGTTCATTCTGGCATATACACGGACGAGTGGATATACATTGAATCTCCAATCACCATGATTGGTGCAGGTATTTAATTTGAAAGGCATCCTAGTATCAGTAGATAAAAGTGCTGTTCTCCTGAATGTTTCTGGATAGCAGGGAAAGAAAAGGAAGCATGGATGATGTGACTCCATTGTACTCTATTGTTTCACAGAGCACTTTTTATTGGATTTTTTTGGAGGGAGGAGAAGAGCATCTTCAAATTACCTGCTGCCCAAATAAAAAGATATAATCTCCCAATATCTGTATTAGATCTCCCTGGTCCTGAATGGGATAACTGTGGCCCTGAAGGACCAGGTGCGCAGCCCAGGAGTCATTTTGGACTCAAAGCTGTCCATGGAGGCACAGGTAAATTCTATGTCCAGGGCGGCTGTATCAGCTCCATCTGGTACGCAGGCTGAGACCCTACCTGCCCGCGGACTGTCTCGCCAGAGTGGTGCATGCTCTAGTTATCTCCCGCTTGGACTACTGCAATGCGCTCTATGTGGGGCTACCTTTGAAGGTGACCCGGAAACTACAACTAATTCAGAATGCGGCACCTAGACTGGTGGACTGGGAGCGGCCGCCGAGACCACATAACACCGCTCTTAAAAGACCTACATTGGCTCCCAGTACGTTTCTGAGCACAATTCAAAGTGTTGGTGCTGACCTTTAAAGCCCTAAATAGCTTTAGTCCAGTATACATGAAGGAGCGTCTCCACCCCCATCATTCTGCCAGGACACTTGAGGTCCAGTGCCGAGGGCCTTCTGGCGGTTCCCTCGCTGTGAGAAGGCAAGTTACAGGGAACCAGGCAGAGGGCCTTCTCGGTAGTGGCATCCGCCCTGTGGAATGCCCTCCCACCAGATGTCGAAGAGAAAAACAACTACCAGACTTTTAGAAGACATCTGAAGGCAGCCTTGTTTAGGGAAGCTTTTAATGTTTAATAGACTATGGTATTTTAATATTTTGTTGGAAGCTGCCCAGAGTGGCTGGGGAAACCCAGCCAGATGGGCAGGGTATAAATAATAAATTATTTATTATTATTGTTGTTGTTGTTGTTGTTGTTGTTGTTGTTGTTATACAGCCTATCACTTTGCGTATCAACTTATGGGACGTCCTTTATGTCATGCTGTAGTTCTTCATCATCATCATCATTTTATTTGTATGCTGCCTTTCCATAGTTAGAACAATGCTCAAGGCGGCTTACAACATGACAAGATTTACATAATTACCAACATAACAAAAGTCATAAACAATAAATAAAACACATCAAAAGGTACACAACCAAATGGGGAAAAAAATTCAATTTAAAAGGACATAAAAAATAAAAACTATTTTAAAAAGGAGCCCTCTCTATCAAGCAGCAGCAGCAACAGTCCTTTATGGAGCCAGTCAGGCCCCGCCCCAAGGCAGGTGGAAAGAGGCAGGGCAGATCCCTTCCGGCTCCCAGCAGGTTACCCCCAACTTGTTTAGCCCCAGAGATCATGGCGAAAACTCGCTCTCAGCCCTGAATGGTGCAGCTGATTTGTTTCTGCTTAGGTAAAGGTCATAAACTACAGAACAATTGCCCAAACAGAATGAATGCCAGTCTACAGCTAATGAATGTGTTTGCTCTTCTGTCTGTGGTGATGATACATAAGGTGTGTAGAAAGATATATAATTACTAGAGCAATTACTTGCAGACAAACAATGTTAATCAAAAGAAAATACTCTTTCAGTTAGATGACAGCAGGCGTACAGGAACTAACTACTGTGGCAGCAGGGCTGTGATTCTCCACGAATCTGGAGCCCAACCATGCTGCCCAGAAATAAGGGGTAGGTGGAGAATGGCAGGTATCTTTGCTCACTTCTCTCTCAGCTTGTCAGTTAAAAGAGCTCCTTCCTTGAGAGAGAACTATGGCATTTGATTTCTTTTTTCCTATTAGTTGGTGTCTTTGTGGTGTGCATGCCTATTCCCTTTTAGCCAGCTATTTAAAGTAGTTAGCTTGTTCTGCTTTATTTGCAGCATTTTTCTAGAAAGTGTGCACAATATTTTTAAACCGTAAAATAAAAATAATCGTAACATGAACAGAAAACACTGATTAAAACAATGTCAGAATAAAGCCAGTAGGGCCCAAGGTCTAAAATCACTGAAATGGTGCCTCGTGAAATAAAAATGTCTTCACCACACACCAAAAAGACAACACTGTTAGGTGTCAGGTGAGCTTCCACTGAAAAGTTCTCTTTGCTAGCCATGTGCCTTGTCTTGATCAGCAGGGACACTTCAACAAGGGCCTCTGAAGATAGTCGTAGGATCTGTGCAGGTATTTGTGAGCAGAGGTGACCCCATAACTTTGTATTTGGCCCAGAAATGAACTGGAAGCCAGTGCAAACGACGAAGTAGTTGTGTAAGATGAGCGTATTGACCAGCTTTGCTGCTCTGTGTCTGATAATCTGAACTTTCTGGACCGTGTTCAGAGGCAGTGCAGCCACAGTAAGCCAAGCAAGTTGTTACGAGATGCAGTTGGTAGGTCAGCCTAAGATGATGCGAGGTGCTTTGAGACCACATACCCTTTCAGCAACAATACTGGCTGCAAGAGCACAGTTGGTCTATGAATCTGATCCCTTGGGAGAAGTTCAGCCCCCTCCAAAACAAATTGGATACCATTCATCTGGGGCAATCAACAGTATTTACATCTTGTTTGGATTGACTATAACCACTTTGCTCACAAGTATTAAGAGGAGAAATTCTAAAGCTGCATGAAATAAATATTTTCTATACTGAATCTAGCTTATAGGTCCTTTCATTCTGACTGATACTTAAGTTGCAAACTTGCACTTCCGCCATCAAAATGAGAATGTTGGATTGTGGCTTTCTGCTCCCCCTGCTGGCTTCTTAAGAATAGCACACGTGTTCTTGAAAAAACATCTGACTTCTTCAACCAACTCAATACAGTCGTACCTTGGTTCTGGAACAGAATGCATTCCGGAAGTCCGTATGACTGCAGCCAATCGGAAGCCACGCCAGACATTCGGCATCCGAAAATCATTTGAAATCCGGAACACTCATTTCCGGATTTTGATCATTCGGGCGACGAAATGTATGAGTTCCGAGGCGTTCAGCAACCTCGGTACGACTGTATATTGGTTTACACTAATTTGGATACTAGTAAATGTTGGTGTTCATTTGTTGTAAACTGCCTTTAAAAAAAGTAGTGAAGTGTGTAAAAAGGTTTTGGAGAAGTAAAGAGCCATTAACTAGCATTAAATGTCTTGCAATTTATTTAATAAAGCTAATATTTTAGCTTTATAGTTAAAAATAGAAACAGGGATCTGTTGTCTGTGGGGGATGCTATAGTAGTATTCTGCATGACTGATCATTCATTGAGCAGGGATTGGACTAGATGACCACCAAGGTCGCTTCCTTGCACATCCTGGATGGTCTAGTGCAGGGGTTGGCAAGGTTTACCTCGCCTGGGCCGGTTCACTCCAACGGAGATCCCTCTGTGGACTGGATTGTGAGTGTGCACGCCCATGATTTCTGGCGTATGCGCATGCGCAGATGCGATTTCCGGTGCCGCGGAAGCAAGTCTCTGCGCCATGCTGTTCTGGTTTAGAGCAGAGCGCGGGGACTCGCCAAGTGGGTGGCTTGGTTCAGGGGCGGCTTGTGGACCGGTTAAACGACCCCCGCTTGTGGCCCATGGGCCTTAGGTTGCCGACCCCTGGTCTGGTGGTCAGGATTTGGCGCTCTCACCAAGGTCCCTTCCCACTCCATAATTCTTTGAGTCTAATTTAAAGTATAACATTAAAGCAGATTCTTCAGCAAATACATAATGATTGTTCTAGAAATCAGTTGACACTTTATTACAGTGGTGCCTCGCAAGACGAAAATAATCCGTTCTGTGAGTCTCTTCGTCTAGCGGTTTTTTCGTCTTGCGAAGCAACCCTATTAGCGGATTAGGGGATTAGCGCTATTAGCGGTTTAGCGGCTGTTAAAGGCTTAGCGGCTAAAAGGCTATTAGCGGCTTAGAAAAAGGGGGGGGGGAGCGAAAAAAATCGCAAGACTCGCAAGAATTTTTCGTTTTGCGAAGCAAGCCCATAGGGAAATTCGTCTTGCGAGGTGCATCGAAAAATGGAAAACCCTTTCGTCTAGCGGGTTTTTCGTCTTGCGAGGCATTCGCCTTGCGGGCCACCACTGTAATTCTATTAGCTTTTAACTGAAGAAATGTTTCCATCTAAAACCTGGGAGTTGGTCTGTTGAGAATTGGACTTGATAAAACTTAACAGAAAGATCCTTCTGTTTCTTGTAAAATGAACTTACTGAATGAATCTGAGACTGAATGTCTGTACTTAAAGACCCAGAGCTGTTATCCTGAGTCACAATGGAAGTATAAAGCTTATTGCTGGAACAACGTAATTGTAGGTTGTATTGGAAATATGCTGTGCATTTTCAACCTTCAGCTTTATTATTGTTTCCCCCGCCAGCACCCGGGAAAGTGGCAGATAAGGTCATTATAGAAAACACAAGAGATTCAACCTTTGTCTTCATGGAGGGATCTGAGGATGCTTACGTTGGTTATATGACAATCAGGGTAAGAACATGGGAGCAAGCACTTAAGTTGAAATTACTTGAGTTGAAAGAAATGGATGGCTTGTAACAAGCGTTATTGTATTTACTTTCAGTTTAACCCTGATGATAAATCTGCACAACATCACAATGCTCACCACTGCTTAGAGATTACAGTTAACTGCAGCCCAATAATAGACCATTGTATTATTCGAAGTACTTGTACAGGTTAGTAATTTCTCTGTTAAAACTGTCATGAAGTAACAGGTGTACAAGATGCACAAGGGCTGGAGACCAAACAACTAGGCACCTGCCCCCGAGAGTGATCAGCCATCCAGCCGTGCCTTCTCCTGCCCATCACTACTGGAATTGGGAAGCATCTTGACCACTCTCTTCTACCTGCCCTCCCAGAATCATTAACCCACCACCATTCACCCAATATGCAGCTAGGGGATTGGACCACAGAATAGTAAACTAAGACCCAGTACTACACGTGTCCCACACCATCAGAAGTAGACGTTAAATCTCCTAGCTACTCTCCTCCCCCTGCCTCTCCCCCTGTTCTTCCACTAAGGAAGAACTCCACAGGCCCTAGACCACACCTGCATCCGCACAAACACTCCTACCTGCAGCTAGATGATACACAGGTCAAACAGCTGTTGTAATGCGCTCTCTCTCTCTCTCTCTCACTCTCACACACACACACACACACACACTCGCTCACTTGAGGAGCAAACCAGGCAAGGACCAGGATGCTGCAAACTCAGTCCCCAACTCCCTGTTTCTCTGTGGGTCTGTTCACATGGTGTAGCTGTGAGCAAGCGAGGTAATGAATTAGCTGGCTTGGGGCAAGGGCATGCACTGGCCACACAATCCTCCTAAGCCCTCTGCTTTGGCTCAGGATTCATCTGAAGTCATTTCATGCCCCTACTGTCTAGTTTATCCTGAAAGGTTAAGCCAAGATAATTGGCAAGAAGCTAGCCAAGTTCATTCAGTGTTTCCAAGTTACTTCATTTTCTTTTATTATTTTTAGTGGATGATGCAAGTTGTAGGTTTCTTATGAAGGCAAATCTAATTCCAATTTTAAAATGTAAATGTTGTTTCCTCTTCAGTTGGTTCTGCAGTCTGTGTTAGTGGTCAAGGAGCTTGTCCCACTATCAAGCATTGCAACATCAGTGATTGTGAAAATGTTGGTCTCTACATTACAGATCACGCACAGGTGAACACCCTTTCCCATCCCCCCTCCCATTGTTTTCCACCTTGCAAAAATAAAATTGCCTGATCCATCTTCAATTTACACTATTTTCTGATATTTTAGGGAATATATGAGGACAATGAGATCTCCAATAATGCATTAGCTGGGATTTGGGTCAAAAACCACGGAAACCCTATTATTAGAAGGAATCATATTCACCATGGGCGCGATGTTGGTGTTTTCACGTTTGACCACGGCATGGTAATGTATACTTTTCCTTTTGAGGAGAGCTTATGGGGTGGGTGGGGTGTGCATATTTCTGTGGGGGAAGTGAGTTTTTGTGAGTGTTAAAGCAGCTTGTTTTTGTCCACCTGTTTCCAGTGTTGATGGTTTCTCTTTTGCATGGCCCTCAAGTAAATAATGTACATTGGGGACTATTGAGACCCAGAGCAGAAGTAATGCCTGGTTAGAAGACTGGGAATGTGCAGCAGGTTCCCTCACCCATGTGAATGCCTGCCTCCATTGCCTTATTAGCATAATCTTTGGTGAAGTACTACATCTTCACAAGTGCTGGCTACCGTTACTTTTTAAACCAGGGTTTAGAATGAGTGTTTCAGCTGCTTCGTGTATGTCAGCCGCTTGGCACAATAGGTACCAAAAAATTGGTACTAAAGTAGAAGGACAATACCTCCTCAAAAGCAGGCCACTGAAATTCTGACATTCCTGCCCCGCAGGCTAGGTTTTATAATTGGATTTGGAGGTTAGGTGTAGGATTGATATGGAAAAGTGTCTTCTATCCATCATTTGTCTCTTCATACATCTTCAGCAATGATGATCCCAAGATCATTTTTCTTTGGAGACCTCCCTCAATCTTTGGTTGGTGCATTACATTCAGCTCCTTTCCACAACATATTTCAGAAACTGGGAACAGAATTCCAATTACGCAGAGATTCTTGATGTTTTATTTTCAGCTTGCCCTTCACCTGCTGCTTTGTTCTGAAATTATTGTTTTCCAGTGTTTGCGTTAGTACTTGTTAGGGCTGATTTACATTTGCAGGATATACTTGACATATTATTATTTGTTTTAGTTTTGTTAAAGTTTATTTTACTATCCAAAGGCCATGACAAATCCATACAATCACAAACATTATAAAATATAACACAAACAACTTCAAATAAAAATAGTAACTAGAAATTATGAGAGAGGCGATAACAGAGGAACCACCATGGCTACACTAACTGAATTTCAATTTAGTCCTCTGAATTCTCCTTACAATTTACAGCTCCTTTTTTTGCCACCAGAGCCAAAAAGACCTCTTATGTGTCACTACAGCATTGTTGTTACTCAGCAGCCACTTTCCTGTACAAACGGGTTTTAGAAAGCTCCGCCTTGGAGCAATTGCCCCATATAAAAGAAGATGTTTGCCATGAGGCATCAATGTGGCAGAATCACCCGGTGTTGACTTTGTAACATTGAACTTTAATGTGAGAATGTGGCCTTGGCATTGACAATTCTCTGCAAGACTCTAGGTTGGTTCAGATTTAACTAACACTAAGCCATAGTTTCGGATTATGAGGATGAGCCTTGGTGAGTCTTCCGTCCCCTCCTGCTTCAAACCAACCACAATAATTCAAAAGCCTCCAGTTCCATTTTAGATTAACCTCCTATTGCTGTGTGGTCTAAGACCAGAGACACCTGGATAGCTCAGCTGGTTAGAGCGTGATGCTAATAACGCCAAGGCTGCAGGTTTGATCCTCATATGGGGCAGCTGCATATTCCTGCATAGCAGTGGGTTGGACTAGATGATCCTCAGATGATCCTCCTTCCAATTACAATTCTATGATTCTCTGGTTTATCTATGGCTAGTAGAAATAAGGCAATCTAAAGCCACAGCTCATTAAACTGGCTTGCTTTTATTAACTATAGGGAAGATTAACCACAGTGTAGGGTTTGAAAAGCACACAACTTCCGTCTAAAACCTTCTTATCCCATAGTTGTTACAGACGGGGTAGCATGTGAGCCATATAACTCACACCGTTCACAGCTAACATGGCCAGTGATCAGGCATGAAGGGTAGTATAAAAAACAACAACTGGGGGCATGAGGTTGGAAAAGTCTGTGCTAAATCATAGTTTGTGGTTATGTTACACTTAAACAATGTGCTTGTGTTATGTCCAACTCTGCAACCGAAGAAATGGGCCTGTTTTCTAGTGCAATACTTGAAGTGCTTTTACAGTTGTTCAGATGGAGCATGTGGTCCTGTCTCTTAAAAATTACTCTGTAAGCCAACATGAGCACTTGCAGTTTTAAAGAAATAATAAAACAGTCTAAATGTATTTTTGCGCAGTACCATCTTTATTATAATGTCAGGTAGCTGGGGGGGGGGGGAAGACACCCAACCAATTATATTTCCTTACCACTCCCCATTTTCTTCCTTGTTTTCAGGGTTATTTTGAAAGCTGCAACATACATAGAAATAGAATAGCAGGTTTTGAAGTGAAAGCTTATGCCAACCCTACAGTAGTTCGTTGTGAAATCCACCATGGTCAAACTGGAGGAATCTATGTTCATGAAAAAGGAAGAGGACAATTTATAGAAAATAAGATCTATGCAAACAATTTTGCAGGTGTATGGATTACTTCAAACAGTGACCCAACAATAAGGTACCTGTCTGTATTTTGGCCTAGATTCTCAAGCCCTTGGACAGAAGTGGGGACTGGCCCACCCTCTGTGGGCCATTTTTGACAAATGTGTAGCGTCACCACCTGTCAGTCACCTGGTATCATATGACATCAGGTAATTCAACTTCAGTTGAAGAATCAGCAGTGCACTCTTTAAGTGCACTCTGGATTCTTCCTTTCTTCTTCTGTAGCCCCAGCTTGAATCCAAGCTGTGGCTACCAAAGATTCCAGCCAAAAGAAGAATTCAAGCATTTTTTGCTAGGGCTTGGCTCCACTTGAGAGCTCTGACCCTATTCCAGCAGGTCCTGTATTTGGAATCAAATTTAGAAGGCACCAAATGCAAGTCCTGCATTCAGAGGAAATATCAGAGGCTCATCAAAGGAAACATGGATGGCATTGTAGTGTGTGTTGCCACTGATATTTGAGGATCATCTGATTTCTAAGCCATCATGCAAGTCCAGCCCCATAAGCTTTCTAGATGGGGACTACCTGGGAACGTCATAGAAACCATTCTAAGCTGTTAGAGTAAAGAGCAGTGTTGTGTGTATTAAAAATTAATTAGTCTTCCATTTAGAAGCCACAGTTCTGTGTATACTGTACAGCCTATGTACGTTTAGATTATGTGGTGCTTGACAAATTCTGTTTTCTCTGGCTTTTGCACCTTAGGGGTAATGCAATTTTCAATGGGAATCAAGGTGGAGTCTACATATTTGGTGATGGAAGAGGCCTTATTGAAGGAAATGACATATATGGTAAAAAAATGAATATTTGCTTTGCTGCATTTGATACTCCTTGTGTCCTTGTGCCACATTTTTATTCATACTTAACCTCTTTTAACAGGAAATGCATTAGCGGGGATACAGATTCGGACTAACAGCTGTCCCATTGTTCGACACAACAAGATTCATGATGGCCAACATGGCGGTATTTATGTGGTGAGCATCTCTGTGTGGTTTTGATGTGAACTCAACTCAGAAATATTTTCGCTAGAGCCCTTTTCAGGCATTCAAAATGTGGAATGTAAACGTGTGGTTGGGGAAAGAACCTGGAAGGGAAAGCTTGTTAAACATATTAATCTGGAAGGGTTTTTAAAAAATGTTTGCTTGAAAGTGTTGGCAGTTTGGCATCTAAACGTTTGAAAACTTGTCTTGTGTTACTAGGACACTTTAAGTCTCGCCAAAATGAAGAAGTCATGATTAGGCCACAAATTGAGGTTAGAGCCTGATTGTCAACCTGCATAAGTTAGATTGTTGATATTGCACTTTTCTTTCTTATGCTATATATGAAAGCATTTAAAAGAGGGTTTTAAAAATTCATGGAGGGTAAGGCTATATTCTACCTCCACTGTCATATTGCCTCTATATCAGTTGCTGGGAGATGCTGATGAGGAGAGAGTGTTGCACTTGGAACCTGCTTGCAGGCTTCACCTAGCATCTGGCTCTGGCTTCTATGAGAACAGGATCCTGGACCAGATGGGCTTTCGGTCTGATCCAGCAGGGTGGCTTTTGCATTCATATTTCCCAACATTGGCTAACTGTGATTTTGATAAATTAAAGCATTGAAGCATATTCACTCTTTCTAATAGTGAACTAAGATGGAGAGCGCTGCCGAGATTGTAGACAAAAACATGTCGTTAAGGAACTAGTGGGAAATATCTGCATGCTTGGTATAACTTTGAGGATTGCAAAAGTAAAAAAACAAACAAAACTTTTTAAAAAATTAAGGGGTGATCCCCAAACACCCCAGTGAGGACTAAGCATGCTCAGTAACCACCGGATGGTGAGTTACAGTTGGAAAAGAAAAATTAACTGGCTACAAAGGGAGTTGAAGGAACAGGGCTGCAGCTGACAAAGGAGCTAGGAACATTTAAAAATAAACCTTTTTTTGCAGGTCCTGCTTTTGTTTACCAGTTTTGTTTTGCTTTCAGCATGAAAAAGGCCAAGGTGTGATTGAAGAAAACGAAGTTTACAGTAATACCTTGGCTGGAGTCTGGGTGACAACAGGAAGCACGCCAGTGCTGAGAAGAAATAGAATACATAGTGGTAAACAGGTACATCCCACCTTACTATGTGGTTGGCAGTAATACTGATTTCAAACTCTTTACCAGATGGCTGGATTTTTTTTAAAAAAATGTGAAATTTAAAGAAATAACATTTGGATTTTTTGCCTTCCAAATTGCATGGTTTCTTAAAAAGTGAAAATACTAGCGGTTGCATCCACTTAAGTCCTACTTAGAGTAGACCCATTGAAATAAATGTTCTTGAGTTAGTCAAGTCGATTTGTTTCGGTGGACTTCTGTCTTGAGTTTGACTTAATTGGATATTAGACAAAGACACTGTGGGTGATTCCCAGGTCCAAGTATTGGGGCTTAACCTGCTCTAGATATATTTGCACTCCCTCTGAAAGAACAGGCACACTGTTTAGAAGGCCTCTTGGAACCTCCATTGTGAAGAACACCTATCACCAGCCTTCGTTGGTATGTCAACTGTGTCCTTTCCTAGACATAGATAGCTTGGCCTCTGTGATTCATGCACTGGTAGCCTAACATTTATACTCCTGTCATGCCCTGTGTGGAGCTTCTCTTACAGCTGGTGTGGAGGCTGCAGCTGATGCAGGATGCTGCAGTCCACCTGGTGAGTGGGGCTGCTTACCAGGCACATACCATGCCAGTGCTAAGGGACTTTGCTCTGTCTGCCTATTAGCCACTGAGCAAGTTTTAAGCTCTTGTTACTTAGATATAAAACCTTTAAAGACTCTGGACCAGGTCACCCAGAAAGACTGGCTTCCCCTCCATTGCCCAGAAAGGGCATTAAATTCAACAGGTGTGGAATCCTGCTATTCTCGACGCACCCTGGTGATTGGCTTGTGGTGACACAGAGGGGGCTATTTCACAGGTGGCCGCAGTGTTATGGAATGCTGAAATGTGGTCGGCCCCATCTGTGTTGGCATTCTGGCTCCGGAAGATGCAGCTGTTTGGGATTGTTTCATTGCATATTTCAATCATGGACATTTATTTTGTTTAATGGCATTGTTTGTGTATTTTAAATGTGGTGTATTTTCAATTCTGTATTTTAACAGTGTTGTACAGTAGGTTATTTTTGTTTTGTAAATGGTTTAGAAACCATTTTGGCATTCAGCAGTATATGAATAGATATAACAATACAACCCAGTATTCTGTTAAGCCATGTGGATGTAAGCATGTTAGCTCTGCAGTTAATCACAATCTAAACTGAATTGGTGTCTGTATTAGATTCATGTTGAATGAGGCTTTTCTTTCTAATTGAAAAACCAGTTTGATCATTTCTCAGATATGATTATTTACACTATGCCTCCCAAAGACAGGCATTTCATTTTTACCTGATGAAAATAAACTGTTCTTGTTTGCTCAGTAAGCAGAAAGGAGCAACACTGGGAACAAGAAAAAAAAAATCCTCAGTGTGTTGGTTCCTATCGTCCCATATTTAACTTTACTAAGTCTCATGTATGGGATGCTGGTCATAATCATGAAAGACCCTGTATAGGAATATTTTAAATATAATCTCTCTACAGGTAAAAAAAAAAAAAGGAAAGCATGCAAAATGTATACAGAGTAACAAAGATGTGAGGCCTAGTTATACAAATAAAACAGTGTAAATAAAACTATTTTACCGGTTTTAGTAGTCAGAATTTACACTGTTGTTCTGGAAATACATGAAGTAGTATTAGTGAGATACTTGATTTAATCAACCTCTTTTCTTTCCGGTTTAAATCATGGCTTTAAATTGCCATGATATAAAAATTAATTTACCATTTCCCAATGTCTCTTTAATGCTCCAGGTTGGTGTTTATTTCTATGACAATGGACATGGAGTGCTGGAGGACAATGATATCTATAACCATATGTACTCAGGGGTTCAAATCAGGTAAAGTATATCTTCATTTGTTTTGCTTCAAAATGTTTTTAATATATAAACCAGTTGTCTTAAGTCAGTGAACTGTCAACTTTTCTCACCATCTTAACAATTGCAGTACGTATGTTACTTTAGATTTGGTTGTTTTCCTTTCCTGTCCACTGTCAGGATTATTATGTGGTAGTAGCTCTCAACTTGGGCTTGAAATTGTTGGAAGTGTCAGACCCATGTCTTTCAATGACTAGTTTTGTATTTGGCCTGGGAGACAGATTCTGTTCCAGGAGTGGAAAAGCGATTTCCTCTGAACTCCTAAGATGCCAGCACTGGAGTGGATAGAGTCCAGTGCCCTGGCAAGGATACAAATCACCCCGTTCCTGGTCATCAGAATAATCATTTGAGGAGAAGGGATGGTGTGATAATTAAGCTACCTCTGTGGGCATATAAGAGAGAATGAATGTTGGGTGGTCACACCTAGAGAGCTGGCCATGAGTGAGTGCAACCCCAAGCCAAGGAGGTTAGCAACCCCTGTTCTGATCTAACATTTGTCAAGGCTTTATTGGATGACCTCAGAGTAAGTCCCTGTCTTTTATCCTCATTTTTCTATCTGCAAAATAGGAGTTCATTTTACAGAGTTCTTGGTTTTCATAAAAAAATAAAAACACACTTAGTTAACCAAGTGTGTCATATGAATTATATTTTCCCTTCCCTTTTAAACACAGTGAAGAGCTGCAGGCTGATAAAAAAGAATGGCAAAGTCCTTCCGTTCACACAAGCAGTTTCTTAACTTTCATCATAGAGCATACTTGAAAGATTTTTTCCATGGCTAAAAATACTCTTCGGTTTCTCAACTTTTCAGGGTGTGAACATGAGAGGTGCCATAAAAAATTAATTGTAGACATATAAGCCCCATTATATCCGTTGTTCTTTATACTACAGTATAAAGATATACTAGATGTGTTCAGATGATAGGTACCCGAGGGCTGAGACTAAAAGGGTTCACAATTATTTCCAGTGATATTGAAAAGGAGTGGGTAATATTATAAGGGTGTGGGAATGCTAGCCAAGAAAAAAATTGCACCTTAATTAAGAATTTAAGCCCCCCCTTCAGTATTTAAAAAATAAAAATAAAAAGAAGAGAACATCTGGTACAGCCATGTACATACTTTCAGAACCTTTATCTGCCAGAACATTACTTTGTGAGTCTGGATTTGGTTCATAGCATAGGAGAGATTCTGCATTCAGCTAAACAGGGATCTCGTGGTCTCAGGGATTGTTTTCTATACATGGTGAGAGGGGAAGGTATAGGAAGAAATGTATGAGTGCCTGGCGTACTCTAGGCTTATCATGCAGGTACTTAAATATTTCTTGATTGTACAATGCTGATAATGGTTTTTAAATAATCAAATGTAGTTCATGTCACATGTACAAAATAATAAGCCATTTCTGAGTAACCTCTTTGTTTGCTTATGTACAGAACTGGAAGCAACCCCAAAATTAGGCGCAACAAAATTTGGGGAGGCCAGAATGGTGGGATTCTTGTTTATAATTCTGGTAAGCTTCCCCTCTACTTCATTCTTACAATTTAAAATATGAGGCTGTTTCACCGTAATGCAAAATCTTGATGTTTTATTTTATGTTTGAAAGGGCTCGGCTTTATAGAAGACAATGAAATTTTTGATAACGCAATGGCTGGAGTTTGGATTAAGACAGACAGCAATCCCACATTAAGAAGAAACAAAATCCATGATGGAAGAGATGGAGGCATCTGTATATTTAATGGGGGCAGAGGTACTAGTCCACTCACTTTTATCATGTTTACTTTTAGCCAGAGTGATGTCTTTTTAAAAATAAAATGAAGTCTTTGTTCCCTTTAATCAACTGTCACTGTGACCATATTTTGATCCTTTGAGAAGCTGTTTAGTCATATTTAATATAAAAAGGAGCAGTAATTCTCTATTTAGCCACCAAGAATATGTCTGCACTGCAGGATCAAAATTTCACTAGCTAAACTGTGGCCTTCTCTGAGAGTTGCAAATTGTGGTTGAAGAAAGAATATGTAAAACCCTTTCTTCCTGTTCAGATAACCAAGCTACATTTTTCTAATTCAAATAGCTGTTGGAGCTCAGCTAATTCCCACTTTCTGCAGAAAACATTTACCGTATTTTTTGCTCTATAAGACTCACTTTTTCCCTCCTAAAAAGTAAGGGGAAATGTGTGTGCGTCTTATGGAGCGAAGGCAGGCTGCGCAGCTATCCCAGAAGCCAGAACAGCAAGAGGGATTGCTGCTTTCACTGCGCAGCGATCCCTCTTGCTGTTCTGGCTTCTGAGATTCAGAATATTTTTTTTCTTGTTTTCCTCCTCCAAAAACTAGCTGCGTCTTGTGGTCTGGTGCATCTTATAGAGTGAAAAATACAGTATGTTAATATTTGAATATGTCTATATTCCACGTGTTAAAAAGCAATATATATCTACCATCACCCGGAACAATTACTGTACTCAGTATTTATTTATTTTCTGTGCTTGTGAACAAAACAAATTTCAGACTGATTATTTTTGTTCTGTCTTAGGTCTCCTTGAAGAGAATGATATCTTTAGGAATGCACAAGCTGGGGTCCTTATCAGCACAAATAGTCATCCTGTGTTAAGAAAAAATAGAATATTTGATGGATTTGCTGCTGGTTTGTATTTGATTTATATTGTCTTTATCTCAGAATAGTGTTAAGACCTCAGATCTAGGAGTGTTTCAGTCATTTGCAAATATTCTGATATTTCATAATGTCTTAAAATCACCAGTGAACTTTGTCCAAATATTCACCAGTGAATATTGTCCAAAATATCAGTGGTGGTTTTCTTTTTTCTCCCTTAAAAACTACTGGTTAGCCAGGCCACCCATGTTTTAAATGGCCAACATTTTGGAAAGGAGGAAGAGAGACCACATTTTGCCAGAAGTGAATTGCTGAATTAGTAATTTAATAGGCAACTCTTTCTTTCACTGTTGGAGATTCAGACTTTATTTAAATCATTTTGAAACCTCCTTTATATTTCAAAACTTACATAAAAATGTAAAGCTTTGTGTCTATTTTTCTTTAAAAGTTTTAACTTTTCATACATTCAGCGTTTTTCTTCCTCCTCCCACCTTAAACCATGTCAAGCATTTGTAAATAATGCATAGGCCTTGTTAGTTGCATTTCATTTTTTCTCTGTGCATTATCATTTATTTTTTACCAATGGTTAAGGGCCATAGAAAAGCAGATTTTTTAGGAAGGATTGACTTCGGTGATCACTTCAAGGCAGCCTGTAATTTTTCATAGGACTGTAGTATCTGCCCAAGCTGTTATTCTACAAAGCACTCTCATTAATTATTGTTTGACCCATTTCGAGTCATCACTTTGCACAGCCCTCTGTGGCAGCAGAATAATAATAATAATAATAATAATAATAATAATAATAATAATTTTATACCCCACCCATCTGGCTGGATTTCCACAGCCACTCTGGGAAGTTTACAGCATATATAAAAACGTAGTAAAACATCGAGCGTTAAAAACTTCCTGATACAGGGCTGCCTTCAGATGTGATAATTTTATTATTATTTTAACCATTCAAGGAATAACTCTGGCCACTGCAAGCATGGTGGCGATGCATCTTTGCTTCCCCACTCACATCAAATCTTAAAGAAAAAAGCGTCTTTGCTAGGCAGAGACAACATGGAGTAACATGCCACAATACAAACAGCTCCATGATACATCCTGGAGCTGTAACAATGAAGCAAGCTTGCGAGTTGATGAGCACAGGGGGAGAAAAACTCCCCAACAAATGCAGTCAAACATGGGTTCACTGCCGGATCTGAGTGAAGAAAGTGTACTTCACCTCCATTGCTTCCTGTTTGTCATTCAGTGGAGTTGTTCCAAATAGCCATGGGCCTATACTTACAGGCTCTAGCGAGGTGTTACGAGCATAAAATTGCTTGGATCTGCTGCGATCTGGACTCACCCTTTGGAGCAAGTGCTAGAGAGGTGTAAGGAACACTTTTCTTGTCGGCTGTTGTTGGGTAGGTTTCAGTTGCTTTGGCCCAAGAACGTGTACAGGGTGCTTTGTCAGTTTGTGCAGCTACTGTTAGCCTATAAAATCAGGCAAGGAGGAGACGGTGGGGCCAGGCTAATAATTCATGCTTTGCTTTGAGAGGTGGCGATAAGACCATTCTTGAAGAAACCTGACTTACGTTTTAGGCCAGCGGCAGATGTCTCCTTGAGAGGGTGGTTGTCAACATTTTTAAGTCCAGTTCAATCAAGATTCAGGCCTACTTTTGGCTCAGAAACTGCCTTGGTCGCCACCCTGTATGATGACTTGTGTTGGGAGAGACAGAGAATGCAATGATCTTGGCATCTTTCAATACCATCAGATTTGGAATCCTCCTGGAATAACCGGCTGAGTTGCGGATTGGGGGCACCATATTGCAGTGGTTCTGATTCTACTTGGACAGCCAGTTCCAGAATGTGGTCCTCGAGGGAGATTGTTCGGCCCCCTGATTCTCCAGTATGGGAACTGATTCTGTTCCCCATGCTATTAAACATCTGCATGAAACTGTGGAGTGTGGGGTCATACAGGGTCTGTGGTAATTGATTTGAGGGCCAATAAACTGAAGCTTCATCTAAGACTGAGACGTTCCTAGGTGGTGGTTTTCCCATCTAGTATGCAGCCTGCTCTAGATGAAAACTCCAAAGTTTATAATCATTCAAGTAGCAAGTAACTGAGGCAAATAGCATTTTAATACTTTTTTAAGAGTGCAGTTTCTGCTAATTAACTAGTATACTATTTCTCTTTGGATAGTACCAGAAGAGTCAAAAAATTGTTGCGACAGCTAAATACGTCAAATTTTCTGCTAAACTAACTTTCCCCCCTCTAATTTAAGGTATTGAAATAACAAATCATGCAACTGCAACTTTAGAAGGCAATCAGATTTTCAATAACCGGTTTGGAGGTTTATTTCTAGCCTCTGGAGTCAATGTGACAATGAAAGGTATGTTGAATTATGCTCATTTGTAATTTGTAAGTCACTGAAACTCTTTATAAGGGATACCCAATGAAAATGAAACCCCAAAAGCACCCTCACATTTAGAAACTTGCTTTGACAGCTTCTAAATTAGCCGTTTGTTATCGTTTTGGTAGCTCAGTTTAAACAAACCTCTTCCGTGCAAAACTATTAATGTGTCTGACATACACACTTCCTAGCAGTGGCAATGTATTTTCTCTTAGTATTTGTTTTGTGTGAACAGCAGGTGCAGCAATATTGGTGAAGAGTAAGTAGTGTGTTAAAACTTGTACAGTTGTGCCCTGGATCCTGAACACCCTGGAACTCGGATGTTTTTGCTCCCAAATGTCGCAAACCCTGAAGTGATTGTTCCAGTTTGCAAACGTTCTTTTGGAACCCAAACATCCGACGGGGCTTCCGCAGCTTCTGATTGGCCACAGGAGCTTCCTGCAGCCAATCAGAAGCTGTGATTTGGTTTTCGAACGTTTTGGAAGTCAAATGGACTTCCCGAATGGGATTCCGTTCGACTTCTGAGGTACGACTGTACTGCAAAACTCTTCATCGTGCGTAATCCTAAAGGGATTGTGTAATCTTATTTCAGATCAAATCCAGCTGTTGGATTGGAGGTTTTCAGTCAAGCTATAGCTCATGGACTGTAGAATAGCTCACTGTGCAGCAGTAAACTGTTAAATCTGATCACTGTTTTATTGCAGATAACAAAATAATGAACAATCAAGATGCCATAGAAAAAGCTGTCAGTAGAGGCCAATGTTTATATAAAATATCAAGTTACACCAGCTACCCCATGCATGATTTCTATAGGTAAGCAAGTATGGGATCTACTTTTCCCACAGCTTAACGTTTGCATGTTTAAAAAATGGATCCGTTTTAAATTGTTAACTTTGCATTTTAGGTGTCACACTTGCAACACCACAGACCGCAACGCCATATGCGTAAACTGTATTAAGAAGTGCCATCAAGGACATGATGTGGAATTTATTAGGCATGATAGGTATGTTGACTGACCCTTGATTGAAAACATAGTGCCACTTTTTTCCCTGCCAGTATTTCAAAGACTTCTCTCTTCCAGGTTTTTCTGCGACTGTGGTGCTGGAACACTCTCCAATCCATGTACATTAGCCGGAGAACCGACCCATGATACAGATACACTATATGACTCTGCTCCTCCTATAGAATCTAATACGCTGCAGCACAACTGAATTACTTTTGAGAAAGAAAGGAAGAAAAAAGTCCTGCCATTCTATCGTAACTGTTAATTTTGTTTTTGAGGAAGTTATACTTGCCCATTTCTGCAGAGGGAGACTTAAAAAAGGATGTGTAAAAGTGGTGACACTATGGAGCTCAACCTACCAAAAAGAAAGTGGCAATATGTTGACTCAGGATAACAGAACTGGGCGTTTCAGCATTACTGTGTAAACAAAGACTAAGGGACAGATGTGAAGAAAATAAGCTGCATCTTTGTACAGATACCAACTTCCAAAAGGCTGGTGTTTCTACAAGTAGCATTGAAACACAGTCCCATTTGCAGTAGTACTATTCTGTAGACTAGCAGCAGTCTTTGTTGCTGCCTTTATGGACATGGGTACCAATTGCTTTTTGTAATATGGTAAAAAATGTGAGCTAGCACTTCTGCATTTATTTTGATTTTTTTAAAAAACATTTATTCAGATTGAGATGATTTTAATGCTTTAATCTCATGTAGTTTTTAATTTCAAGCAAATCTTATTGTACTTGAATGTGTCCTGTTTTGTTAGCACATCTAGACTTGCTGTAACTGTACTCATGTCCCAGTATGTACGTTCTTTCTATGAAAGAGAACACTAATCTTAAATTATATCCAGCAATTTTTCTGGTATCCTTTGCAGTTAGAATATCCCTCCTTTTCCCCTTCCCCACCCCCCATGGTCTTCACATCACTTTGAGAAACAATGTTTTAATGAGGCTTCCTGGGAGATAATGCACTATTAAAACAAAGTATGCAGGCGACAGTTTGCAGTTAAGAGGTTTTACTATGTTTTAAAGTACACTGTTGTAAGAACATCTCCTCAAAACAATCCTGTATTTACTCTGTTCACAGTTTTATTGAACAGTCTTGGACATTAACTCTTATGAACTGCTGAAAATTGCAATTTCCTCCTCTAATGAAGATGAGACAAAAGTATATAGACAGCCCTATACAGTTTCATAGCTTTTTTTCCATTTATGTGTATTGGTGACAGTGGGTAATCAACAGCCTGAAAGTGTATGCATGTACCATAACATCTAGACTTAATATATTGTGGAGTATTCAATAACCATTATGTAGAGGGGTAGCTAAGAATTAAAAGGGTTTAATTTCCTAGGAAATACAATGGAAAATGGTCATTTTTAAAAAATAAAGTTTATTAGATCACTGTTGTTTGCATAATGCCTTCAAAAACTGCTGTAGAAACTTATTACAGGTTGTCTCACACAGGAAGCACGGCTAGCTTGTCAAGCTCATCTCTGGCTAGTGGAGCTCCTTCAGCTATCTGGCACTGTTTCCTGGGAAAACACACAATCAACATATGCATGTTTAAAACTAGGGGAAAGAATAGAAGGAAATAATACCAAGCTTAATGTACTTGTTCAGACACTGCTTGCTCTTCCGGCTAGGCTCAATACAGTATATAACAGTGCTGTGCAGTCACATCAACTCCACAGCAAGCTAGTTTAAACGCATCTCCTGCAGCATGCAGCAAGCCACCAGTTTAAGGATCACTCCGCCCTGCAAGCTAAGTACATGGTGAAAAATCTTACCTGAACAATCGTAGTGAGAGGGTAGTTGCCTCAAACTCTTTTGCCTTTTCTTGAGCTTTCTGAATAACTTCTTCGGGAATGTTAGCAAGCCTTGCTGCATTAAAGCCATAGCTTTTAGGGCAAGCACCTTTGATGAATTTGTAGAGAAATGTAATTGTTTCTTGGCTAGGATCGTCAGTCTCATTTTCCACCATACATGCCTGAAAAGAAAAAACAGCACAAAGGAAAGTGGATCAATGGCCCTTGTTTCAAATCCTACCAGCTCATCTAGGCCTTTAATGGTCTACTTTGTTTACCAGCTGTGTTGAAGAAAGGGAGTTCCAGCCCGTAAGCCCTCTGCAGGCGAGACCACTTTTGAAGGGAAAGGAAGTGTTACATACCATGTGTCCCAACCGCACAGAAGGGGTGTGAGAATAATCCTCTACTAAAGAATGGTAATGTGTTGAAAACATGGTGCGGCATTTGATGTTCTCTGAAAGTTCTTTGACAACTGCACTAGCAATAGCAGTTCCATCAAAGGTAGCTGTACCTCGACCTGGAAAGTAAAGAAAGCTGTGTTTAAAACTCCAAGGCATTGCCAGAGCAGCTGAAATACATTTTGAACCTTGCACTAGGCTGGATCTTTTCCCTTCTTTCCCAAAAAACTCCAAACAACTAAAACAACCAACAGCATACTGAGAATTTGAACCACTTTTAAAGCAGGATGACTAAGTAGCTCAGCCATCCTGTCTTCACCATCACATGCAGGTGAGACCCTAAACAAGACCCCTTTTATAAAAAGAACAGAACTTCCACAACTTGAATAATAGGACCTCTGCCATAATGGGAGGTTTCTTGTGTGATAATGCCATTGTATGTATATAAACTGCAGCCTTGGCTCAACAATCAGAACTAGAATTGGGCGAAGTTATTTGGGAAATTCAAGCAAGCTTGCTGTGAGATATTTTGTTTAACAAGCAATGATTTAGTCTGATAAAAATATTTATTCCAAAATCTGTATCAGGACGGTATCCTTAGGCAAACAAGATTGTTACAAAAGCAAGCTTTTGAGTTCTCCAAAACTTTTGATCAGGTTAAAAAAAAATGCAAGGGGCAGGAAAATTTCTAAAAGTCTGTTAAGACTCTCACCAGCTGCAGTCACAGATGGCTTAAGATGGTGTATGGGAGAAAGTGGCAACATTCAAATAATACCCTTTCTAGTGCACATGAGTGGCATGGGTAAAAAACAACTAGGCAAGTTTCTTCAAAAACAATAAAAACACTGACAGAGAATCTCAAGCAAACTAGAAGGCCTTGAATAAAATGGTCTTTGCCTGCTACTAAAATAGATTGATTCCAAATGAAGGGTGGCACAACACACACTGTTCCCAGCCATCCAGACATCAAATGAGATTATTGGGCAGACTGGTTCGAGTACTAGTTGACTGCTCTCTCTTGCATGATGCTAAATGGGATTGTCAAGATGTTGGGGTGGAAGCAAGATGTCTGTAATTGTGCACTTTAGCTTGCTTAAGCAAAGTCACTGTGACCGACCCAGGCACATTCCAGAACGAGAAGAAACTTGGGTCCAATTAAAAACAAGATTCGTGTGGGCAAGAACTTCCCATATGGTGTTGCCAGCATCCAGTGCCTTGTTTAAATTGGGCTCTCAGCTGTTTCATATGCCCTGTTAGCACACCTAGCATCTATAGCCCAGGCAAGAGCTGTGCTGGCACGATAGCTGCAGGCATAGTTGCTGAGGGCTTGCTTTAAATGGCACTGGTACATACATGGTCACGCAACCAAGCTCTTGCTCTGCAACACAGTGTTTAAGTCGGGAATTTGTGCAGTGACACAGGCTGAGTACAGGCAGCTGTAGCCTGCCAATCGGGCTGTTAACTTGACATACCTGTAAGTGGGCACAAAACAAGTCTTTTAAAAAAGAGACAGATATTGCAAAAGTTATTACATACCTAGTTCATCCATAAGAACGAGAGAGTGCTCTGTTGCATGTCGTAGTATGCTGGAAGTCTCACTCAGCTCAACAAAGAATGTACTTTCCCCTGGTGGAGGGAAAAAAAACATCCTGGTCACTGCAGGTTTCTAAATCACGCAAGGAGCCTCCACGGAAGTGTGGAGCAGGAGTGATGATGATGAGAGCAGAGGCAGGAAGAACTGCATGCATTTTGGCAGCAGCTAAACGTGTGGCATCGCAGTCTGTCAATTTGTATATTCTTGCATTTATACGCCACCTTTCGTCGTGAAACCAAGGTGCCATGCATGTGATTCCCAGGAAGGATCCGTTTCAGATACTGACCAGGTCTGCTTAACTTCCAGTGAGGTGGTGGACTCATGCCTTCAGACCAGGCCCAAGACGACTCAGGGAGCTTTCAAAAGGGGGAGACTTGAACCTGGGCTTCCCATATCTAAACTAAGCTTTCAAGCCATTGCATCACGGATTGATATTATGGCTGTTACCCTTGCAGCACCATCTTGTGCATTGTCTACTCAGGAGCAAGCCCTGCTGAATTTAATCTGGGTTTACTCCTAAATAAGTGCACAGGATTGCAGCCTTAAAAACCTAACTTTAACTCCGAGAGGAAGTCTGTGAAGTGGCCTACTTGAGCTCCGCCCAGTTCATTCACTCAGCAATATGAAAACAATGTCTTTGCCTCAGTGGAAGCTGCTTTTGGTAGCTGAGCCCTTCAAATGTTCCTTCGTCTGTAAGGAACAGTTCCTTCCCCACCCTAGTTAAGGAACCTTCGGCATGTCCCTCACTGATGTCCTTGCTGCCGTAACCCAGAACTAGTGTTTCGGGTAGGAACCAAGCGGTTCTTTCTCAGGCCAGCTTCAGCACCTGCTGGCACAAACCCCCTGTCCCAGGCTTCTTCTCTGCTGCTTTCCCTCAGGGCACATGGGTCTTAAGGGGCTACGGGGGGGGAGGGGTCAGAACTGCCAGGTCTCTTAGGCTACTGATGGTCCCTTCAAGAACTGGTGGTCATGGGCTCCTTGGTCTGGGCTTCCTCACTTCTTCCTTCCCTCAGGGTACATCTGTCTTAAGTAAGTATGGATAGGCAGGAGAGAGGAGTCTAGAGGCCAGACCATTCCCACCCTCCCCATAAGTATTTCTAGTGCTTGTCACCGTATAACTATTTTCATATACAGTGGTATCTCAGGTTAAGGACTTAATTCGTTCTGGAGGTCCGTTCTTAACCTGAAACTGTTCTTAACCTGAGATACCACTTTAGCTAATGGGGCCTCCTGCTGCTGCTGTGCCGCCGCCACGCAATTTCTGTTCTCATCCTGAAGCAAAGTTCTTAACCCGAGGTACCATTTCTGGGAAGGTGGAGTCTGTAACCTGAAGCGTCTGTAACCCGAGGTACCATTGTACAAGTATTTTGAGGTGGGCACACCTCCTTCCCTTTACAAAAAGTTCCATGTCGCCTGTTTTGCTTTAGCAATTTTTTCTCGGAAACCCCAAAACTGACAGAACTCACCTGACATAATTCTATCTGAAGCCCCTAGTCTGGTGAATATTCTGTCGACAGGAGTAAGCCTGCAAGACTCGGCAGGTACAAAGCATCCCAACTGGGCCATGATCACCACAAGGCCAGTCTGCAAAGCAATAAAACCAATAGGTATTAGAGAACTTGCTTCACCTGCTTGTCCTGCTGCTAAGGAAGAGATACTTCAGTTCATTACCTCCTCCAATGCTATTTCCACCAAAATGAAGTTGTCTGCATTTGGACTGCCCAGTACAAATTGACACCTTAAAACCTGCATCTATTCCGACAAATAAAAGTTGGCAGTAGAGCATGCCACACCAACCTGATGTTTAATGCTGAATTATTCCATCTTATTTTAGAGTTTCTGTACAGCTCGACAGAGCCCTAATGGATATCAGTCAGCATGGATTTAAACATACTTAAGCACCCCAATGCTGCTGTGGAAATGGAAATCAGTTGAACAGATAATGGAATTCTGGAAAAATTAAATTTTGGAAATACAATTGTACCTTGGATCCCAAGTGCCTTGGTACTCAGACATTTTGGTTTCCAAACACCGCGATCCCGGAAGTGAGTGTTCCGGTTTGCAAACGTTCTTTGGAATCCAAACGTCCGATGGAGCTTCCGCAGCCTCCAGTCGGAAGCCAAGCTTTGGTTTCCGAACGATTTGGAAGTCGAACAGACTCCCGGAAAGGATTCCGTTCGACTTCCGAGGTACCACTGTATGTTCGACTGGTTCCCTTGGTTTTAGAGAGGAAAGACAGGAAGCAATTGTGCTGTTTTGCCATCTTGGTTACAAACGCTTCCTACTTGTGCTCTCACAATGCTCCGTTATGATCCGATTCTCATTCTGTAAGAGCAAACATTTAGGCAAGGAGTAGCCTTCCAGCCAACAGCTCTTGTGATTGGGCAATCTAGGGTATTAAAAACACTGAACGTATGGAAAGTGCACATCTTTCCCCCCTCCCCAACAGAATCCTGCTGTTCTACATACTATGCACTTCCACATCAAACAGGTGATGAAAGAAAACTGAACAAAGTACAATTGCCTAATTATTTCAACAGTAGGATCTAGGTAAGCAGGAATGTTACTAACATTGGGTTTAGCCTCGTTTTAAATGAATGCTACTTTGCTAAAAGCATTTGGACGATTTGTCCTGCGCATGTTATTTTCCTACAGGAATTCATATGTATTTATACATGTCAATGTATTTATACAGTACATGTCTTGAGTCCCAAAGTCCCCAACTTCCTACCCGACCCAACTTTCAGCCCCTCTCCAGTCTTCTCACACAATCCAGATTGCAATGGGAACTCTATCTATCTATCTATCTATTACAATAATAATAGTTGTATACTGCCCTATACCTAGCCTGCATGTTGCAAATGAAAGCATAGAACATGCACTGACTGGGGGAAGAAACCCCTTAACCAATCCCAATGGGGTAGTTAGCCTGTAAAAATAGGAAGAAAGAGGGGAATTACACAGATAAACCATGCTTCCAAGTGTCTTGTTCTATGATCACCTGTCTCAGGAGTGTGGACTTTCCTCCCATGTTTGGACCAGTCACTAGAACACAGCAAGTCCTGCTCTCCGAATTTGCCTTTTCATCCTGTACACCTATGAGGATATCGTTAGGGATGAAGTCATCGTCCAATGAGGTTCTTGTAATGCAGGGGTGGCGGGAATGCTTCAGTTCCAAAAAGGGCAGCGTGTTGTTCTCCGGAAGCACAATTACAGGTCGGCACAACGGTCCATCACATCCCTGGCTATAGTGTGCAAAGCACATTAGGACATCTATTGGGGGGGGGGGGGGAGAAAATCCCAGTCAGTTTTCCCGTTTCCTGCATTCCTTCTTCAGAGCACTGGGCTATATCACAAGTGACTAAAGTATCAGTTACTTCCAAGTACTTCTGATGGGAAGTTCTGCTTCTGCACATGAGTTTGGCAAACCGCTCTGAGCTGAAGCATTCCTTCCTCATCCACCCTAGAATGTTCAGTTCACATTGAGTTCATGAAACATCGTACCCTGACCTGTTCTTAATGCATGGTTGACCACATCTACGGAATGCGATTGTTATGTTCTTTAAAGTTCTGCAATATCAATCACTAGTAACAGTTTAATAAGGAGGTTTTCATACCTGTCTAACAATGTGTTCCCTTTCCCAACCTTTAATCTATTGATGATTAATGCCCTTGCATTGTATTTGTGTTAACCAATCAGCAACAAGCACATATGTGGCAATGCTGTAATATTCAATAAAAGGGACTCTCCGAGACATGCTCGGCAGATGCCTCCCATATGACACTTGTCATTCGTCTGTCGTTTATTTCAACTCAACATACTTCAGTCACAAAACTTTCACCATCTTCTCCACCAAACAAGAAGCTTTTACTGCACTACGTACTGCTAACATCCAACACAGAAATTTCAATTAATGCACAATTATTAGGAAAGTATAAATAAGATGGAAGTCTGAAATTTGTTTAATTTTAAAATGATTGAGGGATAGTGTTTCCATCAATTAGATCAGACTGAAACTATACAAAAAAGAGCAGAAGGTGATGGCAATCTTAAACAGAAAGCCTGGGAATACCCTATTTTTCCATGTTTAAGACAAGGTTTTTTCCAGGATTTTGGCAGTCCCTCCTGATGTTGTCCCTTTCCTCCCCGCCAGCACAACCACTGGAGAGTATCCTTTCCACCCCCCCCCCTTCAAACCCCCACCTTTCTTGGCTTCCACCGCCACCCATCTATTTTAGGGTTTTGTTTTCTTAATTTTGGGTTCAAAATAGTTAAGGGTTATCTTGTACAAGGAAAAATATGGTACTTTCCCAGTTTTGAAGCTATCTCTTTGCTGAGCTCTCAGCTTCTCTAGAACTCAGGCTGACTCCTTACCTACAGATTTAGATTGCAAGTACTCTTGCTTAAAGCAGGCTTGCTCTGAAAAACAATACCACATCATCTTTTGTGGGACACAGCCCACCTCATAAGATACGACAGAGGACGCCAGTGTGGCACCCACAGGTACTAGCATACCCAACTAGCATCTCCTCCTATGGCACTCACTGAAGCTCTCGGTATATATTCCCCCCCAAATGCACAAGAGGCTGTTTGCTTTTCCTGCTCAGTTCCTGTCTGCCCTGGCTCAGTCTCTCCTCTACTGAAAATGCCTCCTTAGACATGCACACATTTCATTGGATGCCAGGACAGGACACACACCCTTCTCATCAGTCTGAAGAGATATGAGGTGCATAGAGTTTCTCCCCGAGCAAGTGCAGCGACGGCTGTTGCAACTGTAATAATAATCACACAGGTTACAAGATTATGCATCATTATGCTCATCACTGCACGGAGCTATCAACTGCCTTTGCTAAGAGTCACTCCTTACGCAAGAAGCAAGGAAACAATCCTTTTCTGTATACTAACATTTAGCCCCCACCCCCAGCTAATATTCCTAATATACACAGTGGCACTCCACACTGGTTTCTTTGCAAGGGATTAAATGCCAACATTCCATATTACGGAACCCCAGCTCTTTCAAGCTGCCCACACGCTAACAAATTAATAGTACATTTTCAACTTGAATATACCATGGTAGAAGTCTTCGTACCTAGAACTGCAATGCATTCCACTGCCGTGTGCCAGTCTTCGCTGCTTTTATCGAAGTTGTAGAATAACCTCTTCATACAGTCTTTCTGTGCCGTATCCCTCCGTTCTTCAGCGTTGATGATCTCGTTCAGCATTTTCTCCAGGTCTTTAGTCCAGTAGCGCTTAAAGCCCTTTCTGGTAGATTTCAACACATAATCATCAGGCAGGTTTGCAGGCACTGAACCCTCCGCAATCTCCATCTGGTAGCGGTTTTTGCCTGCTCCCCAATACATCACAGCTTTAATGCCAAGCCGTTTGCGTTGCTTTTCCAAATACTGACGAAGGCCTTCCTCAATGTTGCTTATATCCTCTAGCGCTTTATCATATTGAGTGTCAAACCCAGTTTTTGGGTTAACCACACCAGTCTTTCGTGCAACGTTATGATCGAAAGCTGCATCCCACCTTTCAAGTTCTGCTTTAATGTCTGGAAAGCGGCCTTCTGGATTCTTAGATTTGACCATCGCTATCTGCCTTAGTGTTTTGGATGTAAAATCATCAGCAATATCTTCCAAAATTGAGATAATCTCCATAATTATTTTAAAACCTTCCAGTGCGGACAAAAAGTCTACAATTTTCTTCTTGCTGTATCTGGCCTCCTCATATAAAATAGCCCTGTTGCCAGGGTGGTCCTGGTTCTTAAGGGATGACCCAATACTGTGAATTTTGCTTAAAAGCCTTTCAAGGTCTGGGAGTTTCCTTAAAAGGTCACGGATTTCTGACATTTTGGCAGCTTCAGCTAGGAGGTCTTCAACTGCATCCAGGCGGTTATTGATGGTGGAAGGATTACACAACGGTGCACAGAGCCACTGTTTCAGGAGTCTCCTTCCAAAGGGCGTACAACAAGTGTCAATATTTTCCAGCAATGTGCCTTCTTCTGACCCAGTGGTTGCATTCTGCAGAATTTCTAGGTTTGCCAGGGTGACCCCATCCAACACCATCCTCTGGCTTGTTTTAGCAAAGAGACTGCTTAAGTTTTGTTCTTTTGCAATATCAACATCCACAGGAATGTATTCTTCAAATTTCCCCATTGATAAGAGTTCCTCGTCAATAATGCATTTTTTAAGGTAGAAGACACAGCAGCCAAGAGCAGAGAGCGCAAGCTCAGCGTTTTCCCCAGGGGTAAGTCCCAGTGAGTCAGTTTCCGCAGTCATAGATTTGATTACTGGTGGCAGGATGGGCTCACCGCTTGGATTTTCTTTGTCCTGGAAGTAGCCTTTTTCAATCAATGTTTTCAGTGTTTTGGATGCATCCCAGAACTGAGACCCAGCAATCAAACCTTCTTGCGCAGTAGAGGGGAGTAAGCCTTTGAATATCTTCTGTGTTTCTGCAGAGGGGTTCCCTCGCTCAAAAAGTATCTGCACAGGAATATGATGAGCCAAGAGAGTTCTAAACCTTGAGCAATGGCGGTCATCCGAGAACTGACCCAGGTAGAACTTCCCCACTGTCGTGTCAACAAAGCATACGCCATAGGTACGCTGAAGGCCAGCAGAATCGTCAACTTTTTCTTTCACACAGAGGAGGTATTTGTTGTGGCTGTCCAAATCGTCACTATCTAGAATACCATAGGTTTGTGTCCCCTTGGAAATAACCCTACATATTTCTCGGCGCACAACTCTGTCGTATTTTGTCGGGTGGGCCAAGGCTCTACAGCGTGCTTCCATCATCTCAGGAGTCTCAATCTGCTCAACACGAACCACTTTGTAACCTTTCTGGACTAATATAGTGCAGTATCTGTCAAACGCTATTTCTGGGAAACCAGAGTGAGCAAAAGTGCCTTTCATGAACGACAGGCCCATCTTGTTAACACCAATAACAGCATCCATGTGGAACAGCTCATAGAACTTCCCAACTTTATAGAAAAGCACGCTATCAAAATTCTGGCTCTTCATCTCCCACCACTTCCGCATTAACGGAGTGCAGTTTCTAAGGTAGTCCTCTGGCACAAACAGAGTATTTGGATCATAATCTGGATCATTTTGCCGTCTCCTACGAGCATCTTTCCTTTTACCATCCTGGAGCCAGTCAATTTTATCATGTTCCCATGAAGTCGGATTGCCATCTGCTCCTGCTCCTGTTCCTCCTCCGTTAATGCTTGGCTGAAAATCAAAGCATTCAGGAGCTGCAAAAGATGACAACTTATACTTTATCTCAGCAGAAAGATTTGTTTCTCTGCTGGGCGTTACAGACACATTATTCTGGGGAGGTTTAGATGCCTTTTCCAGCACTGGTTTAGGGGAGACTTTAATGGGACGCTTTACTTTCTTTCCTGGGTCAGCCTCCGATTCAGAAGCATCACTGTCAGCAACTCCAACGCTATTTTCATCACTGCTAGCTTCATCAGGTTTAAACTCCATGTCTGAATACTCGCGTTCACTGTCGGAATCCATGATCTTTCTCTTTTTGGATTTCTCAGCATGTTGCTTTCTTGCAATTTGCCTTTTTCTACGTTTCACTTCCTCAGATGTGCCAAAATCATCACCCTCATCGCTCACCTGCCAAAGACAAAAAAGAAGTAGTATAAAAAATCGGATGCTTTAAAGACAGGCTAATGCTACAACTTTGACAAGGCAAGCTTTCTGATGGGGGACCCAACAATTTGGCTGCTGTCTTCTTCTCGTTGTTGCTTTAAATTAAGCAGCAGGTGAGGCTGTCGGGCAGATATGAGATTTCAACTTCTCCATCATGACCAGTGAACAATGGGGATGTGATCTCCCTCTGCTCATCGGATTTGTGATAGGTGAATGAGAGGTTTCAACCTCTCCACTTGGACTAGCGCAACGATGGGTATGCAATTAGGAGTTCTATGGCAGAGCAGTAGCTAGGCTCAATTGCATCAAATGCTGGAATAAGTTATCTCCAATACTTCCGTTTTGTTCAAGCCTACACACAGTTCTTCAGCAGTCAGGTGTCAGTTCTAAAGATCCTGAACGAGGAGGACAACCAAGAGGTTTCTTTTTCAATTGTGAAGGAAAGCCCCTACAGGCAACTCCCAATTTATGTTCCGCTCTGAGGCGACCTGAAAGTCATCCATTTCAGCAAATTAAACTTGTACTTGCATAGCCTTGAATTAAGTGACAAGCATAAAGGATGGGGTGTGTTCTCCTCCAAGCTTTCCTTACAGAGTACCATGCTCTACCCTGGGAAAGTTGGCTCATAACCACAGAAGAAAGTGCTGCTGTGAATAGCTGTGCGTCATTCTGAACTTATTCTGTGGTTTATTACTGTAGATCATAGCATTAGTAAGAAGAGTGACATAACTTAAAATATAATACGAGATTCCCCACATTGAGCCTTGCTTGACCCAAGTACCAGCCTTATCAAAAGCATGCCCTGAAAGGCATTCAGACAACATCCTGAACTCCTAACACTTTGCATAAAGGTTAGCACATGCAAATTTCCCAAGTACAGTCTACTGACGCCCTGGATGGAGACAATCACTATAATGTTATTATAACTTAAAGACAGAGAACACACCAAGATAACTAGTTCAGTCACAGCCCACTAGGATGAGTCTTTCAAACTCTTAATCTGCAACACGGGGGAAGTGAGAAATGGGTAGGAACTCTCAGGGAAAGGCAACTGAAACAATAGGAATTGTCCACCTGAAAAGTCCCCTCCTTTCTCCACAAAGAAAAGCGTATAAAGGAACCCCAAAATCTGTAGGCAGCGGCTCTCCTAGCTCCAAGGATCTTCATTCTGCGCTCACAAGGAACGAACACACACATGCCTAAGGACAGGTATTCTCCCCACCTTCTCCATTTCTTAACTTACTATTAGTGTGAGTCTTGCTAGCATAATAGTCATGCTCACTTCCGCAGGCTTGAGAATAGGCAGGGATTCTTCCACTCTTTAGAACAAGGTGTGTGTGTGTGGTAGGATTTGCTACCTGCCTGAATTGTAATTTTACTGTCTGAAACAGCATTTATGTATTCTGTCATTTTCATTTCATATGATAAACCAAGCTTTGTTTTTTTAATGTGTTCCTCGAGAATCTGAATGTAAAGCTATTTGCTTGCCTCTAAAAATTACTGGGCTGCCCGTCTGGCAATTAAGAGATTGTTATGCTGTGAACCACCCTGAGATCTGAGTATAGGGCAGATTACTACTACTACTACTAACAACAGTAGTAGTAGTAGTAGTAGTAGTAGTAGTAGTAGTAGTAATGATCGCCAGCCCAGAACAAAAAGTATTGGGTGTTAGGAGTTTTATTTAGGCAGGAACAGAGGCAAACACATATTCAAAAATGGACATGTTATAATTCTACCAAAAGATCCCAAACCTCTAGTTAGTGTGTGTACATGTGAGTGTGGACATGCATGTGAGTTCAGACACATACTTGTTACAGTTCCAAAACAATAAAGAGAAAGGCAACTATCTACATATACAGAACTGTCCTACAAATCATGAGCATCCTCTCTTCCCGTTTTTCTAATTGCTTCTGGAAACAAGAATTATAAAGAGTGACCTCCATCTCCTCATCGTCTTCTTCCTCGCTCTCTGAAGGTTTGTCACACACTGCCAGGTTAAGTCGCTCACTCTTCTCTTTTTGCAAAGCAGCATCTGCCAATTCCATTGCTCTTCTAATTTCAGGTCTTGAACTGTAGAATATGCCTCCCCTACTGGTATCTCTACCAGAAGAACCTGTAACATAAAAATGAATCAGTCAGAGAACAGATTTTGGCTAAAACATGCTCCTGGTCTCTCCTAGTTTTTTATTATCTAACATGCAGAAACCTTACAGTAACAATCCCAAATTAAAGATTCTGCATTTACAGTGGTGCCTCGCAAGACGAAATTAATCCGTTCCGCGAGTCTCTTCGTCTTGCGGTTTTTTCGTCTTGCGAAGCACGGCTATTAATGGCTTAGTGGCTATTAACGGCTTAGCGGCTTTAAGAAAAAGGAAACAAACTCGCAAGAACTCGCAAGACTCGCAAGAACTCGCAAGTCTTGCGAAGCAAGCCCATAGGAAAATTCGTCTTGCGGAACGACTCAAAAAACGCAAAACCCTTTCGTCTAGCGAGTTTTTCGTCTTGCGAGGCATTCGTCTTGCGGGGCACCACTGTATTCCCATATCTCTTCAGAACTATTATTTAGACCTGCCACTACTCTAATTACTATGTATATTAAATTGCATGACTTTTTAAATCATTCCACATAAACTACTACTAATCTGCTGTTAGAATACAGGGGGCAGCAGGAAGGGGAAAGTTTGGTGTAACTCGCACAGTCAGAATGATTATTTTCATGCAAAATAGCATATCAAATGTTGGTGCTGAATACAGAACCATCTTTGGCACTCTATAGTTCCCTCTGCAACGAGTGCTGCTCACTCAATACGGGTGGGGCTTTTGCCAAGAGTGGCATAGGGCTGCAAGTTGCCTACAGTAACAGGACAGGGGCGTGCTACGTGAAATAGTACAGCCTTAATCCCTTGTACTGCCAAGTCAAGTCAAATTGAAGAGCTGCATCCTACTCAAATGAAGGTGAAAGGGCAGCTTAGCTGAACAGTGCTTCCAAGCCTCTCAGTATGTGGTCAATTTACAGAGGGATGCAGCACTGCTTGTAATATCTATGTGACCTGCATTTAATTTCACCCCCCCATTTACTTATATATAGTATATTCTGTTATCACCTATTACATTCAGTTATCAACTCTTACCTGTATATGGTCGTATATATCTAATGCTAACCCAACCCCTTGATGGGTCGTCGTCAAAGAACTGTACATGGATGCGAGAGGATCTTCCTCTGCCTCTGAAAAGTGATCCTTCTGTTGGATGCTTGTACACAAGGCATGGCCACCAAGGGTAGCCTTCGAGTTTGGCCCAAACCAGATCACCGGGCGAAAATTCACAGTCACTGCAAGACCAAAAAAAGAGAGATAGCCTTTATAACAGATCTTTTACTGACAATCTGACAATTGTGTTTTTCGCTGTCAAGGCCTGTTCCCCAAACCTGGGACAATTAAGAAACAGATTGGCGAACTTGACTCCTTCTCAGGTTTTGAATAAACATACACAAACTTTTTATTGGTAATATAAATATAGACAACTTAAGGATCTTTACAATTTTATAACATGCAGAGAATAATATGTGCTGAAAAACTAGATAAAGGAGCTGAGGGAAGTCTGGGGGTGGGTGGGGGGAGGGGGGTTTGGGGGGAGCAAAAAAATGGGGAGAGAAAAAAATGAAGATGACGTATTTTTGATAAATTGTTATGTTGAAATTCTTAATAAAATATATTAAAAAAAGAAAGAAAAGAAACATAGCTTGGAATTATAAAAGAGGATAAAGAATAACAAAGCTACAAATCCTAACACTGTTAGGATAGGTATTACAGGATCCAGTTCGCAGCACAGCTGGTATGATCTTGCAGGTGAAACAAAAAGGCCACATCTCCCTTAAGAGTAGAAAGAAAGAAAGAAAGAAAGAAAGAAAGAAAGAAAGAAAGAAAGAAAGAAAAGGTATGAAGATGGGATGGATGGTAAAAGAATGATGTATGATATTGTATGTCTGAAGTTTTGCCCGTGTTTCCCCCCCTGTAAAGCTTGTTGGCTCTGGATGTAAGCAGAAGCCCTACTGATTGGAAGGAAGAGGATGAGGGAGTTTTCCCCAACACAATAGCTTTGCCTTAATAAACAGAGTCTTGAACCTAAATCAGTGCAAAGGCTCAATTTTCTTCCACATCCAGAGCCAATCAGGAGGCTCCTAACCTAGAATGCCCTAGTAACTGGGCCTATGGTGCATTCTTGGTTTTCTCATAGTTGGAACGAGATGAAGCAAGTTCCCAGTTAGCAGGCCCATTTATCTTATATTGAAGCATATGCAGCATATGAGATAATGTTTCCAGCGATTGAGCTCATCCCAATCCTCTTCTCACTGAGACCACTACTTACACAGAGGCCTCTGCAAGGAAATCCTCCTTCTTCGCACAAAATTAACCGTTTAATTTGATAGTGATTTAACAACGAAGTGTCCTGGAATGTGTGCAGAGTTCATTTCCTCCCTTCAATAAGCAACTGCAGTACACACACTTCGGTTTCAGATCGCTGAGGGGAGGATTCCAGAGCGAATAGTATGGCTCTCAAACAGTGACAACAAAAAAATATTGAGCTCGCCAAGAGTTCTAAATAGCAACAGGTTAGTCAGTGGGCAGTTGAAGTGCCCAGAAACATATGTAAATGGCAATTGGCATATAGATATTGCAATGTTCAATCTGCAAATGAAGCGCCTGTCCTCCTCCAAAGTAATCCAAAAACTAACAGAAAAAGCACAGCTCTCACATTCTTTGACAATATTCTGTACAACAGCACACAATGGGTTGAATCCAATGTTGGGTCCTACTCACACTAGACCCATTGTGAACATCACCATAACTTAAATGGATCTACTCTACGTCTACTCTTGTTTCCTATCCGACCAAACACTTCTTGCAGATGCACTGAAATATAGCCTTCTGCTATATTTCTTCCTTAGCCACTATCATACTCTCCAAAGACAGCTCATGGCTCCCTCCCAACCCTTTAAAGGCGATTCCCAGCAGCCGACCAGCCACTCCAGCTCATTGGGCTTCAGCAGCTTCACTTCCTTCTGAAAGCTGGAGTTCTCCGCCACTCCCCCTGCCGCCGAAACATTCGCCGCTTCTTTCCTCTTTTTTCTCAGTGGAGGTCGCTTGGACCCAGCTTTGTTGGGGTCGAGGCAGCAACTCTCAAGCCCCAGCAGCAGAGGGCTGTTCCTGGCAGCGGCGGGAGAAAGCAGCAAAGGCAACAATGGAGTACCAATGGCCACTGCAAGAGGCATAGCCAGTGGTGTGCAAATGCCCAACCCTCTGCTGCTGTGGATGCTGCCAAGGAGCCCCACCATTACAGTAAAACCTCGGTTCTTGAATGGCGCCATTTTCTAACATTTCGGCTCCTGAATGACGAAAACCCATAAGTAAATGCTCTGGTTTTCAAACGTTTTGCGGAACCTGAATGCCCAAAGCAGTTTCCGTTTTGAGTTTCCCTATTGAATTGAAGCTTCCGCTTTCAGTTTTAGAACGTTTTGGAAGTCGAACTGTCTTCTGAAATGGATTATGTTCAAAAACAGAGGTTCCACTGTACGACAAATGCAGAGCTACTCGTTCTGTTTCTTAAACAGCTCCTGCGGGTTCTGCACCCCAGTGTTAGCACAACTCCACAACCATCTCGCCCCACAAGGCGGCAGCAGGAGCACTCCAGCTGCTGCCATGTTTTCCTCCTCCTGTTCTCCCTCCTGCCTCTCCCATTTCTGGCAACACTGTGGCGGCAAGCTGTATCCCAAGCTGGCCTGAAGAAGGTGGACCCCCTCTACATGATTGGGTGGGGAAGCAAAGCCTCGCTTCTCTCGCTGCCACCCCATGGCTCCTGCTGAGGGAGGCCTGCCTGGCACCTTCATTACAAATCTTTATGTGCGAGGCAAAAACGTCTCTTCAGGCTGATTTAACATTCTTCAGCTTTTTAAATGTGGTAGGGGGAGGGAATTATTGGGGGGGGTTGTATGTATTTTGTATTCTCATTTTGTATTTTTCAGTTACGAACCACCCTGAGATCTTTGGATGAAAGGTGGTATACAAATTTACCATATTTTTCCCCCTATAGGATGCACTTTTCCCCCTCCAAAAATGAAGGGGAAATGTGTGTGCGTCCTCTGGGGCGAATGCAGGCTTTCGCTGAAGCCTGGAGAGCGAGAGGGTCGGTGCCCACCGACCCCTCTCGCTCTCCAGACTTAAGGAAGCTCTGACTTCGCGCCGGTCTCCCGAGGGTTGCGCAGAGCTGCCTGCATTCTGAAGCCTGGGGCGCACTGAAGAGCGCGCCCGGGCTTCGCGCAGCTCTCCGCAAGCCTGGGGAGACTGGCGGAACTTCCCGCCGGGCTCCCTAGGCTTGCAGATAGCAGGCTGTTCTCAGGGCTGTGGTCGGGGGAAGCTCGGGCTTCCCCCGCGCCTGGAGGGGAAATATTTTTTTTTTCTTTATTCCCCCCCCCCAAAAAAACTAGGTGCGTCCTTTGGGGCAAAAAATACGGTAATAAATAATGCTAATACTAAAACTAATACTTGTATGTGCTTTTCTACAGGGACATTATCTGAAAAGATGAAATAATTCAGTTGTAAAGAGCCCTTTATATGTTTGAGAACATCCAGGCTATCTGTGAGCTACAGGTTCCATTCAGGTGGTCTAAGGAAATGTAAGAGAAAAGTCTGTCATACCTACTATGGAAGGTATTTCTAGATCCCATAAAAGCTGCTGCCAGATTGGGATTTAGGTTTGGTGCCACCTGGTGGTTAATAAGCAACATTGCAAGTTTGAAAAATAAAAATAAAGAATTGAAACAAGAAGCTGCCATCTTAGCTCCTCCCTGCTCCTTCTTCAGTTTTTAAATAACAAGCCAAAAAGCAAGATTCAATACAAGTATTGCATGGGAGATGGCTTTCAATGGGAAAGGCTGCCCTTAAAAATTCAAGGAGACTCTCTGATAGAAAAAATATAATGGAGTAACTATTGGAAAAATGGTAAGTATAACAGACGTTTTTCTTGGAGGGGTCTGATGAGACTGGCAGCGGTAAGTATTTGCGGACAGTGTCCAGCACCCATCTGTCAGATGTGGTCTGCTGCCAACTATGGGTGTATCGCGGCAGCTGTCCTTCCACTGGAATAGCAAAAACGCCAAGAGAGATGGGGTTTGTTCTGTTGAGTGTTGCAGGAATAGGACTGTTGATTTTCTTTCAACCCATCGCACTGCCTGTTCCAGGAGGCTGGGAGGACCGAAAATCCCTGCCTCTGAAGGACCTTGAGCCTCGAAAAGTGTGGCGAAAGATTTGTCATCTCTTTTTTCTTGTCAATAGACCCAACCAGGATGCCCTTTAAAGCCTCTTCGCCAAAGAGCTCACCCCCTAGAAAAGGTTCAGAGGCCAAGTTATTGCAAGACAGCACATCAGCCTCCCGGTGCGCTGGAAATCTTTGACAAGGACATGTAAGACCTGTTCAGGTCTTGAGGAGGATTGCCCATGCAAGGGACACTTTTGCAAATGATTGGGCCGTGGCAGAGGCTCTGATCGCTAGCACTTAAGGCTGCATCAAGGTCTTCAGGGGAAACAGAGTGCCTGGGTAAGGAGTGAGAACCTCTGTATGAAGGTTGTGCTCTAGACTACCTCCTGGAGATGGAGGGAGACGCAGGGGAAGCAGATACTGTTGATGAAGAACACTTGGAGACTGAGAGGTAGTTGAGCGCCAAATTACTTCCTCAGCCAGATCTACTAGTAGAGCTTCCTTTAGGAGGTGCAGTATATGGACGAAATTCAGGATTAATGCTGTATTCTGAAGCAGAGACTGCTTCTGCTGTTGAGTAATGAGGTCAAAACATTTCATTCATGCTAGGGTGAGCTGCATGAATATCTTGGCTCTGAGAGGTTTCAAAGGGATGCGGAAATTCCTCTTGAGCTCGGCTGAGGAAGATCTTGCCGTCCGCTTCACCAGGGAGAGATTGCATTGTCCTCCTCTCTGCACTTCCTTACTTAGCCAAAGCAGAGCCCCCTGCTGACCTTCCATTGAACCATCCTCCATAGTTAGAAGAATGCCAGAAGAATGGGGGTCCACCCCCCAAAAAAAAATCTGGCTCTGAGATGTTCTGAATAGCAACCGGGCAAGAGAGTCTGGAAAGCTGGGAAGATCTACCATATCAGTTGAAAGTGACAAGTGCTGCCCCTGAGAGGACTGGAACTAAATCTTGAATAGAAGCAGAGTTTGCTGTAAAATTTTCTATTGTCTTTACAGGCTGTGGTTTTGCTGCTGCAACTAGCTGCAGGCGGGTGTAGATTTCTTCTGTGCCTTTCTACTTAAGTGTAGACAATGCAGCTCTCTGAATTATAGCAGATCGTTAATCACTAACCAAAAATGCAGGGCAACTCTCTAACACCCACCCACCCCGCAGACTGGTTTTGAAAGGCTTTAGCTGCACTGAGGAAGAAGTCGGAGGGGGAGGGGAAATCTGGAGGCTACTATGGCTGAAATCAGCGAAGTCAAGGACAATGCAGTCTCTAAAGAGGCTGTAGATAAGGAAGGCAGCCGACAACTGAAGAGACTTTGAAAAATGAGTGGAAAAACACCAGAGCCGGGAAGGAGGAGAACTAATGATGAGGCTAAACACAGAGAGAAATTCAACTAGAGGTAGAAGAGACAAAGAAATAACCAATCTGAAAGGAGAACACCAAGAGTCTCAGGAAGAAACGATTGCTTTCTGCAAGGCAAAGTAAAAAACTGAAGGAAGGAGCAGGGAAGAGCTCAGACGGGAGCTTCCTGTTTCAATTATTTTATTTTTTGCAAGCTTGTGATGTTGCCTTTTGACCGCCAGGCAACCCCAAACCTAAATCCCAATCTGGCCACAGCCTTTACGTGGTCTCCAGAATAGTTGAGACTACGTCTACTTGGATGCATTAAAAATAAGTTCAACTTGAAGTCAAAACTTTATGTTATTTATATTTATGTGGTGTAAATGTTTAAGTTTCGTTGGTTGTAACTTTTATTGTTGTTATCTAATTTTTAATTTCTTTTTATTGCTGTATATTGTTTTTGTTTTTTTCTGTTTTGTTCTGATGTATCAATAAAATCTATTTTTTAAAAAAATTAAAAAATAGTACTTGCTGAGTGAGGAAAAAAAAGAAAAAGTTGCTGATGTGAGACTTGTAGAAGTCAGTTGGCCCATAACCTGTTAAGATTTGGGCTCACTATCTGTTGATATGACCCATTTCGGCTATTGTGCTCAGCAGAGTATGCACAGCTCCAGTAATCTTCCAGCAGAACATTCAGTTTTCCTGCTTTGCAGTAGTGAGCCTTTTCCAGAGTTCCCATTAAGAAAACTCCTTGCCCGCTCAGTTCCGTTTAGAATAGAAAGTTGAATGTCTCATAGTGAAGGGAGAGTAGAGAAGAGGGGGAAGGTAAAAACTCCATCGTGCTTTAGCTAGCTCCAGCTAACAATTGTCTTAGCTATGCAAGATAGCTCTGCGGGCAGGCAGTGGGTTTCCTGTCTGGCCTCCTACTTAGCTGAAGCAAAAGAAGCTCAGCTCGGCAGGCCGGTAGTGGTTTCCCTGTCTGCTTCAGTTGTGGTGAGCTAGCTTCCCACCTCAGCTGTGCAAAGATGCAAACACATAATGCAAAGCAAACAATATGCAACGGTGGGGGAGGAGGGCTTAGCTAACCTAAAAAGGTAATAAAGTGTATCTCTGCCTGTTGATTGGGGAGCAACTGAGGGCAAGCTTGCAGCTTCAGTATAAGAATGCTTGGAAGACAATAGGGGGCGGCCAGTCTTTGGAAGCTATTCCACTGGCTAACTCTGCACAGATTTTGCAATAAACCTTTTTCTCTGTGGAACCCACCCTGGTGTATGTTTGACTCCTTCATGCTAACAGCAAGGGCACGAGGTGACTGGATCCGGACCCCTTAGGATCAGATATCCTAACAATAGCACAAGACAAGCATTAACACATTAGCTATTTTAGCCCTTAATAGATGCTGCTACATCATGAACTAATCTACTGTTAATAGTTTTTTTCTGGCCTTAGTAGTAAACCTTGTAAAAATACAAGTATACAGAAAGATCCACTAGCACTTCACCATGCTAGCTCACCATGCTATCCTGAACCTGCAGCTTCACTGCTAATATCTTACACTGAGCAAATTCCTCATTCTCCTAGATGTTAAAAATCATCAATAAATACTCTGTCGGCTAATACAGAGGGGGAGTATAAACCCTCATGCCCGCATGTGGCAACTGATTCCATAGGAATCTAAAGCGCCTTTAACCACTAAAGCAGCAGCCTGGTACATAAAATGTAGTCTTTGTCACAGGTTAACAGGAAAAATGTCAGGCAGGGCCTGTTCTGCCCTCAGGAAGCTTTAACCAGGTCTGGATTATTAAATAGATCAGGCATGTCCAGCCAGTCAATCACTCAACAACTCTGGTCCATCATTAAAAAACACACACACTAAAAAACAACTAAAAAAACAACAACTCAACAACTCTGGGTAGATCACTGTCAGTTTTTTTTATACCGGGAGTAAATCGCAGTGTCTAGGGAGTTGTATGTGCCTGAAATAGACTAATTCCTGCCCTAGGGCCTATCGTTTTCATAATACATTGCTGGTGCAGTTTACTAAATTTTCTGCTGGTGCAGTTTACTATAGGCCTGTGATTTTCATAGCATGGTGCTAGTTTTGATTATCAGTGTCACTAGGAGATTGAAGCACCTTCCCTTTCTAACTTGTTGGAAACAGTTTGCACATTACACCAAATTGCAATGTGAAAATCATGCCGCCAAGATGACAAGGAGCAGTCATGACCCTTTGCTCAGGTACCCTACCCTTACTATGCAGGGCCGAGAGGAGGGTTTGGGGAATTTTTAGTTTCATTTCCTTTAAAGTCAGCTTACCCCCATCAAAGACCCTCCAAGTGTCCCTATTTTCCAGGGACAGTCCTGGATTTACAGAAGTCATCCCGGTTTCTGATTTGATCCCAGAAAGTCCTGCTTTTCCTTAGGATGGCCCTATTTTCATCAGAGAAATGTTGGAGGGTATGGAGTTATGTGACCCCAGAGCCAAGCCAACCTTTAGAAGACATCTGAAGGCAGCTCTGTATAGCGAAGTTTTTTAATGTTTAATATTTTAATATGTTTTTAATATATGGTGGAAGCTGCCCAGAGTGGCTGGGGCAACCCAGTTAGATGGGCAGGGTATAAATAATGGTATTATTGTTACTATTATTAAATAGGACATCCCTATTTTCACTGGAGAAATGTTGCAGGGTATGCCATCACCTGGACCAAGGGCTCATAGTCCCCCCCCCCATGCCTATCTTGAAGGCTTCCCACAGATATCTGATCAGGCACTGTAAGAACAGGATGCTGGATTAGATTGGCCACTGCCCTGACTCAGTAGGTTTCTCTTATGTTCTTAGACAGAATTTACATTTGAGCAAACATACAGCAGTCAAAAATTAAAAGACGCCTGCTTCTTGGGAGAAAAGCGATGACAAACCTAGACAGCATCTTAAAAAGCAGAGACATCACCTTGCCAACAAAGGTCCGTGTAGTTAAAGCTATGGTTTTCCCAGTAGTGATGTATGGAAGTGAGAGCTGGACCATAAAGAAGGCTGATCCCAAAGAATTGATGCTTTTGAATTATGGTGCTGGAGGAGACTCTTGAGAGTCCCATGGACTGCAAGAAGATCAAACCTATGCATTCTGAAGGAAATCAGCCCTGTGTGCTCACTGTAAGGACAGATCCTGAAGCTGAGGCTCCAGTACTTTGGCCACCTCATGAGGAGAGAAGACTCTGTGACCAGGGAGAAGAGTCGATGGAGGAAGACTGGAAGAAATTCAAAGACTATCTTCAGAAACATTGCAAAATTAAGGAATGTTAAAGTGATGTTGGACTGAAAATAAGTGGTTTCCAGCTGCACAGGTTAAAGTCAATGATAGATTAAGATTAAAGATCAAGATTAAAGATGTTTAAAGAAATGGAAATTTGATATTAAAAGGGAAAATTTTAACGTTATATGATATTAAGATCAAGGATTAGGTTTAAAGAAGTGGAAGTTATATATTGTAACATTTTATTAAATTAAAGATGGGGATTAAAAAAGTGGAAAAGAAACTGCTGGACAAATAATTTGGATTGGAATACAAAAGAGGGAGGTATGAGGAAGTCCAGAAAATAAGTAATCTAAAAATGGAAATGGAAAAGAGAGTTTGTTTTTAATTGTTATGTTTTTTGTTTTCTTTATTGTTGAGTTTTGTATTGCTTTTTGTGTGTGTTTTCTTTGTTGTTTAAAACTTTAATAAAAATTATTTTTTTTTAAAAAAAAAAAAGGAGAGAAGACTCCCTGGAAAAGACCCCGATGTTGGGAAAGATTGAGGGCACAAGGAGAAGAGGACAACAGAGGATGAGATGGTTGGACAGTGTTCTTGATGCTACCAACATGAGTTTGACCAAACTGCAAGTGGCAGTGGAAGACAGGAGTGCCTGGCGTGCTCTGGTCCATGGGGTCACGACGAGTCGGACACGACTAAACAACAACAAAACATACATAAATTGCAGTTCTGCATGCTTATCTATGCAGCTGGGCCTGAAAAAACAAACTGCACTGAATCCAAGGGCACTTGCCCTCAAGCAAGCATGCATTCATTCATTCATCCATCCATTCAGACAATGATCCTGCACCTAGATCCTATGCACATTCACTCCATTTTACTTGGTAAGATATGCATCCTTGCATTTTCAAAACACTATCTATCCTTGCATTTTCAAAACACATTCTATCACAATTACAACCTGCTGCAGGAAGTGGTAAATCTAGTCAATCAGGAATCTTTTAACTCCTCTTGTATAGCCCAAACTTAATGTATGATTAAGTATAGCTATTTTTCAGCACTCCTTCACATTAACTTGCGAATGGTGCAGCAACAAAATTCCCTAGTCCATTTGGAAAGTGAAGCAGGATCCAGGGTGCATAGGGGATCACATGTTGAGGTTCCTTCATTGAAGGGTTGGACTAGATCAGGCATCCTCAACCTGCGGCCCCCTCCAGATGTTTTGGCCTACAACTCCCATGATCCCTAGCTAACAGGACCAATGGTCAGGGATGATGGGAACTGTAGTCCAAAACATCTGGAGGGCCGAAGGTTGGGGATGCCTGGACTAGATAATCCTCAGGGATCCGTGCCAAATCTTATTCAACAGCTGCCATCCACGGTTCCTTCCGTTCTGGATTCAGTGATTTACGATCCGTGAAACCGTTGCACATGGCAGATTCCCAACCCCGCATTCCTTTAAGTGTGCCAAAGTACTGGGCTGTACCATGTGCTGCCATATGAAAAGGGGAAGGAAACACAATGGGGGGGGGGGAGAGAACACAAAAGGCCACCAACCCACTTATACCAAGCTGCAAATCAGGGAGCTTTAAGCAGTTTCGGGGAGCTTTCGGGCCACCGATTCGGAAAGATCTGAGAGGCAAATTCGAGAAGGAGGATGCCAGATGCCACCAGCTACCGTTCCAGCATCATGGCGCAGCCTGCCGCTTCTGCTCGGAAGAGCGGGGCGCCTCCCGCCACGCGGAGATGCCCCACGAGCCTGCGCGGCCTCCTGAAGAGGGGCCTCCCCGCGAACCTGCCCTTTTCCCGCGCTGCCTCTCCCCGCCACACCTGAGGCCCGTCCCTCCACCTCACCTGCGCGCCTCGCCAACCCACCCTCCGCTATCGCGCGCGCCATCCTTTTCTCTCTCTCTCTCCCTCAGGGTCTACCCGGCCTGAGAAGAAGCCGCCTTCGGGCCTAGTATGCGAGAGAGAGGCCCGCCGCCGCCGCCGCCTCATGGAAGCGGCGCCTGCGCGCTCCACGCTCTTGGCCCGCCAACCGCCGCCTTTTCGTTTCCTCAGCGCGGGGGCTTACCAGTCCGTGGGGGGCGCCCTGGTCCTCCCTCGGATGCCCGACCCTCTGGGCGACAACATGCGCCCGCCCTCGGGCTCGGCATCGCTGTGGGGGCTGCAGCCGCCGTCGCCGTCGCGCTTGGCCTCCGACATGGGAAAGAAGCTGAGGAGGGAGCTTTGGCGGGACATGGCGGCGGCGCCGCCAGAGGAGGAGGAGCAAGAGAGGAGCGCGGCGACGCGAGAGGGACGCCCCTTTTCTCTCGGCTCTCGCTCGCTCGTCCCTCCAGCCGGCGAAGCAGCGCGCCAAACGCCCGTCCCCGCCCAGCGAGGGTCCCGCGGCCTATGAGCGCCGAGCCCGCCCGCCTCCTGCCGCCTGAGGTGGGGAAGGCAGTGAATAAAATGGCCTCTGGGACCACGCCGTTAGAACGTCGCCCCCGTGGTGGCGCCTGGTTGCTATGTCTTTTTATGGGACCAGGGTGTATGTATATAAAATATACATTAAAATACAAGATAAAAACACGAAACGCCAACGGTAACAAAGCAATGCCCCCCCACGAACACGTTTTAAAGGCTGTTAAATCAGCCCAAGGCCTGGTTAAAGAGGAACGGTTTTTGTCCGGCGCCTAAAACACTGAAAATGGGTCCTCGTGACATGCTCAGCTCACACATGTTGTTATTTGTTTAAACTCGGAAGCGATTTACGGCCTTTAAACTCGGGCCTTTAATTGTTGGGGTTTTGTCAACCTTAACAAAGATGTCTGCATTTTGAGGAAAGGTATTTTTTTAAAAAACAACAACAACATTCCTTTGTGATCTAAGAAAGAAAATTTCAATTTCCGGATCTCTGTTCATGGGTTTTTTGGAGGGTGGGATGGGCGTACAATTTATTATGTCCTCTTCATTTTGCAGGGGTGAAATTAGGCTTTATTTCACCCAAGTCAAAGACCCAGTTTGGCACTTAAAACACAAACATTTGCGTACACACACAGGCTGCGATCTTCAATGGTGCAAAAAACCCACAAACCAGCTAGCCCCCTGCCCCCGTAGCTACAGCTCTGGATTTTGTATCATGTGCTGAAACCAGGACATCTCAAAAGGCAAAATGAATGAAAATGGTGTTCATCTGGATTCTGTGTCACATGCCAGTGAAAAATAATAATAGTACAGTCATACCTCGGGTTACAGCCGCTTCAGGTTGCGGGTTTTTTTGGGTTGTGGACTGCCGAAACCCGGAAGTACCGGAACGAGTTACTTCCGGGTTTCAGCGGTCGCACATGCACAGAAGCGCTAAATCGCGCTTTGTGCATGCGCAGAAGCACCCAATCGCAACCCGCGCATGCGCAGGTGTGCCGCTGTGGGTTGCGAATGTGCATCCCACTGCGGGTTGCAAATGTGCATCCCACTGCGGGTTGCAAATGTGCATCCCACGGATCACGTTCACAACCCGAGCGTCCACTGTATTGGAGCATTGTACTGCATGACCCATGGGGTTCCCTCCTGGCCTGCAGTTCTGTGATTTTAAAATATTTATATTCCAGGCAAAGCCTGTCCTCTAAACATATTTCAGAGCATGAGGAAGACCGCGGAGAGAGGCTTCCTGGTCTTTGTTCTTGAGGTTATTAATTTTACACATGTGCAACTCACTAGATGAACAAAACTCTTGAAATAAAAATTCTCCAGTTCAAAAATATGGTCCAAAAGCTTTACTTGTAGAACTTAACTTCAAACAAGTTAAAAAAAAACAAAGTTGCATTCATTTAGTTGCATATTTCTTACACGGGTCCCAGCAAAAACAAGAAATAACTAGCATTTTTTGTGAAAAGCAGAGCTCCATCTCTTTCCCGTTGCAACTTCTTAGCCTCAGGCCATGTAGCTGGAGATAAACACATCCATTCTCTTCAGTAGTATAGAACAAAAAGAGCACTGCACCAAACATAGATGCCTGCAAATTGACATATGCATACACCTGAAATATAATTCCTTTCATGTGACCAAGGAGCTGATTATCTTGTTACTAAGCCTACTGAGGTATAGCCCCAGCTCAGTTCCATTAATGATTAACCAAGTAGGCTTTATTCCAACTCCATGGGAATTTCCAACCATGCTTTACAGACATATCTCCCATTTCAATGTACAGTAAACATTAATAAAATTTCTTGCATAGTGCACTAACACAAAATTTTAACTGGCTGCGAATTAGGCAAATTCAAGTTGCTGGAGCTGGTGTGCACAGCCCTGTGCAGTTTGGGATGAGGAGATATATATACGGTATAGAGAAAGAGAGAGAGAGAGAGAGAGAGAAAGTTTATTATATTTTTATACTGCCCAAAGATCTCAGGGCGGTTCACAGCATAAAAATGCAAGATAAAAACACAAAAATACAAACAAAAACAGAACAGAACAATAAACCCCCACCGCCACCCCGCCTCCCAAACATGTTTAAAAGGATATATGATGTTAATCAGCCAAAGGCCTGGTTGAAGATGAACGTTTTTGCCTGATGCCTAAAATATTAAAAATATTGTCTCAGGATATGCTCAACTCATACAACTGGGCCTTTAGTGCAGTGGGAACTACGGTACCCTTGGGAACTCTCTTCCATTCTGTTTTGAGAATCAATTCAAGCAGTTCGTTTCCCATGTAGGTATAATGAATAAAAGACAAGACCAAGAAATATAAAGTGCCCAGTGGGCACCCTAGTTGATCTACTACTGCGCAGTAGGACAGCACCCACAGAACAAGCAGGGAGGGCACTGCCCCGAGCAAAGGTCCCCACAGCTTTTATACATCTCTATAGCTAAGTAGGGACATGGGTGGCGCTGTGGGTTAAACCACTGAGCCTAGGACTTGCCAATCAGAAGGTCGGCGGTTCGATTCCCGGCTCCCATTGCTCGGTCCCAGCGCCTGCCAACCTAGCAGTTCGAAAGCACCCCCGGGTGCAAGTAGATAAATAGGGACCGCTTACCAGCGGGAAGGTAAATGGCGTTTCCGTGTGCTGCGCTGGCTCGCCAGATGCAGCTTGTTACGCTGGCCACGTGACCTGGAAGTGTCTCCGGACAGCGCTGGCCCCCGGCCTCTTGAGTGAGATGGGCGCACAACCCTAGAATCTGTCAAGACTGGCCCGTACGGGCAGGGGTACCTTTACCGTTACCTTTTATAGCTAAGTAGGGACGCGGGTGGCGCTGTGGATTAAACCACTGAGCCTAGGACTTGCCAATCAGAAGGTCGGCGGTTCGATTCCCGGCAACAGGGTGAGCTCCCATTGCTCGGTCCCTGCTCCTGCCAACCTAGCAGTTCGAAAGCACATCAAAGTGCAAGTAGATTAATAGGTACTGCTCTGGTGGGAAGGTAAACAGCATTTCCGTGCGCTGTTCTGGTTCGCCAGAAGTGGCTTAGTCTTGCTGGCCACATGACCCAGAAGCTGTACGCCAGCTCCCTCAGCCAATAAAGCGAGATGAGCGCCGCAACCCCAGAGTCGACCACGACTGGACCTAATGGTCAGGGGTCCCTATACCTTTACCTTATAGCTAAGTAACAAATCAAAATAAGGCACATGTGCACATCAGTTCTCTTTGTGTGACCTGGACCTAGGCCACAGACCCACTTGAGTTCAGCCATGATGACTTGGCTTCTGCTTATTTACGGTAGTTCTTAGTAGCAAATAGCATCACCCAGTTAGCTACCTGACTTACTTAGCTAGAAGCTGTTGATTCTTAGAAAAAGCTGGTTCTGTATCCGGTAGCAGGCTTTGTGGTTGGGACTTTCCTGTTAATGTCAAAAGTACAAAGTATGTATATGCAACACTCTTGCTTTACGAAGGCACAAACCCTACCCTGAGTGCCACTGAACATATCCAAACCTCTACCAGTTGCAGTCAATGCCTCTTGCATTACTTCAGCAAATTTATTGACTTTTTCCATTGTGGCCACTATGCCAACCAGCAGGTTATGTGGAAGCAATAATCCCTGCAGCTGTGAGCATGCCACCTCTCCTTCCAGGTCTGCCATTTTCTATAAGCTACCCAAGGGAATCCTTGGTGTTAAAATGTGTATACCAGATATACAGTGGTGCCTCGCAAGACGAAATTAATTCGTTCCGCGAGTTTTTTCGTCTAGCGAATTTTTCGTCTTGCGAAGCACGGTTTCCCATAGGAATGCATTGAAATTCAATTAATGCGTTCCTATGGTCAAAAAAAGTCCAATCAAAGCCAAATTTGGTACAACAATAGTTTATTAACTGCTCTTTAAAGTCACACATACTTTAAAGAGCATATCAAAATTGAAGGAACAATAAATTAAGTTTCTAAACATGACAGAAAAACATTTAAAAATCAACAAAGTGTACTGTACATACATTTTCTAAGACTCTGGGGACCACTCGAAGAAGGTTCCTCTTCCACTCTTTGCTTCTTGCTGAGGAACCTGTCCATGGTCTGCTGCTTCATCCGCCTTTTCAGCAGCTCCCTGAGAGGCAACATGACCGTCGTATCAAAAGTGTTCGCTTGGTCATGTGCCACGTGCTTGTTAGGGTGGTGCCGCTCTGCAAAAGCCTGCACCTCCTTCCACTTCTGGCAAATGTCCCTCAGTTCTTTGGAGGACGGCCGTTCCTCAGTTGCTTCCTCCTCTTCCAGCGAGGCCTGCTCCTGCGCAACCTCTGCCTGCAGTTCAACCAGCTCCTGGGTGGTCAGCTCGTGGTCGTGCTCCTCCACCAGCTCGCAGACGTCCTCCTCTGTGACCTCCAGGCCCATGGTCCTCCCCAAGGCAACAATGTCCTGCACCACTGTTGACTCTGGTGCATCAGAGTCACTTGGTGCCACACAGTCCGGCCACAGGCTGCGCCAAGCGCAATTCAAATTTCTCTGGCTGATCCCGTTCCAGGCCGTGGTGATCATCTTCAAGCAGGTGACGATGTCGAAGTGGTCCTTCCAGAATTCCCGCAGGGTGATGGTGGTGCAATCAGTCACCTCGAAGCATCGCCTGAAAAGCTCCTTGGTGTAGAGTTTTTTGAAATTGGCGATGACCTGCTGATCCATCGGCTGGAGCAGTGGCGTGGTGTTAGGCGGCAGGAACATGATGTTGATGAAGCTGAACTCCTCCAACAAGTCCACCTCAAGGCCTTTAGGATGAGCAGGAGCATTGTCCATCAGAAGCAAAGCCTTCAGCGGCAGGTCGTTGTCCAGCAGGTACTGTTTGACAGCAGGGCCAAAAGCAAGATTGACCCAGTCCACAAACAGCACACGTGTGACCCAAGCCTTGCTGTTGGATCGCCACATGACACTCAGCCGCTCCTTGTCGACCTTGTGTTTCTTGAAGGCCCGTGGGTTCTCCGAGTGGTACACCAGCAGGGGCTTGATCTTCAGGTCGCCGCTTGCGTTGGCACAGAAGAGCAGGGTCAGGCGGTCCTTCATGGGC